ATTCACATATCATCATCAGAAAAAGCCGTCCAAAATCGACCACTTTGTTTAGGCGATTTGAACAATGTCGCGAACTGCTGCCACACGCCCTATGCAAGGTGAGTTTTTTTTTTAAATATAATTCTTCTATTTTTTTTAATTGTTACTGATATAAATGGTACATTAATCTTTTTACTTAACTCAATTTGTTCCAAGAAATTATGCTTTCATTAAAAATCATTTGGGTAAGCAAAAGATTAATGGACTATTCTTATCATTAAGATTACATATCTCATTTTTGCGATGACTTTTGGTTATATAGAAGTTTACTTATTAACTTATTTATATAATTAATGGTATAACTTCACGTTACTCAAAATAAACCTGTATAGAAAAACTATAAAAATATTCTTTGAATGTGATTACAGTGCATCGTATTGGATTTAGTGGCTATAAGCAAGTATTTCATACTAGATGATGAATAATTGGGGAAAGTATATATGAGGGAACAGGGAAACATTTCAAAGTGGTTAATTATTCTCGAATTTTTTTAAAATGGGGGGGCGTCAGTGACGTCAACAAGATTCCTAACCTAAAAAATTTAATTTCGTTAATTTGTGTAAATCAACTTTGAAAATTAAAGTTTATAAAAATAATTATTTTATTTAATATTTTTTTCTAATTAATTATTTTTTTTGTCCACGATAATAATTTAACATTAATCTAGAACTCAAAATGAATTTGACTGGATTCAATTTAAAACAAATTTCACTAAAAATTCAAAATGATTAAAAATTGCATATTAATTTAAAAATTTGCGGTTATTTAACGTCGTTGATTTGTTTAGGTGCATGTAGCGCCATTTGTGATGACGCCTTGTACTGACGGAAAGTGTCTCGTCGTCAACGACGAGACGACGTCAGCCTTGACGATCCGACGCCGCAAAGTACATGACGTTGTTATATATATGCCATACCGTCGCGACACTTTTCTTTTTTGTTTGCTCTCCATCCGCTAAAAACACTGACGTTCGCAAAAAAAAAAAAAAAAAAGTATCCAACAATGCGTTTTGCCGGGGGGAGATAAATGATTAAATAAAAAGAAATCTGACATACCGACGACGTCGACAACGATGAACAACGTCGACGACGCCGACGCTAAAGCCGTGGCTCAAGGGAGATGAGAAACGGGCAATCAGAAAAAGATATATTCACGTCCATACAGTGTGTATAGGATATAGGGCTAATCACTCCCCTTTTGGTCATAATTTATAAATCAGATGAAAAATGTGAATACCAAAGTAAAAGGGTGCTTCATTTATTTATTGCAAATGAAAAAATTGAAAGAAATTTTTTGAAATAACCGAGAATCGTGATTGTCAATTGAGCACACGGTATGACGACGAGAGAAGTTCACTTGTGGTGAGTGCGGTGATAATATTGTCATTAACGAAAGAAAAATAATCTCTTAATTGTCAAAAAAAAAACGGTTACTTTCGCAAGAATCCTGTTTTCTTTTTTTTCTACTTTTAAAATCTCAAATTTCTTGTTTGGAAAAAAATAGATGCTCATACAAAATTGATCGGATGAAAATACAAGTGACTTTTGTAAAAAATACTTTCAAAAGTAACTCTATATATTGCTATAAAATTTAATTTTTAATTAAAAATTTTTTATAAAAAATTATTATTCGCTATTGTCGCCGCTCTGTCTCGTTTGGTAAACGAAGAAGCATTTTATCGATTGCCAGGTCCTACACCTTTAAACTCTTCCTGACACTCTCGCTTTTTATTTTTATTTTTAAATCCGCAAATTATTATACAAAAATATTATTTTTTTGTTTCAATAGTCGTAAATTAAAAAAAAAATTTTTTTTATTATTATTTTTTATAAAACTTTTTTTTCTAGTTTTGTTGTGTGTTTACAGTATTTATACGGGTATATGTGATTTGATATAAAGCAACATTTATGTATTACGTGATCGTTATGAGACAACCTTAAAAGTGTGTTTCACCTGAGCAATTGAATTGCATACTTTTATTATACATATATATATAACTGCATATTCTACTTTTGCTGTTTGACATCAAATGAATCATGTTTTTTTTTTTTTAAGTTTTTTTTATGACCTATTGTATATGTGTGCTATAGCGAAAAAACAGTCTTTACGGGAAAATTGATGTAGAAAAATTTTAATTTTTCAAAAAATTATTTAGATCATGTTTCTATCTTTAGATTTTCTCTATTTTTTAAAAGAGATATAAAAAATATTTTTTTAAATCACTTTTTGAATTAAAGATGAAATTTGTTTGAATTAAAAAAAAGTTTTCTTTGCTTTTACGAAAAAAAGATAATTTTCAAGTGTTTTGAATCAAAGAAATAATTTTTTTTCTTTGAAACAAAGAATCTTCTTTTTCTGAATGTACAAATGAATTCAGTGTAAATTTTTTTATTATAATGTAAAAATTTTAATATTACATAATAAATTTATATATTTATTAATAATATTTATATTATTGAAATATTAAATAATCGAATTTCAATTTAATTATTGAAATTAAATCAATTTTCTCATTTATATAATTCCACTATCTAAGAAATATAAAGCCGCAAGACTAATCGAGGTAAAGAAATTTGTTATCAAGATAAAATTCGCGTATCTCACAACACAAATTATATTTATGTGATAAAGAAAATTATATGTATACACGCATAGGTAAGCGCATTTCACTTTTATTGCTGTACATGTGGAACGTGTGTATTACACTAAAAAAAAAAAAAAAGAAAACAGTTTATTACCTAAAGGATTTTCTTTACGATCCTTTAACTTTGACAAATTTAATTAAGAGTCTTCTTTTTATTGTTTCATCTTTGTTTTTCGATTTGGTAATTAAAAAGGAAATAGCTATTTCTTTATAAGTGAAATTTATTTGAGTAAAATAATTATTTTAAAAAACTTTTTTTTAACCCTAGGGGAGTAAAATAATTCTTTTGACCCTAGGGTGAAAAATGGTATTGTTTTATCCTACACCCAGAGAAAAATGTTTTATTTGAACCAAATATAATATATTTCAATTAAATAAACGTATATATATATTTGTCTCACAGCCTACTAGCCCATTTATTTGGCGTAAATAACATTATTTATTTGAATCAAATAAACATTTATTCGAATCAAAAAAATATTTATTAGGCTCTGAGAAAAATATATCATTTCTCATAGGTAGTAAAGTTGTCTTCTTGACCCTAGGGTGTAAAATTGTATTTTTTAATTCTGGAGTAAATTTTTCTTTTTGACTCTAGGGTATAAAATGGTATTTTTTATTCCTAGGGAGTAAAATGTCTCTTTTGACCCTAGGGTGTAAATTTTTTTTTTCTTTTTTTTTATATTAATATTTTATATTAAAATAATAATATTAAAAATAATAAAAAAAAACCCCGATCTGAATAATTTTCATTCGAGTGTCTAAATTAGTTTTAGATAAGTTCACTTGTTAAAAAAAAATGATAACATATCATTTTTTTTTTTTTTTTTTTTGCGCGTTAGAAATTGGTTTACTGGGAACTGATAGAAAAATATGTTTTTCATGTGTATATTTAAAAATGAAAAAAATTGACAAAATATAATTTTTTTTTTTTATCATTTTTTGCAAAGATAATAAAATTAAGCACTTAAGTTGATAAAAAATAATTTTTGATTTGTATCTTCTATATTTCCTAATATAGTGCAATAGAAAATTGATTGGTACATTTTTCATATAACAGCATCATGACTCGTTGATGCGATCACTCGCATAAAAAAAAAAAAAAAAACAGACACACACGGCAACCCAAGTTCGTCTCTTGACCTCTCAAGTCGAATGTCAAGGTTAACTAACATTAAACTCAATATGATCTAGAAATCTAAAAAAAATTCCATTATTTTTTTTTCACTGTCATTTAATTTTGTTCATTGTTCCAATATTATTTGACAATTTTTCATATCAATTAAAATAGATATTTTTTATCAATGATAACAAAAAAAATGGAAATATTGGATTTTTTCTTTGATAATTTTTTATTTACTTATTTTATTAACAAAATAAAATTCTAAAATTATTATTAATTAATTATTAATTATTATTGCCTTTTTTTTTGGTTGAAAAATTTTTATTTTCATTAATATTTTATGAGAATGTAAAGAACGTTGTAAAATTAAATAAACTTGTATATATATATATATATATTCACAAAGACCTTGAATTGAAAATTTAATTCACAACGGTAAAATGAGTCAATATATTTATATATTGAATTTTGAAATAGAAATCGATGCGTAAGCTGATAAATCAAAAAATTAACAAGAAAAATTTGTTTCCTTTTTTTAAATTTCTAACAATTAAAATTATTACGTCACTCTTTCCCTTTGTGTATATTTTTTTGCGGATTGAAATTTAATTATTACTATCGTTTCAAATTCAAATGATATAATAATTATTTCAATCTAAGAAAATTGGAGTTAGTTATGTAATATCCGTTAAAGCGCATTATTTCTATATTGTGCATGAATTTCTGGAAAATCTCGAAAACGAGATTATTTAAATCGCAGACTTTATTAAATACATCTATAAATATTCGGAATTTAATTTTTGAAATTATTTTTAAAACTTAAAATTAATTACTAAATCATTGATAATAATTTAAAAGAAAAAAAATTTGCCCTAAAGAAGTAAAAGTGGACATTTTTCACCCTAGTGGAGAAATTTTATTTTATAATATAAAAAGTGGTTGTAATTCTAGGAAATTGTAAATTAAAAATAAATAATAAATTAATTAATAGAAATTATAAATTATTATTATAAATAGAAATTAATATTTATAAATAAGACAGAGTGGCGACAAAATTGGAAAAACAATTTTTTTTTTTATTATTAATATTAAATTATTTTTATAAATTTTTTTTTATTTGTTATTAATTTTTTTCTATTTAATTGAAAAATTTAGATAATGGGAAAATAGAGTATCGTGTGATAAATATAAAGAAAGAAATAAGTGAATGAATAAAAAAAAAAAAAAAAATGGCTATTTTACAAAAACGAGGAGAATTATGCCAAAGCGTCGCCGACATAATTTCCAAAAGTCAACGACAAATGAAGGAGGATTTAATTGTTTATTAAAAATGTTTCAATATAAATTGACATGCTAAAGAAGGAAAACTATGTAACGAACGAGGACACGGTCTCGTTGGCACGTCTGGGGTGCCACGAGGAAGAAATTGGCCCTAGAAAAGAGTGGATAGTTTTGTAGGATAGACAATGAACTTCGAGGAGGTGGACACATTGGAACTCGAAGTCTTCGAGGTGAGTCCCTTTTTCCCTCTCTCTCTCTCTCTGAAAAAAAAAAAAAAAAATTCAATCCTTTTTTATATTTTTATACCAAGGCTGATAAAAATCATTATTTTAAAAAAATTCATTTTTTTTATTATTAATTTTTAAAAAAAAATGTTTTTTAATTTAAATCTGATTATTTTATTTTTACACATTAATCAAAATTTAATTTTAAAAAATTAAAATAAATAAATAAAAATAAATAAATAATTTAAAATAATAAAATAAATAATAAAATAATAAAAAAATTTAATAAAATAATAAATAATTTAAATAAAAATTTAATTTAATTTTTTTTTCTTAAATACTTTTAATTACTTAGATTATTAATTTAAAAAAATGTTTTTTAATTATTTCATTAAAATTTTAATAATTTTTTTTTTTTAATCCTTTTTAAACTTTAATTTTTATTTTTTCAATATATAATAATTTGAGGGATTTAAATTTTCGTTCCTTCAAAACGTTTATTTGAAAAAATATATTTTTTTGCATTTGATATTTTTATAATTGAATATTATAAAATGGAAAAAAATGGAATTTCTCGAATTTCAAAATAGAAATAAAATATTGGTAAAAAAAAATATTTTCACGTATAAAAGTATAGTTTTTATATATATATATATATATATATATATATATATATATATTTATGAATACAGAGTTTCATATAGTCCATCAAAAAAAGATATCTGACCCAATTTATTTCAATCCATTTTACAGTCAATATTGATTTATATATATATACTATTTTTATATGAAAAAAAATAGTTTATCACTTTTTTTTTATTCCTTTTGTTTACGGTATTTTATTTGACTTGAAAAAATTTCTTGAAAGAATAATAAAGTAGTTTTTTTTTTTTTTTCTATTTTACGGAAGCACCCAATCATTGACCCTCATTGCTTTCATCATGAACAACTGTTATTCCATACGGATTCACACACTTCGATTTCTGATTAAGAAACCTTGATTATTCCCTCTTTTTATTGGCTTCTTTACTCTAACTTCCAAATCTCTTAGTTAATTTGTTAATTATATAAATAATAGAATGCGTAAACGAATTATTTGCAAAAAAAAAAATCTCTTTTTTTAATTCAAATTATTCCTTTTTTACAGAAGAAATTATTTATATATTTTCTTGAGAGGCAAATAAATATTTTTTTTTCAAAATCACTTTTATTTGATTGAAATAAAAATTTATTATAGACTCTGTGAAAAATATATTTTTATTTGTCTCAAATATAAAATATTTCTCTGCTATCGTGAAAAAAAAAAAAAAAAATTATCCAATTCTCAAACTATGGAGGGGGAAAAAAAAGAAGTATATTTTTACAGCGTCTGTCTCGTCTAAATATAAAACTAGTGATTTAAAATATATAGTTTCCTAGAGGGTCAGTGCACGAAAAATGTGAATAAAAGCATAAACAAATTAACGTCAAATTTGAAAAAAAAAAAAAAAAAAAGACCCATCAGGAATTGTTGTTTGTATATTTAATGATTGGAAAATTATTTATATTCTTGAAATTGCAGAAAAATTAATTTTTTTGAGCTCCTTAAATTAAAAAAAAAATTATTTTTATCAGCCCTTATAAATAATTATAAATAATAATAATTAATAATTATCAGCGATAATATAATGAGAGAGAGAGAGAAATGAAAAAAAAAAAAAAAACGTGTGAATTATTATTATATTGAATTGATGAAGGTAAAAGGCGATATCGATGGAGGTGAACAATCAAATGGCACATCGAAATCAGAAAGCAATCTTGAAACATTGGAAAATGGTAGTGGAACACGTAAGAAGAAACGAAAACGACGGAAATTTAAAAAAAAACATTTATCCCAACCAGCAAGTAGTCATATGGTTTTAAATTTGCCATCGTCATCAACGGAAATTGAACCTGCTGATGAATGTTCAAAGAGAGGTTCATTGAGTAGTCTTGGTGGTGTAAGCAGTAGACACACCACACTACGTGAATCATTATTGACAGTTTTAGGTAAATTGGTTGTTTGGAAAGGTACCAGATATCGACCAACTCCAACGCCATCATCATCGGCACCACCAAATTCACCTCCGGCCACTGAATGTATCGGTCGAACTACCTTTTTTTCCAGTGGTGAGTCCAGTGACCCAAAAAAAAGAATAAATTTCACCTAATTTTGTTGATACTTTTTTTTTTTTAATTAATAAACAAAAAATATATTTTTTAATTTTTGTATTAAACCAAGTCCACTTCTGGGCCGAAAGGCTTAATAAATAATAATAAAATATACGAACATAATTAATAAACAACAATTTTTCTGATTATGAATGATTCAGATTTTTTTTTTTTGTGATTACCAAAAATTCAACACATTTCGTATATAAATTATTAATAAACAAAAATTTTCTGATTATTCAGATTTTTATTTTTGTAATTTACCAAAAGTCAACGCATTTTGTATAAAATGTTGAGATATGTAAAAAAAATAATAATTTTCTATTAGCATTTTGTTAATATTCTTCTTTGGTTTATTTTTGTTTACAGAGACGGAAAGGCGAATTCGTGCAAATAACCGCGAGTACAATTCACAATTCAACTATGCGGTAAGCTGTTAATTTTTTATAAATTTTTCCTTCACGTTAACATATTCTAAAAATTTTATGTTGTGTTAAATTAGAAAAAAAATCACCCAGTCAATTTTTAAGAAAAAGGAAAAAGAAATAAATTAAAAAAGAGGATTTTAAAATAGAATTTTGAAAAAAAAAAATTGTAGAGAAATTTTTTATTTAATTTTACCAAAATTTTTCTTTATTTGTAATTTTATTTTACTTTTTCATTAAATTAAATGAGAATTTAATTTAATTTACCACTGGTGCAATTATTCTAAAGGTAATAATTAATTTTGGTTTTTGATTTAATAGAACAATTACATCAAGACGTCCAAGTATTCGGTATTGACGTTCCTGCCATTGAATTTGTTTGAACAATTTCAAAGGCTCGCCAATTTTTACTTCCTATGCCTGCTGGTGCTTCAGATGATCCCTGCTATATCTTCTCTAACCCCAATCACCACAGCCATACCTCTTATTGGGGTACTCACGCTCACTGCCGTCAAAGATGCCTACGATGATTTTGTAAGTACTTTTTTTCGAAAATTCATTTAGAAAATTAAAATTTTATTTTTTTTGTAGATTTCTCTCTTTTTTTTATCGCAACAATTTATTATTTTCTAATTTTGTAAATTTTAATTTATTTAATTTTATTTTTTTTATTTACCAAATTTTAAATTTTAATAAAAATATTAAATTAAAATGAAATGTTTTTTAAACTTCCAGAGAAAAGATATCAGAGCTAAATAAATTTATTTGTTTCAAATACGTTTTTTGAGTTAAATAAAAATTATTTTTTTGCACTAAACTATTATCGTTCTTAAATAATTATTAATTTTCATTATTAATTGTATTATATTATTATTTACATTATTAGGCTTTGAGACAAATATATAAATATATGATTTAATTGCAATTTTTTATTATAGCAACGACATAGCAGCGATTCGCAAGTTAATAATCGAAAATCACGAACTTTACGAGGCACAAACTTACGTGAGGAAAAATGGTCTCAAGTCCAAGTTGGAGATGTGATTAGAATGGAAAACGATCAATTTGTAGCAGCCGATGTTCTCCTTCTTTCAACCAGCGAGCCTAATGGTCTCTGTTACATTGAGACTGCTGAATTGGACGGGTAATTATAATTCAAAATTACATTCTCAAATAATAAAAATATTAAACAAAAAATTGAAACTAATTGAAATAAATTTCAGGGAGACAAATTTCAAAATTCATTCACATTTTCAAAAAAAAAAATAAAATAAAAACAATAAATTAGAAACTAATTGTATAAATAAATTTCAGGGAGACAAATCTTAAGTGCCGACAGTGCTTAGCCGAGACGTCAGAAATGATGGATAATCATGAATTAATTGGCCAATTTGATGGTGAAATCATTTGTGAAACGCCCAATAATTTGTTGAACAAATTTGATGGCACGCTCTTATGGAGAGGAAAAAAGTAAGGATTCATTTTTTTTTTGTTTCTATTTACCAGAAAAAAAAATTTTAATTATTTACCTTTAAACTGGCTAACAAAAAAAGAAAATTTGCCCTTTCGTACCAAAGTACTTAGAGAAACTATTTTATTTAATTATTTATAAATAAAATAAATAATAACTAATTAGCAAATTAAATTAATTTAATAGTAACTATTTATCTAATTTTAGTCTATTTGTCTTTAGTATTTATTTTTTTTGTCGTTGATTTTTAAAGTTTGATGTAATTTGTAAATTGCTTTTTTTTTTTGAATTACAGGTACGCTTTAGATAATGACAAAATTATTTTGCGTGGATGCGTGCTAAGAAACACCCAATGGTGCTATGGTATGGTAATCTTTGCTGGCAAGGATACCAAATTAATGCAAAACTCAGGGAAGACCAAGTTTAAAAGAACCTCCATAGATAGACTGCTGAATTTGCTCATCATTGGGATAGTGTTCTTTTTACTTTCCTTGTGTTTATTTTGTATGATTGGCTGTGGTATTTGGGAAAGTTTAGTTGGACGTTACTTTCAAGTGTATTTACCATGGGACTCGCTTGTACCAAGTGAACCATATGCGGGCGCGACAGTTATTGCTTTTCTTGTTTTTTTTTCATACGCCATTGTTTTAAATACAGTTGTCCCAATAAGTTTATATGTTAGTGTTGAAGTTATAAGATTTGTACAATCATTTCTAATTAATTGGGATGAAGAAATGTATTATGAGCCAACAAATACACATGCTAAAGCAAGGACTACAACATTAAATGAAGAATTGGGCCAAATTGAATATATATTCTCAGATAAAACGGGAACACTAACGCAAAATATTATGACCTTTAATAAGTGTTCTATAACTGGGAAATCATATGGAGATATTGTTGATCAAGTTACTGGAGAAATCATTGATCTTACTGAGGTAAGCTGCTGCTGTTGCTTTTTTTTTCTTTTCTTTTTTTTCCCCCCTAAACACATTTACACACATTTCTTATCTTTGAGTCTTATCGTAAAACCTTTTACAAGAGAAATAAGCACTCTTATTCCTCGTGTTTTTCCGCTTGAAGCTTTGAAAAATGTATTTATCTTATTCAGCAAGCTTTTAATTTTTATGACTGTAATGTCCCATTTACTTATATATATATATATATTTTTTTATTATGGTACAAAAAAGTTGATTATGAAAAATCTAAGGCGCATGGATTTCTCATAAAAATCACTAATTAGAATTTTTATTCTAAAGCAAGCTTCACAGTATTTCCCCTATTTTTCCTCTATTTTAAAAAATTCCCTTTTTTATGAATATTTCCTCTATTTTATGTAGAAACTCAAATAATGGAATATTTCAAGCCTCGGATTGCACAACTTTTTTGACTTTTTTCAATGACTATATTTTGACTTATTTTTATAAAATGATATTTAAATTATTTGTTGAATTAATTATTTCTGATAACTTTAATCAAAAATTCCATTTATTAACACATTTCTCAATTAAAATTTTTTTTTTAAATTCAATTATCTTCTTAACTTTGTAAAAAAAAAAATCTTCCTCAATTCAAAATTTACCAAAATTCTTTTTATATATCTTCTGAAATTTTAATTATTTTTTGAAAAATTTAAATATACCTCTTCCAAATTTGATTATTTCCAAAATTTTTATCTAAAATTCTTCGCTAAATTAATTATTTCAATAATTTTAATTCAATTTTTCAAATATTTTTTTTTTTTTTTTTTTATTAAAAAATTAAAATTTAATTACTATTTTAAAATTTTGTCAATAATTTTCAGCAATTAAAATTTACAACAATTTCAATTAATAAATTATCATTTTTTTTTCAATAATATTTTAATCAAGTTCTTTCAAAAATTTAATTTTTTAAAACATTTGCCAAAATTCTGAATTCGAATAATTTGTACAATGACTTGGAATTTTTTTTTTTTTTTAAAGTAACTTTAAATTATTATTATTTTTCAATATTTATTTTTCGATTTTTGTTGTAATGAAAATTGACTTCTTTCTCTTTCTAAAGTTAATCCGAGGCTTGAATTAGGAAAATTGGAATTTTTTAAGAGAAAATTAATTTTAAAATTTAATTTCAACAAATTTAATTTAAATAAATGAAAAATTTCAGTTTTTTTGAAAAATATGAATAAAATCAAGTTTTGTATATTTTACAAGACGGTTTTCGGTTTGATAATACAAAAAAAAAATTACTTTATTTAAAAAAAAAAAACTTTAAAGCATTTTGATTAAAGAAAATATACATTTAGCTTTTCCCCTTTTTTTCAAACAAAATTTCCCCTATTCCCCTCTCTTTTTTTTTTAGCAAATTTTATGCTCTGAAGCCTATAAAGTATTTTATTAGAAATAATTATTTTTTATACGAATTTTCAATATAAAATTTGAAAGATTTTCTTTATACGAATTTTTACGTAAATTCTGCCAAAATTTGTCAGATAAAAAAATTTTGCTAATTAAAAATATGTAAAAAAAAAGAATCTGTCTGGAAAAATGAAAATTCGGTTAAAAAATAATTAATTCGATAAAATTCTTAAAAAATGAAAATTTAAATTAATTTTTTTTATGGGATAATTAATGGTGAAAAAAAAATGTATTGTACCATAATTTAAAAAATTTTCCACGCTTCCTTCTTTTTTGAGTCTCGTTAAAATTGTATTTGTTTTTGATATTGAAAGCATTGACAAAGAGAAAATTTTGTGAATCCAAATTTTCAGTAAATGGAGATTTGTAAGGATTTTTTTTTTTTTTTGTTTTTTATTTTTTCGGTATTGAATTGGAGAAATTCATTAATTGGAGAATATGAATCGAGTATATTAACACAAGTATGTCAATGCTTTTATACCGTGCTTATGTCATGCACATTATTTAGCATGTGTGTGCTGCATGTAGACGGGCAAAGCTGTGCAGATGCCAATTATCAAGTGGAAGAATGGACATGAATTTGTCCGTCAAGTGTACACTCCTATTAGTGGCGCAGACACTCATCTTCTTGGACAAGACGATAGAATATCCAATTCAACACCTGAATCAATCATCAATGGTGTTACAAAAATTTCTCCTAAACTTTCAGTACGCATGCTTGTATCAAATGCTTTTTTTAAATTTATTTATCACAATTTTCCCTAAAAAAAGTAATAATAATTAAAAAAAAAAAAAAATTTCCTTTAATTGAAATTAAAAGAAAATTCTTAAAAAATTGTTATTTTTCAGACGATACCTCCGATAGATTTTTCATTTAACAAAGACTATGAACCGGAATTTAAATTTTACGATAAACAATTACTCGAGGCAGTGAAACGAGAAGATTCAGATGTACATAGTTTTTTTCGTCTACTTGCATTATGTCATACTGTTATGGCGGAGGAGAAAAACGGTCATCTTGAATATCAAGCTCAATCACCTGATGAGGCGGCACTTGTTTCGGCGGCGAGAAATTTTGGTTTTGTTTTTCGTGAAAGATCACCAAATAGCATTACAATTGATGTAATGGGAAAACGTGAAATATATGAACTACTTTGTATATTAGATTTTAATAATGTTAGAAAACGAATGTCTGTGGTACTGCGTAAAGATGGCTTTATTAGATTATATTGTAAGGGGGCCGATAATGTTATTTATGAACGTTTAAAACCAGGAAGTGATGAGGTAATGACTAAAACACAGGAGCATCTTAATAAATTTGCCGGTGAAGGTTTAAGAACATTGTGCCTTTCCGTAAGGGATATCAACGAATGCTTTTTTAATGATTGGAAACAACGGCATCATGATGCAGCGCTCAGTCATGAAAATCGTGACGATAAATTAGACGCAATTTATGAAGAAATCGAAAGGGATATGACATTATTGGGAACAACTGCTATTGAGGATAAACTTCAGGACGGCGTACCGCAAACAATTGCCAATTTGGCATTAGCTGGAATCAAAATTTGGGTATTGACTGGCGATAAACAAGGTTAGATAAAAAATTAATTATTATTTATTAATTATCAATTTTTGATTATTAATTAATTTTATTTTTTTTTATTTTATAATATTGTAATAAATTTTTCTTTTTTCAGAAACGGCAATCAATATTGGTTATTCGTGTCAGTTATTAACGGACGATCTCACGGACGTTTTCATTGTAGATGCAATCACTTACGACGGAGTGGAAACTCAGTTGACACGGTATCTTGAAACAATAAAAGCAGCTTCCAACAATGAAAATAAGCCGACACTATCCATCGTTACATTCAGGTGGGACAAGGAAAGGTCAGGCAAACGAAAGAGACGGAGTAAAATTTATTATCTTCCATTCTTCATTTATATAAATATTTATTATTATATTTTTGACCGGTAACGCATTTATCGAGAGATTATTACCTTTATCACCTTGAATGTGGCACCATATATTCTGTGTGGTTATGCTTTTATTGTTTTAATAATTATCTTCGGAAGATTCTTTTAATCTTTAAATTTTTATTTTAATCTTTTCTCTTTTATTTTCTTATTTTTTTTTCGTTTTATTTTATATTATTTTCTTTCATTTTCTTTTATTTTATTTTCTCTTAATTAAGTTGATTTTTTCAATTAAATCTATTTTTCAAAATCAAATATTTTTAGAATGCATAATCCGCTAGTTCCTTTAAAAATTTTTTTTTTTTTTGAGAAAAATTCTCTTGTCATTCGCATTTTATAATTTCATATTATATATAAAAGATATATATTATGTATTGCATGCATCAAATTATATCACGACAAACCTCTATATTATTTTAGTATTCTAACTTTCGTGTTCATTGTGAGACTAAAATATTCGAAGAAAACGTTTTTTTTTAATCCTTTATTAGAATAAGAAATAATTTTCTTTTTTTTTTATATAATTACCTCTTGCCGCGCCGTAGATAGTCTAGCTTTCTTTCTACTGTACTACATATAGGTAACTTACATTTATGCGAAGATGATAATAATAATTAAATGCTTGGAACTCACTCCTTCTCTTTCTGTCTGCTTAAGTGTATTTTTAATAATTATAATCATAATGAAAAATATTACTCTTTTACGTCACTTCCATTATATCATAATATTTCGAATTACAATTTTTTATTAAAATGAAAAGAATTTTTTTTTTTAGTTATTAAATTTTAAATATAATTAACGAAATTTGCAGTTTATAATTAAATTATTATTATTATTAATTATTAATAATAATGATAATGATAATAATTTATTAAATTTCAAAAATTCTATTTAATATTATTAAATTATTACAAAAATTTTTTTTTGTGATTCTGGAAGTTTCATATTCATGTAAATGAGCTTGGTGTCTGATTTGGCAATTCGGGCTTCCTTCAAAAAAAAAAATTGTTTTCGAAAATATTAATCTCATTTAATATTATTGAATTTCTTGTAAATAACAGTGAAGCAGATTATAATGCTACTAGAGACGAGGTTGACGATCACGAAATGGAACAAGCTGCGTGTTTCGCGATAGTAATTAATGGTCACTCCCTCGTTCACGCGCTGCATCCTCAACTAGAACAACTCTTTTTAGATGTTTCCAGTCAATGTGAGTAATCGATTAATTCAATTTTTCGCAAATTTGATAAATTTTTTTTTATCTTATCATTTTACAAAACTAAATAATAATTAAATAACAACAATAATAATAGTAATAATAATTGTAATGATAATAATAATAATAATAATAATTAAATAATTGAGAAGAATAATTTTGGTAATTAATTTCAGGCAAATCGGTAATATGCTGTCGAGTAACACCATTACAAAAAGCAATGGTAGTTGAATTAATTAAAAAAAGTAAAGAAGCAGTAACATTGGCAGTTGGCGATGGAGCTAATGATGTGTCAATGATAAAAACAGCTCATATTGGCGTTGGAATTAGCGGACAAGAAGGATTACAAGCAGTATTGGCCTCAGATTATTCAATAGGACAATTTAAATTTTTGGAGAGACTATTACTTGTTCATGGACGATGGTCATATTACAGAATGAGCAAGTTTCTTAGATATTTTTTTTACAAAAATTTCGCTTTTACCTTATGCCACATTTGGTTTGCATTCTTCTGTGGATTTAGCGCACAGGTAAATTTTTTTTATTTTTACAAAACATTTGAAAAAAAAATTAAATTTAGTCTATAAAACAAAATGAATGGAAAATAAAATAATTTATTAAAAAAATTAATCTTAATTAATTGATTAAAATTATTTAATATTTAAAAATAAATAATTTTAAAATAAATTATTTAAATAATTTATTAAAAAATTAATCTTAATTAATTAATTAAAATTATTTAAAAATGATGATTCAAAGGCGAATACTATCTTAAAATTTCCCATGTTTTGAGGCATTGTCTCCATGGTTTCGAGATTTTTGAGAATTGAGTACTTTATTTATCTGATTGGTGAAAAAAAAAATATTCATTTTTCCATGAATCAAAATTTTTGATTGTTTAATATATATATGTTTTTTTTTTTTTACTTTTTCAGACTGTTTTCGATCCAATGTATATTTCCGTGTACAATTTGTTTTATACATCATTACCAGTTTTGGCTGTTGGTATATTTGACCAGGATGTTAACGACAAAAACAGTTTAATGTATCCGAAGTTGTATACCCCGGGACACCAAAATTTATTATTTAATAAAAAGGAATTCTGTTGGAGTGCTGTTCATGGTTTTTATGCAAGCTGTGTACTCTTTTTGGTGCCTTATGGTGAGTCAAAATTTTTAATTTTTTTGATTTATATAAAATGTAATTTTCGAAAATCTTTATTGAGATTTTTTTTTTTTTTTTAATAATTAAAAAATAATTTTTATTATTTAGGGACATACAAAGACGGAGTATCGCCGAAAGGCTATGTACTTTCGGATCACATGCTGCTGGGCAGCGTTGTGGCCACAATATTAGTCATTGTTGTGACTATTCAAATAGCCCTAGACACATCATATTGGACAATTGTAAATCATTTTATGGTGTGGGGTTCACTTTTTTCCTATTTTGTAATGGATTATTTCTATAATTATGTTATTGGAGGCAGTTACGCTGGCAGTTTAACGATGGTGAATTTTTGAAAAATAATAATATTTTAAACAAATTAAATTTTTCAAAAAATTATTTCAATTTTTTCATTTACAGGCAATGTCGGAGGCAACATTTTGGTTCACAACACTTATATCGTGCATTATTCTTGTTATACCAGTGCTTTCGTGGCGATTCTTCTTTATTGATGTAAGACCCACTTTGTCCGACAGAGTGAGACTGAAGCAAAGATTAGCACAATTGCGCTCACGACAAAGTCAAGATGTATTGCGCACACCATCAACAAGAAGAACGCGTCGCTCAATAAGATCGGGCTATGCGTTTGCACATCAAGAAGGTTTCGGACGACTTATTACATCGGGCAAAATTATGCGCAAATTGCCTAATGGTTCAGACTTTAAATTTTCTATGCCATTTACGAATAATGTTACAAAACAAATTAATATTTCCTCCACATCACCAAAAGAGAGTGCATCCAAAAATTCACAATCCCTGGACACTGTTAATCTATAAAAAAAAATTTCATTTTTCAAAAATATTTCGATTAGCCCAAAAAAAAATGCACAATTTATTTTTAAAAAAAAAGCAATTGGAATTTTATTTACAAGAAATTAAATTTTCTCTAAAGCACAATTTTTTTCCAGAGAAAATAAAAACTTAAAGAAACTTTAAAAAGGAAAAAAAAAAAAAAACGAAACCAGTATTATTTTTCGTCACTAATTTTTGAATCTAGTAACTAGATAAAAAAAAAAGATATTATTTAATAAAGATTTTTATTTTTATAATGGTATTAATTTCTTTTTTAAGTTCGTTATTTGAAGAAAAAATAAGGAACAAAAAATATTTTACAATTTGTAAATTAAAAAAAAAAAAATTTATTGATTTTTATTATATAGATAAAATATGTACATAATAATTATATGACACACTTAAAAAAAAAAACAGTGACAGTTGTTCAGGGATTTTATTTTCTTTTTTTGATTTTCCTAATTACTAATATTCTAAAGAATATTAAATATACAATTTAAAAAAAAAAAAGAAATAAAAGTTACATTAATAATTGCCTTTATAAAATATTAATACAAGAAACAAAAAAAAATTGTATTATATAGCATTGATTGTAAATATTTTAAAAGAAAAAAAAGAGAGAGAAATATATATATATATACATATATAAATAATGAAAAAAAATATATATTAAATGTTAAGTATACATTTTTTAAAAGAAAGTAATATATAGGTAGAACAATCTATAAAGTATGAAAATAGTAATAATATTATATTATTCTGCGGATAATGTTTGCCTTGGACTGACTACTGAATATTATGTATTAAAGTAAAAAAAAAAAAAAGCAGTAGCAACAATAAACTATGTATTTCTACTTTTAATATTGTAAAGAAGCGTAGAAAGAGATAGTATGGGAAAATGGTGTGTTCCACAATCAAAGTTATCATTTAACGAGTTACTGAAATTAGTTGTATTTAAATATTGTGCCTGATCATACTATAAAAAAAAATAGTTATACCGAGAACGGTATACAACTTTTTTATCACATCTAATTCAATATTTGCGATTCTTTTCTGAAATCCACTTTTATATATTATATATATATATACATATATTTGTAATAATTGCACTTGTTGATGTTATATTTATCTATTTTTAAAAATTATTTTCTAATAGAAAAAACATTTTTCTAGATATAATAAAATTATAATTTTATTAATAATTTTTGATGAAATATTTTTTAAGTTTTTTATTTAGAAAAACTGTTTTTCACACAATTAATTAATGACACTTTTTTTTTTTAATCAGTAAGATTTTTAGAATTTTTTTTTTTAGAATCAATGTCTTAATTTAATTTTTACAAATTAATTTAAAATATTTTAATGTTATAGATTTCTATCGAAAAGAATTGCATATATGAATTGATATGAATGTCTAAAAATGCCAAGATTATATTAATATCTAATACTACGCATCTTACATAAGAAAAAAAATAAAAAAACATTTTGGATTTTTATTTTGTATGTTTACAAAAAGAAATGAAAATCGAATATTTTCGTTTACTTATAAAAGTAAATAAAAATCATTGGTACGACGAATTTTTTATAAACCGAGGTGAACTAGACGCCATGTAAATTATTATTTTTATTTTTTTTTTTTGTGGTATTTTGAATTATTAGTTATATTTAAAATATTTAACATTCGACAGCATTTAGTTTATTGTCTTTATTTAAAGAGCAAAATTTAATTGTTATGCACTTCTCTTTTTTTTTTGGAAAATAAAATTTAAAAAAAAAAAAATAAAGAAGGAATCGAACACATTTTTGTTTGTTCACAACGAACTAAATATTGTATGTAGAAAAAAAATAGGAACGTGCACTGTGCAAATTTTTTTTTTTTTATTATTTGATTTACTTGCGTTTATTTTGTTACTCGTAACGATTAGTATTACCGTATGTGATTTAGTTAACTGTCTTGTTATTAAAAAAAAAAAAAAAAAAAGAGAAAAAGGAATATATATATATTTGTGTCAATTGTTTAAACAAATGGTTACCATCGTCCAACTTTTTCAGCCAAATATGTTAAACGATGGTTAACATACCAAGTTTTTCTTGTTAGTAATTGTATAGTTGATGCTTTAAGAGACACAAAATATAGATATTTTAAAAAAAAAAAATTTTCCAATTTTCTAAAATAATACAGCGAAATTAATTTTCTTTAAAGGGATATTTTAATTTAAAAAATTCTTTTACAAAAACCAAATTTTGCATAATAAAAGAAATTTGAAACTTAATGTTTTAATTTCAGTGATAAATTTTATTACTGTTTTTGTTAATATTTTCAATTTTTTTTGTTATTTTTATTAAATTAGAAAATATATCTTAAAGTGTCAATACTTAAATTAGAAAAAAAAAAGTTTTTCTTAATTTTTCAAATTTTGATTTTAAAAAACACGTTTGCACCTAACGTGTATAAATAATTATTTAAAATCAATTGTCTTTCGTTGATTGGGTGTAACGTTATATAGTCTTCATGAGCATTTTTTTTTTTTTTTTTTTTATTATTATTAAATTAGTATATTTAAACACTTCCTGTTGCACAGGTCTTAGTCGTTGTTAAGAAATATCATTTAAGAAAATTAAAATTGGAATTAAAGAAAAAATGAAGTCAAAAAAATAATGTTCCTCAAAATATGCACACGAGAATGATAAATAAAATTTAATTTAAATTATAAATATCTTGTACCACATATTGTACAAAAAAAACAGCATTGATTGTCTTCTAAAGAACAAATTTATTTGTACAGCGACATGCACACAAAAATAAAAAAAAACTCGTTAAAAGCGGGTATTAAATTCCAATAAATGAAAAGGAAAAAAAATTAGCAATTTATACAGCGTAGAACCAAAAGTTTAGTTATCAATCATTTATATATATGTAATTCTTCATTAAACTTCACTTATAGTTGTTAATAACTTATTTTTATTATTATTAATATTATTATTATTATTATTATTATTATTATTATTATTATTATTATTATTATTATTATTATTATTATTACTTTTATTTAGTAATGTTTAATTTTCAAATACAAATTAGTATTAATACAACATTGATTGTTTTAAAGTATATCTTCTAATTTTTCTTACATTGTTCTGTATATCTGTGTTATGAAATAATTAATATTTTCGGTTAATTAAATTAAGTACGATGTCCTTAAGATTTTGAAATGTTTTATTTATTGCTTTCTTATATAGAAAGCAATTGTACCTGTTAATAAATTGAAAAATGGTTAAATTTTTTTTCAAAATTTCGCGCCGCGGAAGTTAGTTTGAAAAAATTACTACTGATGGCGTCATATTATTTTGACCATTTGCGTAATTACGGGTAATTCGAGATTTTTTGACGTCATCATGTAAAATACGCATTATACGTAGAAATAATAATAATACGTCACGTATAATACATACCCATCTCTGATCACGGGCAGAGGTGGAAAAATCTCATTAATGCACTGCAATTGTTCCTATTCTGCTAGTGTCATAAAAGGAAACAGTTTATTGCAATAGTTAATATTTTATTGATTTATTAATTTACTTCCTTAGTTATAAATCCTGTTATTAATAACTAAATCCTCGATTAATTATATATATATATGTGTTTTAGGTGTGACATTAAAAATTTTATCAATAATTTTTTTTTTTGACATTTCTAGTTAATCTGCCGATTTTCCGAATTTGTATTTATATTCTAATTTGCATTAACAAATAATTATTAAAATTAAAAATCATGAACTCGAATTATGATGGATTAACCTGGACGGGTAAGTTTATTTTAATATTTATTTTTAAAAATCTTAATTTTAAAGAGAAAATCATTTTAAAGAAATAAGGGTGCGGAATAAGGAAAAGAAATAACTATATATATTAAAGCCACGTATTATATTAATTATTTAACATTATATTCCTTACAAGAATCGATTCCATTATTTATAATTTAAATTCTGTTAAACTGAAATTCATTTTAATTTAAAAATGCTTTTCTTTGAAATTTTCCGATGACCTGATTTTATTTTTTGGAATATCGCATCAATTTATTGCAGAAGTTCGAGATATATTTCGAATTTGGCGAGAAAATTCTGAACGTAAAAGTAAGGATGTTGTTGACTTATGGGAATCAACATTGAAATCAAAAATGAATAATCTTGGAAATGAAAGTAAGTTGGACCTTTTGTAATTTTTTTGTACATACAGTTTTAATTAAATTGAACTATTTTTAATGAAATTGTGTAAAAAGAAAAAATTCATAAAAAATTAACTGTAAAAAATATTTTCAGAATATTTGATTTTGGAGCAAGTTTGTATAGCAGCTTTAGATTGTTATCGACTCGCTTTGGCTGAACAATGTTTAAAAATTCTAATGAATGAATTCCCTGGAAGTCTTAGAGTTCATAAATATCATGCAATGCATTTAGAAGCTTTAGAAATGTAAGTTTTTAATTTTTAAATTATTTTATTACATATAATAATCGTGAATATCTTTCGTTCATTCTGTCCACACCTGAAGTTAGTATTTGTTATAGGTCTTTTGTTTTTTTTTTAAATGTGTTGTTTAACATTATTTTATGTTGGTTAAAATTTTTCAATGTTTTGACATTGTCATTTGTGCGGTCGTATTTTAATTATTAAAAATTATAAAATTTTTAGAATTGTGCAAAAAAATTGTGAGGATTGTGAGAAAAATTGATTCGATTGCTGTTAGAGTAAGCTGCATAAGTTGATAATTTTATCAAATTTCAAAAATTTAATTAAATCACGATAATTTAATTAATTTTAAAAATAATAAAAAAAATTTTATATTATTTATTTATTTATATTATATTTATTATTTTTATTATATATTACAAATTAAATTTTTTTTTTTATTTTCACAAAATATTTATTTATTTTTGTTATTATAATTAAAAAAATTTATATTATATATATATATATTTATGTTATATACATATAAATTTTTAATTTTGACTAAATATTAATTTTTTTTAATAATTTTTATTTTTAAATATTAACTTAATATAAAATTTTTTAAAATAATTTTTATTTAAAATAAAATTTAAATTATTATATATTTATATATGTTACATTAATTAATTAATTAATTAGGAATATTGAATAATATATATATTAAATATTAAATTTAAATAATTTATAAATTATTTATTTATTAATTTAAATTTATTAATAATAATTATTATTATTTATTATTATATAATAATAAAAAATAAAAAATTTCATTTAATAAAAAATATTTTTATTATTTTTTGGTTATAATTTTTTTTTTTGCAAAATATTTTTTTTATTATAGGCAATTGAAAATTTATATATTTCATATAATAGATTAATAATAATTATTATTATTTATTATTATATAATAAAAAATAAAAAATTTTATTTAATGATAAATATTTTGATGATAAGAAATTTTTACAAGACCTTTACCGATATATGTTATCACAGAAAATTAAAAGGCATTAAAATAAGCTGCAACGCTTCTTATTTTAATCCAACTTTGCTTATTTTAATACCAAAATGGATTAAAATAAGCAAAATTGTATTAAAATAAGAAGCGTTGCAGCTTATTTTAATGCCTTTTAATTTTCTGTGATATTAAAAATTATCAATTTAAATTTTAAATCGAAAATTTTCTTGAAGAATTTCTGAAAAATTATCGACAGATAATCAAAAAAAAAAAATCAATAAATATTTTTTTTATTTGATAAAAATTAAGGAATTATTATTAACAATGTAATTATATTATAATAAATTAAAAATATTATTGATAATATTAATTTTAATTTCTTTATAATAAACAACTACATTCCTAATTTCGCGCGCTTGCGCGCGTTTAATTTTGCTAGTTAACTTTTATTTGGGATAAATTTTATTGAATTTTTTTTTTTTTTTTTTATTTTAGGTATGACGAAGCAGTGGAAGTATTAGATTCGATAATAAAACGAGATGAAACAAATGCAGCTCCAAGAAAAAGGCGAATTGCAATTTTAAAAGCAAAGGGACAAATACCAGAAGCTATTAAAGAACTCACGGAATATCTTAAAAAGTACATTAAAAATTTTTTTTATAATTTTTGAATAATTTTATTTAATTTTATTTAATTTTATTAATTAAATAACTTTTTAAGATTTATGAGCGATCAGGAAGCTTGGCACGAGTTGAGCGATTTATATTTACAAGAGCAAGATTATTCTAAAGCAGCATTTTGCATGGAAGAACTTATACTTCATAATCCACATAGTCATTTAATTTATCAACGTTACGCGGAAATAAAATATTCTCAGGTTTGTAATATTTCAAAAAAAAAAATTTTAATTATTTTAAAATGTTTTTTTAAAAATATTTTTCTATTTTACTTTTTAGGGAGGATATGAAAATATTGAACAAGCAAAATCGTATTTTTGTCAAGCAATAAAATTAAATCCAAGCAATATTCGAGCACTTTATGGATTATTATTGGTAAATTCAAAAAAAAATTTATTTTTAATAATTCGATTATTGTTAATAAAAAAAAAAAATTGTTTCTCACAGGCAACGAATCACATCGCCTCGTCGGTGAGAAGTACCGCTGCAAAAAAGAAGGAAGCAATAAAATTGAGTGAATGGGTCGCAAAAGTGTTGGACAATTTATATAAATCGAAAGTAGATGAAGATGAAGGAATTAAAGTGGTAGAAGATTTATTATCTCAATTACAAATTGAAGCTTAGTCTCGAAAATTGGTAATTTAGGTAAATATCTCAAACACACACACACACACACACAAAAAGGGTAGAGGCACTAATTTTGCATTTTCTAAAGAAAACTTTTTTTTCTATCCGCATTTTATAATACTGTACAGAATAATAGTACAGTTAGGTTTAATAAATGTAAACCACTATCTGTTTGAATAGTAATTATTAGATAAAATTTAAAAAAAAGAGTGATTGTTGTTTCTTTGTTATAAATATTGTACGAATCGCTATTACATTTCAAAAAGAATGATTACTGAGAGTGGGGAGGAAGAAAAAAACTTTTAAGAAAATGTTACTGCGAAGCGAATTTTCGTCAATTAATTCGTCTCATTGTCATTAAATATACTTCGTTGATTGAAAACAAAAAAAATCAGTTTTCCTCATTTTCTTTAATAGACGTTTATTTCTTTTTGTTTCTATTTTAATATTTTTCTTTTTTAAATTTAATTAGTATTTTTTTTTTTTTTTTTAATATATTAGTTATTCTAGTTTTTTCTATATTTAACTATTCCTTCTTTAATAGTAATCTCCTTAAATACAAAAAATTACCCTGAGATTTCTAATGTTGAGAAATTGATTTTTTAATTAGTATAAAAAATGAAATTCAGTCTGTGGAAAAAATATTTTGGCTTTGTCGAATTATTCAATTTCCGGCGCTACGGTGTTCTGTAAAAAAAAATTTTTTTTAGCTCTTTTTCTTTTATGAATTTTTTTAGATATATTTCAAATTCTCTTAAATAATTACCCGATCTTTGAGAAATTCTCTGATTGGTTTAAAAGGATTGCCTGCTTTTGATAAGATGGAAGACTTGGCGGATAATTTTCGATATTTTGGAGTTTCAGCACGTTTTATACGACTATTTAGCGTATTGTACTGTCTTAAAATTGTTTCAAGTAACCATCTATGGGAAAAAAGTACTAAATTAGTTTTTTCTTTTTTTGCTGAGAAAAATTAATTTTTAAATGAAAATTTTACCTGTAACCATCAATAATTGCAATTTCTTTAAAATCTGCATCAATGCAAGAGCAAATTTCAACTCTCGTTGGACATTTCATTGAATTTGCTAATTCTTCTATATTTAAATTATCAACAATATCTAATTCGTCAATTGCACCTCTCAAGTCTTGTTTATTTGCTAATCTGTTTGAAAAAAAATTATTGCCTTAATTATCGTGAATTCAATTAATTAATTTTTTACATTTTTTTCTCTTACAATAAAACTGGTTTTCCCGAAATATGTACATGTGTTATAACATCATTAAAAACTTCTCTACTTTCTGAAAGTCGTGACAAATCACTGGCATCCACGACATAAATAATTCCATGAACCTATAAAAAAAAAATGTAAATTATAACTGATTAGAAAAAAAATTATTTTTTAATTTTTCTCACATCACTATAATATTTTTTCCAAATTGATCGAATTTGCGGTCCTCCTCCAATGTCATAGATTTTTATTTTACATGTCTTATATTTTAATGTCACTGTACGAAATCCAATTGTCGGTAAAACAATTTGACTAACATCTACGAAAAAAAAAATTTGTTATAAAAATTAATTATTAAAAATTAATTAATTTACTTACCGCCACTAATTCGATTTAAAACAGAGGTTTTTCCAGCATTATCAATTCCAGCCATAAGTAAAACAATGGTTCTGTAAAATAATTATTTCACAAAAAATAAATATATTGATTATTAAATGATTTTTTTTTTTTTTAATTAAACAATTTCTATTTTAAAAGAATAGAGAGATACTTTTGAGGACATCTTCTGCGGTGAAATTCCTCAATAGTCATCTGCACACAGTTACCCATTTCTACATTATATATATGTATTTTTTTTTTTAAATACAATTTTTACAAAAATTGATTAATAATTTTCAATTTAATCACTTTTTCTCCTTTAATTTCATTCTTTTTTTTCACAAGAATGAAATTAACTTCTTCTTTTTTAGTGTTGAGATTAAATTATAATTTTGCTGGAGACTTAAATTTTAGTATTTTAATGTAAATTAATAATAATTGACAATATAAATAAAATGCACGTGTTAAAAACATTTTTTTTTCCCCTTGTTTCTTATGTATACGTGTCACAAGTCCTTTAAAGTGATCACGTTGTCATGGAAACAATAAATCACTACAAACATTGTGTTTCTATGTCACTATGACAAAATAAATAATTTTTGTCTTAAATTTTATAACAATTCGAAACAATAGTAAATTGTAATAATAAAAAACAATATTTTTATATAATTTTTTTTATAAATAACAATAAGTGTTTTAAAAATTTGGCGCCATTTCTCTGATTAAAGATTTTCTGCTGTGAATGGAACTTTAGAATGACGTCAATGATTGATCTACCGAGCCCTGGGTGACATTCTAGTGGATTTTTTTAGTAACTTTTGGAAAGTAATAAATACCATATATATATATATGTATGTATTTTGCTTTTGTTGCCAAGCGAAAATTGTCAAATTGTTGTTTTAATTAAACAAATCATTATTATTATTATAAATTTAAATATAACAATGTACGAAATTGATATTGAAAATGATTATTTGTTTTTACTTGAAAATGTGGGTCAAATTTGTCGAGTGTGTCTTGATTTAAATCAGAATAATCAATGCATTTTTTCTACAAGCGACAATGACCCCGAAAATATAAACGCTTTAGATTTGGTTAAGAAATTAAACGTTCAAGGTGGCATTGAGGTATGTAACTATTTTTATTATTTATCTATTTAATTCAAGAAAAAAATAAAAATTCTATCGGATAAAAAGTAAAAAAATCTCTTGTAATCAAAAATACACGTATTCATTTTTGTTTAGCTGTCATGAAAAAAAAAATATATTGTTTCTTATTTTGCTTTATTGAATATAATTTTGAATTTAAATTTTAAAGAAATATTCTAAATAAATATTTCTAAATTAATTTTTTTAATAGATTCAAGAAAATGATGGTCTTCCATCGAATATCTGTCTAAGTTGCACTTTAAAAGTAAATGCTGCTCACGAATTTAGAGAACAATGTCAATTAGCAGACAGAAAATTAAGAAAGGCATTTGAAAAATTTCAAACAAATTTCAATTCGGATTCTTCGACACCACAAAAGGTATATATACAGTTTTTTTTTAAATTAACATATTGTTTTTGTTGAATTTTTGTTTTTTTATATATCATGTATTTGTTCACAGAATTTACATTCACAAACCGAGGATAAATGTTTACTTCTTAAAAATGAAGAATTACAGAATGAAAATTCAAATTCAATAAATGATAATTTCTCCGATGGTATTTCAAAAATTGTCAATGATGTTGATGAAAAATTCAATTATTCCTGTGACACTGAAATAAATAGTAATGAAACATCAATTATAAATGAAAATGATGAAACAATTGAAATTGAAAAGGAAAATGCTCCATATAAAAAAGAAGGTTGTAAAACACGTAAAATGTCTGTATTTAAACGTGTAACATCAATGGAAAATTTAAAGAATTTTAAAGAAAGACAGAGGCAGTATATTAAAAAAAATGTGAAATCTGATCAAAATGAATTGAATGAATTTTCAACGAGAAAAAAAAATCGAATTAATAATCAAAGACTGACTAATGAAGAGTCTGAATTAAATTTTGAATGTAATTTATGTAATATCACATTTTCTAGTAAGAGATCATTAGATAAACACACATTAATTCATAATGAAAAGAAATATAATTGTGATAAATGTGATAAAGAATTTTCCACTAATGATAAACTTTTGGAACATTCAAAATTACATCAACCAAAAGAAAAATCAAAACCTGTAAGTTTTCAAAATTTCATCGAATTTGAAGAAAAATATATTTAATTACTGTTTTTTGTTTTTTTTCAGGTACGTTGCAAGATTTGTGAGAAAAGTTTTAAAAAAACTGATACAATGGTGAGACACTTGAACATTCACAAGAGAGCAAATCCAAAAGAAGTATTTTCCATTCTCAAGGAAATCAGAGATAGAAGAAAAATGGAAAATAATGTTGAAAACAAAGAAATTAATATTTCCACAAGCAATGAATTTATAAATAATGAAATTGAAGAAACAAAACAAAATGAAAATATTTGTACTAAAGAATTAAGAAAGCGTGTACCGAATTCACAGACAAAACAAGAAATACAATCCGATGTTTTTCAATCTGATTCAAATAGTGAAAGTGATCATTCTTTAAATGATATGGCACTATTTCGTTGTAAAAATTGCACAAAATGTTATACAACTGAAAAATCATTGCAACGACATATGCTAATACATGATGAAAAAAAATTCATATGCAATGTTTGTAATATGAAATTTTTCCGTCCCGATAGACTAAAAAGTCATAGAGACAGGTATTTTTATTAATTTATTATAAATTCCTAAAAAAAAGACTAATAAATTTTACATTTCTTTTCTTTTTTTTAGATACGGCCACAATGAGGGCAATGTTACTGAGCCTGAAAAGCCGGCAGATGATAAATCGGCAATAAAATTAATCAACAGTTGGATACGTGAAGAATTAGATTCAGATAATGAGGGTAAAGGTTTTTCATGTGATCTTTGTGGAAAATCATATGTGACAAAAAAATCACTAGCAAAACATCGTGCAAATATTCATGAAACACAGCGTAATAATTATTGTAAAAATTGTGGCATCAATTGTAATTGTGATGAGAAGAAAAAAATTTTTATTAAACCAGAAAAAACAAAAATTTTTACATGCAACGAATGTGGAAAATCATTTGAAAAAGAAAATAAATTACAAAAACATTTACAAATTCATGAGAGAGCTAAAGAACAACAGGATTCAAATTTTAAACGTTTTCTTTGTCATATTTGTAGTAAAACATTTCGACAAAATACTGGATTAATGTTTCATATGAGAACACATACGGGATATAAACCACATGTTTGTAAATATTGTGGCCGGGGATTTACATCAAATTCAAATTGTATTAATCATGAAAGAACACATACTGGTGATCGTCCATTTGTTTGTCATTTTTGTAGTGCTGCTTTTGCAAAATCTTGTACATTAAAAGCACATATAACAACACATACTGGCGAAGCAAATTATCATTGTAAAACATGTGGTAAATCATTTAGAAGATTAAAATATTTAAAGGAACATAAATTCACACATACAGGTGAGAAGCCATATGCATGTAAAATATGTGGCACTGCTTATAGTCATTCGGGAAGTTTATTTGTACATGAAAAAAAATGTAAGGCACAATTTAATAATTTTCAACCAGCAACATCGCAAAATGGACAAAATTTTTGTCAATCACAAACAAATATTGTCACAACATCATCATCATCGCCATTAATTACATTACCATCGACACAACAACATCATCATCATCATCATCATGTGGGCAATATTAATAATTCATTAGGATTGCAAGGTAATAAAACTTATATCGAAAGTGTACAAAGGATGAGCGCTCATGCTGCTGCTGCAGCTGTTGGAAATACAGGATTGCACGTTCATGCAAATACTGATGTATCCGATATGGCCTCAGCTGTTAGGAATTTTGCTATTATTGGACAAATGTTTCATTGAAAATTTACTTCGTTTTTATGTCTTTATAAAATAAGTATAGCTGATTTTTTTTTAATGAGCATTTCTTGATATATTTTACTGATTTAAATTCATATCAATTATTTAGTGTAGAGATTTTTATTTTAATCTGCCTAAGTGTGTAGGCAATAGAGTAGTAGTTTTTGTTTTTAGACTCAAATAATTTTCAACTAATTGCACGTTTTTAGTTGTTAAATTTCATTTTATTATGAGTTACGTAAAAAATAATTGTTGAGATATAGTTAAAATTTATTAAGAAAATATTTTTTAAACTATTTTATTAGAGTTTTTAGAACAAAAAAAAATGAGAATTGAAAGAAATTCTATTTCGAAAGTAAAATTAATTCTTTTTTTTATGAGAATGTTTATAATAATTTCTCTTTTCGTTCTGATTTTAGAAAAAAAAAAAATTATTTAAAAATTGCAAATAATGAATTATTTTTTCACAAAAAGATTGAATTCTTCTGTGATAACAAGACAATTTAACTTCATTTTTAAATTTTCATATTTTACATTTTAAAATGTAAATATTTATGCAATTTTTGTAAAAAGAACGAGGAGAAAAACGCCTATGAAAAATTGTTCGATGTTTTTTTTTTTGATACAATCTTTAAAATGTATAGAAAATTTGTTTATAAAAGTAGAAAATTGTATTTTGCTTTTAAAAAATGTTTTGAATTAATTTATCGAATTTTCAAAAAAAAACTATCTATTACGTAATGTAAAAAAAAAATTACTTTGGAATCTAGTTTTTTTAAGTCAGCAGGATAATGATTATATTTTCTGACATAATGCCAAGGTGATATATCGTTATAATTATTTTAACAGATTTTTATAGAAACCATTTTCATAAAAGACAGTGGAATTATATACGATTTGTTTCTGTGTGACTGATAATTTTACAAATTAGTTTTTATAGATATTCAGAAAAAAATAAAAATAAAAAACAGTATCATATAACTGTAAATAGATTACCATAAAAAATGTAACCATTAACGCGACTGCATCTATATATAATAAAAATAATTGTAACAGCATTAATTTATTTTAAATCATTTCAAATTCTACAATTGGTTTTTTTTTTATTTCTGATTCAATAACCATACTAGCAATATTAAACGCGCGCCAAATTGAGTATTTAATTGTTTGTTATAAAGAAATTAAAGATTAATATTATCAATAATAATTTAAATTTATTAGAATATTATTTCATATTAAATGATAATAATGAAAATTATTATTATATGTTATTAAATTATATATAAAATTGAATTATTTTCCAAATTTTCAATTTAAAATTCAATTATTTACCAAGTTTTCAATTTAAAATTAAATAAAATTCAAATATTACCCGAAATTTTAATTCAACATCAACTTAAATTAAATTATTATCCAAAATTTCAATTAAAATTCAATTATTTTCTAAAATTTCGAGTCAAAATTAATTATTATCAAAATTTTCAATCAACAATCAACTAAAATTAATTATTATCAAAATTTTCAATCAACTAAGATTAAATTATTTTCAAAATTTTCAATTTAAAATTCAATTATTTACCAAGTTTTCAATTTAAAATGAAATAAAATTCAATTATTTTTTAAAATTTTTATTCAAAATTAATTATCGAAATTTTCAATTAAAAATGAACTTAAATTAAATTATTATCGAAAATTTCAATTAAAATTCAATTATTACCCGAAATTTTAATCCAAAATCAATTTAAATTAAATTATTATCCAAAATTTCAATTAAAATTTAATTATTTTCCAAAATTTCGAGTCAAAATTAATTATTATCAAAATTTTCAATCAGCAATCAACTAAAATTAATTATTTTCAAATTTTCAATCAACAATCAACTAAAATTAAATTATTTTCAAATTTTCAATTTAAAATTCAATTATTTACCAAGTTTTCAATTTAAAATAAAATAAAATTCAATTATTTTTTAAAATTTCGATTCAAAATTAATTATCGAAACAATGCCAAAAAAAACATTGAAAAATTTTAACCAACACAAAATAATGTCAAACAATACATTTAAAAAAAAAACAAAAGACCTATAACAAATACTAACTTCAGGTGTGGACAGAATGAACGAAAGATATTCACGATTATTATATGTAATATGTAAAATTCACTTTTTATTATTATTGTTTCTAAGAAACAAAAAATGGATAACACATGTTTTAATTTAAATTTTTCCGCCAGGAGAAATACAGCAAACGAACATGCGCGCAATCAGCTGTGATCATTATCATTCTTTTCCAAAAAAAAAATTATTTCATTAATTATCCATTTATTAAATAAAAAAAATTATTTAAATTACAAGTAAAAATAAATTAATAAATATTTGTCTTTTTTGTAATTATATTTTTTTTTGTTTATATTAGAAAATAATTATTATTGTTTTTCTTATCTACTCCCCGATAAAACTTGGTATGATAAAAAAAAAATTGAATTAAATTCTTTTTAAACGACAATATTTAATTTTTCATCTCCAATATTAATGTAATATAATTGTATTTGTAGCCGAACAATGTATTCAAAGATTCAATAAGCTACGTAATTGATTCAGTTTATCAAGTCCATGGCCAGAGCAAGAGCAATAGAAGAGAATATGATGTGAGTTTTATTCTATATGTAATAACCGGTAGTACATAGGTCAAAAACTTATATACATATATATATATATATATTTAACAGTGTTGAATTCACTCGGAGCTTTGAATAAATAATAATAGTGATTCTCAAATATCCGCATGACACCATCTCAGGTATATAAGATATAAAGCAAAAAAAAAAAAAAAATTGTCCACGTGATTCAACAATGATCTTAAGATCAATGTTTTCACCTGTGAAGCTGCTAATTCGTCAAATTAGAAATTAAATAGCAAAGGTAAACAAATATTTTTTTTCATTTTATAATAAATTATTTTATATTTCAATTTTTTTTCAGATTTTATATAATGACATAAAAAAAATTGAAGTGAATTAGAAATTTTTTTTCAAAAATGTTTCACAAATTCATTGATTATATGAAAGATCCACATTTAGTTGCGAAAATACAAAATTTTTTTGGAATTATAATTCATGAGAAATGTCAATTTAATGTGGAAAATTTAAAAAGCAAAGAAAAAGAAGAAGAAGAAGAAGAAAATTTAAATGGTATTAATAATATAAAAATGGAAACAAATGGTTATTTTAATAAAATAATGAATGATGAAAAAAAAATAAATTCTAAAAAAAAAGAATTAATTGCAACAAATTTAACAAGAAAATTTAGTATTAATAATCAATTTTGGTATTATTTGTTTCTATTTGGCACTGAATTGGGAGATGAAATTTTTTACATTTCATTTATACCATTTTGGTTTTGGAATATTGATAGTTCAGTTGGACGAAAAGTTGTTCTTGTTTGGTGTATTGTCATGACAATTGGTGAGAATTTGGTTTCAATTTTTGAATTTTTTTGCAAAAAAAGAAAAAAAAAATTACCCGGGGAGCCTGAATGAACTTTAAATGGTCAATTTTTTTTGCACTTCGGATTTTTTTTTCTTGCAATACAGAAGCATAAACATAGTGTGAGTAAAATAATTTTTTTGCAAAATTCATCGAATCATTTTCAAAAAAGATATTTTTTATGTTAAAAATCAATTTTTTTTTCAAAAACAAAAACCAATTTCGATTAATTCAAAATCAAAAAAAAATATTTATGTACATAACCCTTATGAAAATTCCTTATAAGAAAATAATGTTAAAGCTGAAATGTTTTTTGTTTAATATTTTCGCAATTATAGGTAATTTATTATAAGAAATTCATTATAAAATTTTTTTTCTCAAATAATTATAAAAATATAATTATTAGAGACTCTGTAATGAAATCATTACAATTTTATAATTATGAAAATAAAATTTTTCACGTGCAAAAATTAAAATATTATAAAATTAAAATTATAAAAATTTAATTACAGAAATTAATTAATTTTGTATTTTATTGATAACTATATATATATCATATAACTATATGGGTGATTCTCTCAAAAAGGACAAATTACGCTTTTAAGATATTTTGTTAAAAAATATGAAAATTAATTGAAATTATTTAAAATTCTGTCAGCCATACGTTAGGATTTAACAATTTTCAATTGGACCAATAAAGAAAATTTTAAAAAAAGGTAAAATAACTGAAATATTGAATAAAAACTGATGTTACGGAATGGAGTTTTAACACTAGTTTTCATTCAATAATTCAGTTGTTTGCCATTTTTTTGAAATTTTCTTTAGTGATCCCATAAAAATTTGTTGAATTTTATCGTATGTCTGGGAGAATGTTTATTAATTGAAATTAATGTTATTATTTTTTAACAAAAACCTCGTCCAAAAATTTTGCACAAATAATTTGTTCTTTTTGAAAGAATCACCCATATATAGTTATCAGTAAAATACAAAATTAATTAATTTCTGTAATTAAATTTTGATAATTTTAATTTTATAATATTTTAATTTTTGCACGTGAAAAATTTTATTTTCATAATTATAAAATTGTAATGATTTCATTACAGAGTCTCTAATAATTATATTTTTATAATTATTTGAGAAAAAAAATTTTATAATGAATTTCTTATAATTACCTATAATCGCGAAAATATTATACAAAAAACATTATACTGAAAACATTTCAGCTTTAACATTATTTTCATATAAGGAATTTTTCATAAGGGTAATAAAGAAAAGAAAAATATAAAATTTAATGTATAACATTGTTAAAAAAATATTAATTTTTTTAATATCTTATGTAAATATTGCTTTTCATTTTATTTAAAGAATAAAATCTGTAATTTTATTAATCTACCTATTTCATTAATTAAAAATTATTTTTAAAGTTCGTTTAGACACCCCGGTGAATTACTAAATTGTAAATTGGAATTATTGAATAATTTCTCTTTTAAATAGGACAAGCGCTAAAAGATATTATTTGTTGGCCAAGACCAGCGTGTCCACCAGTTGCTAGATTACAAAATAAATGGTCCCAAGAATATGGAATGCCATCGACTCATGCAATGATTGGAATATCGATACCATTTAGTGTTTTAATTTATACAATGAATCGATATAATTATTCATATTCTGTGGCCTTTTTCATTGCTTTAATATGGTATGAGAAATTTTTTTAAAGAAAATAAATTTTCGATGATTTTTTTTTTTTTTGATAATTTCTATATTATAGGTGTGCAGTAGTTTGTATGAGTCGATTATATCTTGGAATGCATACAGTACTAGACTTAATTGGAGGACTTGCATTGGCAATTGGATTGATGATTCCATTAGTGCCATTAATAGATGTAACTGACTATTATTTTTTAACGAACGGTTGGATATTGTCGATTTTAGTATTTCTCACTATTATCACTATTATTTATTATCCAAATAGCGATAGATGGACGCCAACTAGGTAAATTAAAAATATTTCTAAAAAAAAATTACAACTCATAATTGAAAAAAACATTTTTCAGAGGAGACACAACAATGGTAGTTTCTGTAACAGTTGGCGTACACGTTGGTTCATGGCTTAATTTCACAACTGGAGCATTAAATGAATCATTAATATCACCACCTTATGAAATTAATTGGCCAACATATCAAACATTAGCCTTAATTAGTTTTCGTACAATTTTTGGCTTTTGTTGTATAATTTTTCTACGAGGATTATGTAAGTCAATTAGTTATTCAATAATGTGTGCCATATTACGTGTTAATTCAAAGGAACTTATTAAAAGTGAAAATTCATTGATAAATAAAAATAAAATTATTGTCGATCTTGTTTATAAATATGTAACATATTTTATAGTGGGATTTAATATTGCTTATTTAATGCCGTATATTTTTACAATTATCGGTATTGAACGCAATAGTTTTTACTCCGAAATGTAGATAAAAAAAAAGAATTCTAGATTAATTAAAAAATTTAATATTTAGCTGAGAATATAAATTTTCTATTCTTTAATTTCTATTACTTTTATTGTGACATTTTTAAGAAAATAATTTTCTTTTCCTAGTCATCAATTTTAAAATTACTATTTCGATTATCTTGACTAGCTGAATAGTGTAAATATGTATAAAAAAAAAATAAAACAACACTATTGCATTTATTTATGTAAATATATTGTATGAAACGTTTCTTTAAATGCTTTTTTAAAAATAATTTAGTATTTAAAGTTTTATTTAACTCAAAGATAATGAAAATAAATCTAATAAAATTAAATTAAAAGTAATTGTCACTTGCAAACCTTTCAACACTTCACTGGCAAATTTAGTCGTAAAATCTGTAAGATTAAATATTGGAAATTTATATATATATTTTTTTTTTTGTAGAAAATAATGAAATTTCTTACCCCTAAATCAGGATCTAATTCAGCATAAGCTTTTTCTTTATTCAAAGAATAAGGAATAAAAATGTCAATTAAATATTTTGAATCTTTTGACTCGACAATTATTCGATCTTCTCCAATTTCTACCGTTATATTTTCAAATGCCTGAAAATATAGGAAATTAGATTATTTATATTTTTTTTTACATTTATATATTTTCTTTTTTTTTTTACCTTTAGAGGAATTTTGAATAGACCAATTAATTTATTTGGTTTTCTCTTCGTTGGAGTTTGAAGAATAATATAGTCAAAATTTTTTTTATTCGTGACAATTGTTGATTTAATTTTTTTCGAATTACTTGTTACATCTTCTATTAGTTTCTTTGGTAATTGAGGTTTTCTTACTTCACGTTTCTCGATTCTATGTTGTTGTAATGTACCAATAACCTTTTTAATAAAAATTTTTTTTTTAATCTTTTAATAAATATTTAAATAAATTGAAAATAAAAAAATTTTTAATAACCTTTCTATTTTTGAGTATCACACAATTGTCGCATTCAAAAGTTTTGTTAAATTTGTCATTTACTGCTTCAATCATTACTTGAGTTGTAAAGAGCATAAAAATTTTATTATCCTGACATTTATTAAAAAATATTGTATTTATTGCAATATCATATGCAGGACATAATGCACCACCTTGAAAAGTATTTTAATAAATTTTTTTTTTAATTAAAATAGATAAAAATTAAAATTTACCTTTATCAGCATCAAATTTTTCTTGTCCAATTGACATTGGAATTATAAAAGAAGGATTATCGCTTGTTGCAACATTAACTAATGTCTCATCAGAAATATCTTTAGGAGCTGGTATTTTATCTGTGTGACAAATATTTATAAATCCTTTATCGCCTGTCTTTGTTCGTAATTTTACACAAACTCCTATATAAAAAGAATTTTTTTTTTTAATATTTACAGCATAAGTTATTTTCACTTATTTTTAAATTTAATAATAATTAATTAATTAATTTTAAAATATAAAAGAATACCTGGCATTGGTTTTACTATATCAAATGGAATATTTGGTTTTTCAAAAGTTTTAAGTAACTCCGTCAATTCATCTTCTTGTTTATTTACCTTTAAAATTAGAAATTTTTAGAAAAAGCATATAAAAAATTGAAAACCTTTTTTAACTTACAATCTGAAGATTATTATGTAGTAGAGAATCATCAATATCAAGTAATGTATTTGTCATGATTTATTTAATTTTCAAAAATCTTCAACATACAAAAACTTATAATTTATAGGTTATATATGAAGTGATTTGAGTTTTGTAAACATGTGACGTCATAAAAAAATTGAGACAAAAAAAATAAATTTAAATAATGCATTAGTTGTTAGTCAAAAACAATGTGTCTTAAAAACTAAGTTCTTTTTTTTGTTAATTATAAGAAATTATTTTATTTAATATTAAATAGACAAAAAAGAAATTAATTTAAATACAGCGCCTCTAGTGATAATAAATAAGAAAACACTAGAATCAATTTTTTATAGGGAATTTTAGTTTTTAATATTGGTACTACTGTGAAATAGTTTCTTTCTTTTTTTCCTTTCGCGTTTTCGACAAACGACAGTCGAGGTATGTAATAATTTTTTATATTTTTTTACATTATAAATTGCAAATTTTTTTACAAAAATAATTTTTTTATTATAAATTACAATTTTCAATAGATAATTACATTAATTGATGGAAAATTGATCGGCAATGTTTAATTAAAAGCCACGTGTCTGGATGCTCTCGAACATAACCTAAAAATTATTTCCATGTTTATTTAAATATATTTACTTCTTTTTTTTATTATAAAAAAAAATAAGAAAAAGCTATTGAAGTAAATTTATTAATTGATTTTTTTTTTAAACGACATAATTGTTATTGGGAAAATTAAAATTTCCATGTTTACATAGATTAATGTGACGCGAACAGCAAGTAAATTTTGTGTCAAATCTTTTTTTTTTTTGTTTTTTATTCTAAAGAACAAATATTTGTAGAAAAATTCTAGAATTTTACTATGAGATTAATTTTTAATTCCAATTGTAATTAAAATGTGAAAAATGAAATTTTTGTTTTTATATATTTTTTTTTAGGTTAACTGTCACTTTGCAATTTGAATTGATTTGTTATAATTAATATTTGTCTTGTCAATAGCCCCAATTATGAACATAATTAAAATTTTTTATTTATTTAATTATTTTTTGTTCTATTTTACATTTTTAAATTATAATTGTTTTGCTTTCTTTCTTTTTTTTCACAGAAACAACAAGCGTCAAAATGACAAATTCAAAGGGTTATCGACGTGGTACAAGAGATTTATTCTCTCGTAAATTCAAAAAACATGGAACAATTCCACTTTCAACTTATATGAAAGTTTATAAAATTGGCGATATGGTTGATATTAAACAAAATTCAGCTATTCAAAAGGGATTGCCATATAAAGTTTATTATGGAAAAACAGGCCGTGTTTTTAATGTAACTCCACATGCACTTGGAGTTGTTGTTAATAAACGTGTGCGAGGAAGAATTATTCCAAAAAGAATCACCGTTCGTGTTGAACATGTAAATCATTCAAAATGTCGTGAAGATTTTTTGAAACGTGTGAAGGAAAATGAACTTCTTAGAAAACAAGCGAAAGAGAAGAAAATTACCGTTCAATTAAAACGACAACCTGTACAACCAAGTGGAGCGCACATCGTCTCTGGAAAACAGGCACCAATATTACTTGCACCTATTCCCTATGAATTTGTTGCCTAAACGAAAAATAAAATCTTTGTAATTATAATTTCTATATTTTTTTCTTTGTTATGACAAAAAAAAACCCCAAAGTCTTGTCTTTTTTTTAATTACATAGATTTTCTATTCTTCTTTTGTATAATTCCAAAAAATTAGTTTTATAATTTTTTTTTAGTTTTTATATTTTTAAATTCAATTTTTAATTTATGTTTTTAGTATTTAAAAGAAAAATAAAGGAATGGTTTTATATAATATTATAAAAGTAACAAAAATTTTGTTAAGGAAATAAATTTAATTTATCGATGTTTCTTTTTTTTTATGTACATATTTCAGTGTAATGAACGAACAACAACAATCGAAGAGGCAGTTTTAACTTTTCTCACTGGATTATGATGTTCCAATAATTCTGGTAGTGGATCTTTTATCATAAAAATTGGTGAACGATTTTTTTGATGTGACTTTATGCGAATTGTTTTCAATGGAGTATCTTTGATATTTAATTGCGCGAGACCATTTCGATGATAATTATTATTATTATTGTCATGAATTATTCTTCGACCATAGAGACGTTTATCAGTAGAAGGTGATTTTATTTTTCCTCTATTATCCCTCGTATGAATTGTTTCCAATTTAATAGGATTATTACGTTTTGGCAGTGAAAATGGTAATTCCATAATTGATGATGAATTTCGTAAAATATCACCGGTTAGCGCGTGATTTCTATTTTTTCTCACTAAATTAGCGGTTGCTGTACAACTGTGAAGAACGTAATCCCTTCCTAAAAAAAAAAAAATTTTTTTAATTAAAATAAATTAGTTTTTTTTGGAACAAATAGAAAATTTTTTTTGAGTAAAACTAATTAATAATCGTACGTTATTAAAGAAATTTTTTTGAATGATTTAAAAAAAAAAACTTACCAGAACGTTTTGAACGGAATTGACGTTTTGAAATTGTAATATCACACAAAACTATAATAATTGTAACTAATAATAAATTTCGTATCCTTGTCATTGTAGGGAATGGAGAAAAAAAAAATTTTTTTTGTATAATAAAAATTTTTTTTTTTTTTTTTCAATTGCAGAAGTGAAAAAAAAAAAATGAGAGCGTCCTGTATCGAGGAGATCTGTTCGCGATCCTTGTTGGAATAATTGTGGAAACCGGAGAACGGTGAGAGAGCAATGGGACGACTGCAGACAGTGTAAAATTGATAATTGATCGAGGAAGAAAGGAACGGTGTATAAGCCATTGCCTTTGGCTATATACTCTTCTCCCAAGATTCAAAATGCAATTCTTCAAAGGTAAGTCTTTTTTCTTCTTCTTCGCCATCATCATCATCAGCACCTTTTTCTTCTTCTTTTTTCATTTCTTCCCATATAAAATATAAAAATTCCCATATTCAAGAAATATTTCTATAATTGATTCACAATTGGAATCCAAGATATGCAAATAATAATCAGATAACAAAAGTTATTACACACTTTTATTTTTATTTTTATTTTTTTTTTAGTGTGAAAAATTTGCATTTAATTATTTAAAGTCGACATCATTATTACATGTTAGCGCAATTATTCTTTGATTTATAGGCAGATTCTTGAATTTTTTTTTGTATCTGAAAGAATTTTTAATAATTTAAATATTTAATAATTTTTCTATTAAATTCGAAAATTAATTATCAGAATGGAATTTTTTTTTTGGATAATGAATTATAATTAATTCTTAATAAAGGATTAAAAAAAAAGAAAACATTTTGTATTCTATGGAAAGAACTAATTTTCTAAATTAGTTAGATTTGTAGATAAGTATATACAACGTCTGATCTCTGTGTAATTGGTGCAATATATGGAAGTATTGTTTTATATGTCGAGGAATAAAATATAAAAAACAATAGCTCATATAACAACAAATACGGGCTTCCTGAAAAACCGGTTCACCTCGAATAAAACTGTGGTAAAATAAAAGAAATTCCTTCTACCTGATATTGACCTTGCAAAATGAAGAAACACCTGCTAAAAGTCGATACGTCATTTTCAAATTTCAAAATTTTGTCAAATATGATAATAGAGATGGCAAATTTTACAATTTATTAATAATAATTTTTTTTTTAATTACGAACAAAATATATAATTTTTTTTCGCGAATTTCTTTTAATTTATTACAAAAGAATTTGACGAGTTACCCTTGAACGCGAGTTGATGAACCAAAGAAAAAAAGAAACAACTTCATGTTGGCTTTGTTCGATACTAAATTATCAATTTTAAATAGTTTTCACACACAAGAGTTAGTCACTGAAAAAAAAAAATTCATATATTTTCCGGAAAGAAAAAAAAATTAATGACATTCAATAATCATAAAACAAATTTTTCTCTTCATTTGAAATAAATCAAAGTTAAATTCATATGAGAATATGAATGAATTCCTGTTAATTTATAATAAAAAAAATATGATTATGTAAAATTTTTCCTAATTTGAAAAAAAATTAAAAATTTATCATATGAACGTTTCTTTATTATCGAATGCAACAACCTCCGGCCTCGGTTGGTCGTTTGCCTCATATATTCGCAGCTTTCAGAAAAAAAAAAAAAAATATTACAACCACATTCTTATTAAATATAAAGATATTATTTTTTTTAGCTAATTTTTCTAAACATCGAAAATTTACATTAGAATAACAATAAATAAAATTTTCCTAATAGAACAAATTTAATTAAATTAAAAAAAAAATTCTCAAACGGACCAAATTCGAATGGATTTTATTTTTAAACCCATTTCAGATCCACTTTGTCTCTTCCAACTTGGTAGCCATCGATTTTTAGCTTTCCAAAAATTTAACATTGCCTGTTAAAAAGAGAAATTTAAATTAATAATACATAAAAAAAAAATTTTTTTCCTTCTATAAATATATATACCTTTGCTCCCAAATTTTTCCATGGTTTTACATATTGATCGCTCAATAAATCATCTTCAAATACACGAAGTCCACCCACTCCAACTCCAATTGTTAAATAAAACTATATTATAAAAAGAAGAATTTTTCATGAAATACGAAAAAAATATCTAATTAATTATATATTTATTTAATTTCAGATATGTGAAAATTTTATTTAATTATGAATTAAAAAGAAAAAAAAAATTGCCTCTTGTTCAAAAGGAGCGAATCGTTGTATTTTTGATGTTGGATCGACAAATTCCTCTTGAAGATTAAGAAAACCAATTTTTGTGCCATCAATTAAAAATGTCATTCCAATATCAGACCAAATTGTCGTGTATTTGTGAAAATCTTTTGTCCAAGCACCGCTGCGTCTGAATTTAGTGATATTTTTATATTGAAAATGTTCAGAATCACCAAATCTGAATCCAAATTCCAAAAATTTACCTCCATATTCTCTCTCGTCATTATATAAAATATCATTGCCACGTGCCAAGCCCAATATTACTTTAGCAAATGAATATTTATCGTCATTACTTTCGTAACGTGGAATTAGATACATTTCTGCAATTTTAATATAAATAAAATAAAATATTTTTTTTTTATTATCTTTTTTTTTGTATTAAATTTTTCAATATTATCTGAAAAATTATTTCCAAGACTTTTATATTATTTCATTTGCATTATACAATATGAAAATAATTCTTTTTTACCGGGAAATAACCAATCGCCCTGAGGGAATTTTGCATTTATTTCAATTTTTCCATAACGAAAATTAAAAGATTCCTTTGTTGTTAAACGACCAGAAATAACTGGTTGCAAAATATGATATCCAGCTCCTTCACGTTGACATTCTTCAACTACATTACTCGTGCAACTGAAAATTATTTTTTTTTTCGAAATTGTAATTAAAATTATATACTTGGGTTTTTTTTTTATTTTCAATAATTAATAATTTTAATTCAATGAATACTTCTTTTATTTTAAATAATTTTCCAAAAATATATATTTTAAAAGTCAAAAATAATTATTTTGAAAAAAAAAAAATTTAAATACTTACTCGGCAAGAATCATTTTTCCAATATAAACAGCATTATCTCCATAGGATTCTTCCAATATTTTTGGTGTAATTTCTAACATACCATCGTGAGTTTTTACAGTACCGTCATTACGATAAACACAAAATTCATAATCCTTTGAAATTAATTTTTATTATTTTCATGAAAAAAAAAAAATATATATTCTTTTTTGAACTAAAAAAAAAATAATCTTACCGGTTCCAGTGGTATTCTTATTTCACGTGACCAAATTGTTTCATTCAAATCTCCATGAAATCTTTCCTCAAAGAGAAGTTCATTTTTACAAAGCACTCTTTCATTATTTACTGTTGTTATGCTTTCATTACATTCAATTTGTCTTTTCACTTGATTCCAATAGAAAATAATTAATTTTAATTTAATTTTTAATTAATTTAATTTTTCAAATTTATTTTTCTAGTTTTGAAAAATAATTTTCATAAATTTTAAATGTAAAATAAATTTACATTTTTTTAATAATAAATTAATCAAAAAATTTAAATCGTAAATAATATAATTAATTAAAATACAGTCATGAAAATTTTAGTTAAAAAAAAATTGAAGGAAATTTTTGTAAAATTAAGGAAACTAGTTAATTTTTTTTTGTTGATAAATAAAATTATTATTTCATTGTGACGTAATAGAGGAAATTCCGATTTCACATTAGAAACTATTTCTTAATACTAATTATAATTTAAATATTTACTTTTTTCTCAATAATTATAATTACAAATCAAATTTTTATTTTTTAATATGATTTTCAGAATGAGAAATCGAATTTTTTTTTTTCGAAAATAAAAATAAAAAAAATGAAAATTTTTTTTATTACCAGTTGTAGTAGTGTGAAGTGTCAGCGGTTCAAATTTTTGTCTCACTATATTTTTATTTTCATTTAAAACAATGCCATTAGTATTTGATAATTGAATAAATAATAATGTAATTATTATTATTATTATTAATAACGTGTTTGCAACGTGATTTCGCGTATAAAACAACATTTCACAGCAATTCAATCACCGTTTATCAATAGCGTGAGCGTGAAAAAAAAAGTATATTTAGAAAAAAAAAAAAAAAAATATTCATTCATAAATATATATATGCTCTTCTCAACGATTGAAGAGTAAAACTGATCATCATCTGAGAATAATAATTTTTCCTTGTCTGTATATTGCGACAGGAGCGTAATCATGATTTACAAATATAATTTTTCCCTTTTTATTATAATTTTAATTAAAACTCAATTTGCAATATAAATATTTTTTTTTAAAATTATTTCTCGATTTAGTTTAATTCACTATTTTATATATAAATTAATACAATTTATAAATTAATTTATAAATTAATTTTGATTAATTAATAATAATATTTTCCTATCAAACAAAATTTTTATATTTTATTATTTTTGTACATTTACTATTTTTGCGCTCTCTTTTTTTTTGAATGAGAAAATTTTGAATTTTAAATTATGCCGGTTAAAAAAAAAGGAAGTGATTTGATTGGTCATTGACCACATGTTGTGCCGTACCAGTTGCGCAATAGAACTTGACGTCTGCTAAATTTTTTTTAACATAAAAATTGTTTGATCAATATCATTAATATATTGCAAATATATAATAGTATTTGTAATGATAGGCACAACAGTAAAGTTTACTAATATCAATAAATTATTATTCAATGTAACAACATCGTTTGTTAAACGAAAGTCAAAATTTAACACTGTTTTTTTGAAACAATTTTATTATCGAGGTTATGTCACACCGTGTTCTAATAAATGTTTCAAATATTTAAATAATAATAATAATAAAAAAGTGATTTGTTTAAAATTATTAACGAATTATTCGACTAATAATCAATCTTCAAATTCTTCTGAACAGTAAGTAATGTTTGTTTTATTATATTTCGAAAAAAAAAAATTTTTTTTTGGTTCTTTTTGAAGAAGTTGACTTTAGGGAATGTTTTTAAAAATAATTTTTGTGTTTGAAAAACTTATTGGAAAGAAATGTGTTTAGAAAAAATTAAACGAATTTTACAGTAAGTAAAAAATTTTATATCATTAAAATTTTTATTAATGAATTTATTTTTATATCATTAATATGCTATATATGTGCACAAAAATTCGATAAATATTTCTGCACATTTCTGTTTTATAATATAAAAATTAACCGTAGATTTTAAATTTAGGATTTATAGAATATTCTCTGATATATTTTATTTAATTGATAAATAAATTTGTTTTTAAATATATTTAAATTAAAGAATTGTAATTAAATATATAAGTGTTAAATTTAAGTCTTTAAAATTATCCACTGTTACTAACTAAAGGTTTTTTTATCAACATAATGATTTGTAGTTTCGTTTATAGATGGCAATGACTTCCTTATTTTTGTGTTAAATATATCAATTGCCCGATTTTTCCCCTCAATTATTTATAAAAAATAATTTAAGAGAATGTTCTATTTCCGATTAATTTTATTTTGCTATCTAATTAATTATTTAAGTAATAATTAATTTTAATAATACGTTATTTAATTTAATTATGAAAATTATTTTTATTTCTTATTATTAATTAATGTTTTGTTGTTTGTTTTTTTTTAATATAGTGAAATCAGCGCCACAGAATATGAAAAAATTTCTAATGAAACTCTCGAATCGCTAACAGAATTTTTCGATGAAATTGTAGAGAAAGCGGGACATTTAGAAGATGCAGATGTTTCTTATGGGGTAAAAAATGTTTACTTTGTTTCATATTTTTTTGTAAAAAATATTTTTTTACAGAGAAAATAAATTATTTTAGGATGGAGTTTTAACAATAAAATTTGGTGATTCTTATGGGACTTATGTTTTAAATCGACAAACTCCAAATAAACAAATATGGCTATCATCACCGACATCTGGACCAAAACGTTATGATTTTATCGACAACAAATGGATCTATAAACATGATGGCAATTCTTTGCATGAACTTTTAAATTCTGAAATTCCGAATATTGTCAAACAGTCCATTACATTTAATAAATGTTTGTACAGTGGAAAAGAGAATAAATGAATTTTTTTTTTTTTTTTTTTTTTTATCTAAACTGATCTGATTTAAAAAAAAATAGGTTTTAAATTTCTTATTAAAACTTGCAGGCCTCGGATTATACGACTTTTTCGACTATTTCCGACTTTTTTTTCAAAAATACGACTTTTTTCGACTTATATCAATAAAATGCGACTATTTCGACTTTTTTTTTTAATTTTTAAAAAAAATTTTTAAATAAAATATATATTTTTTTTAGTATAAAATGCAAATCTTCTTTATTTTAATTATTTAACAAATTTTTAACTAAAATTCTTCACTAAATTAATTATTTTTAATAATTTTAATGAAATTCATTATAAATTAAATTATTTCAAAATATTTCTCAATTAAAATTAATTATTACACAAAATTTCTCAATTTAAAATCAATTAAAATTAAATTATTATCCAAAATTTCAATTGAAATTCAATTATTTTCCAAAATTTCAATTGAAAATTAACTAAAATTCAATTATTTTCTAAAATTTCAATTGAAATTCAATTAAATTTGCAATTTAAAATCAACTAAAATTCAATTATTTTCAAAATTTTCGATTTAAAATCAATTATTTTCCAAAATTTCAATTCAAAATTAACTAAAATTCAATTATTTTCCAAAATTTCAATTGAAAATCAACTAAAATTCAATTATTTTTCAAAAATTTCAATCCAAAATCAAGTAAAATTCAATTATTTTCCAAAGTTTCAATTTAATATTAATTGAAATTCAATTATTTTTCAAAATTTCAATTCAAAATCAAAGAAAATTCAATTATTTTCCAAAATTTCAATTCAAAATTAACTAAAATTCCATTATTTTCCAAAATTTCAATTGAAAATCAACTAAAATTCAATTATTTTTCAAAAATTTCAATCCAAAATCAAGTAAAATTCAATTATTTTCCAAAGTTTCAATTTAATATTAATTGAAATTCAATTATTTTTCAAAATTTCAATTCAAAATCAAAGAAAATTCAATTATTTTCCAAATTTTCAATTCAAAATTAATTATTATCAAAATTTTCAATGAAAAATCAATTAAAATTAAATTATTAACCAAAATTTCAATTGAAATTCAATTATTTTCTAAAATTTCAATTCAAAATCAAAGAAAATTCAATTATTTTCCAAATTTTCAATTTAAAATCAAATAAAATTTAATTATTTTTCGTATTTTCAATTCAAAATCAACTAAAATTCAATTACATTCAAAAATTTGAATTCAAAATTAATTATTATCAAAATTTTCAATTCAAAATCAACAATAATTGAATTATTATCAAAAATTTCAATTGAAATTCAATTATTTTCCAAATTTTCAATTCAAAATCAACTAAAATTCAATTATACTCAAAAATTTGAATTCAAAATTAATTATTACCAAAATTTTCAATTGAAATTCAAATTTTTTCTAAAATTTCAATTCAAAATCAAAGAAAATTCAATTATTTTCCAAATTTTCAATTTAAAATCAAATAAAATTTCATTATTTTTCGAATTTTCAATTCAAAATCATCTAAAATTCAATTATACTCAAAAATTTGAATTCAAAATTAATTATTATCAAAATTTTCAATTCAAAATCAACAAAAATTGAATTATTATTCAAAATTTCAATTAAAATTCAATTATTTTCAAAAATTTGATTTTATAAGCTTCTAAAATTTAATTATTTCTAAAATTTTCCATCGAAAATTTTTTTGAAAATTTAATAATTTCAATTATTAACTCTAAGGAAATTGAATTATTTTTTAATTATTTTTGTAATATTCTTTTTAAAATTCAACTATTTGAAACCATTTTTCAATTAAAAATGTTTTTTAAATTATTGTATTTTTGTCCGCAATTTCTAATAAATTTTGTTAGTGAAATCATCAAAAAAATTTTAATTAAAAATCACTTGTAGTTCAATTAATTTCAAAAATCTCAATTGTAAATCTTTGAAAATTCAATTAAATTTAAAAAAATGTTATTTAAAATTATTTGATAAATTATTTTTCGTTCTGTAAAATTTAATTATTGTCTGAAAATTAACAAAATCTTTTGAATTTCAATTATTTCTGAAAATTTCAACTTTAATCCTTACAAAAGTATTGTTATTAAAAAAAAAATTTATTTAAAAATCTGTAAAATATTTTTGTTAAAATAAAAAAATCGACTTTTTTTGGAATATAAATCGACTAAAACGATTTTTTTTGTGCCTTTAAGTTGATCCGAGGCCTGAACTTGTATAAATTTTATTTTACCTATTTGTATAAAATGAATTTGTAATATAATAGGATAATAAAAACAAAATATATATATAATATTAAAAATACTCATAATATTATTGACGAGTGCATGAAATTTAATTTGCGTAGAAATTTTTTTTTTATGATTAAATTTAAAATTCGAAAATCTGATAACAGATTATTTAATTTAAAAATATTTAATAAGTGTTTATTAACTTTTTTTCTTGTGGCATAATATGCGTCATCGACAGTCAAGGAGTTAAATATTTTAAAATTCAAACTATTTTTTTTTTCGATAAAATAATTTACCTAATAATTATACTTTTTCATTCATTTATTATATACTCAAAACAATATTATTATGCTTTATTTATAATTTTACATGTCAATAAAATATTACTCTTATAACTTTTTTTTTTAGGTTTTTATAGATTTTTCAAGGAAATGATTATTTAAATTTTCGACATAAAATTAAATGAGTTTAATATTATTATTGCATTATAATTATTGGGTAAAAAAAAGAAAAATTGCACTATATTAGCAGAATTTATAATTAATTATACAATAATAATATTGCAAATGAAAGCGAATCTCTCAGTGGAAAATTGTAGTTGCTATATCAAGAACTTATTATTTTTTATAAAAAACACAATGATTTTGTATATTATTTTAATTTTTTTTTTTGCCATAATAATGGTAAAATTAGTGATTTACATTTTAAAAATAATTGAGAGACAAAAATTTTTTAAAACACATGGAATACCACATGAGCCGGGTGTGCCAATTTTTGGCAATATGTTACCTGTGATTACAAGAAAAAAGGGAATTGGTGAAATGGTGAAAAAATTGTATGACACAAATAAAAATGCAAAATATTTTGGATTCTATGATTTTTCAAATCCAGTAATTATTCTTCGTGATTATGAATTAATTAAATCAGTGGGAATAAAAAATTTCTCAAGTTTCGCTGATCATGGATTAATTGGATCAGAAATAAATGATCAGCTTGTTGGTAATTTATTATTTAATTTAAAGGGTGAAAAATGGCATAATATACGAAATTTAATGAGCCTTGCATTTACATCGTGTAAAATGAAAATTTTTTATAAACTTATTGTCAATGGTGCAACAAATTTTGTCAATTTTTTATTAAATGACATTGATAATAATAAAATGAGAGAAATGAAAGAGACCTTTTCACGATGTACCAATGATATAATAACTTCTTTTGCATTTGGACAATGTGTTAATACAATGAAAAATCCAAATAATGATTTTTATTTATACGGCAAGGAAGCAACAAATTTTGCTAATTTATATTTAAAAATTATTTTAATGAGAGGATTTCCATATATTATGAAATTATTATGTGTTAAATTTTTTCGTTCTGAAGTTAATAAATTTTTTAATGAAACAATTAAATGTACAATAAATATGAGAGATAAAAAAGGAATAAAACGATTGGATTTATTGCAAATTTTAATGGATGCCAGGGGAAAAAATAAGAATATTGAACTCACTTATGAAGAAATAACTGCACAAGCTTTTGTTGTTTATTTTGGTGGATTTGATACAACATCAACAATAATGTCATTTATGGCACATGAACTTGCAATTAATTTAAATATTCAAAATCAATTACAAGATGAAATTGATTCTGTATTTCATGAAACGAATGGTAATCCTACTTATGATATGATAAATTGTCTTGATTATTTGGATGCAGTGATAAATGAAACAATGAGAAAATATCCAAATTTTGCCGCATTAGATAGAATTTGTACTAAGAAATTTAATTTACCACCAGCGATTCCAGGTGCAAAATCAATTGTCATACATCCTGGTATGATGATTTGGATTCCAGTAATTGGTTATCATTATGATTCAATTTATTATAATGATCCAGAGACATTTAATCCAAATCGTTTTTTGAAGAAAAATTTTAATGACAGTCAAAAATCGACATTTTTGTCATTTGGCATTGGTCCTAGACAATGTATTGGAAATAGATTTGCAATGCTTGTAATGAAAACAGTATTTTTTCATTTGTTATCGCATTTTAATTTTAGAATTTGTTCGAAAACAAATGTACCTTTGAAAATAAGTAAAAAATCACTTGGTTTTGGTGCCAGCGGTGGTTATTGGATTAAATTAGAGAAAAGAGAGAAAATTGTTCGTTAAAAATAATTTTCAATTAAAAAAAAAAAAAAAAAAAAAAAAAAACCTATACAAACTCTTTAGAAAATAAAATTTTTTAAAAAGATTAGATTTATTTTTTAAATATTTAAATAAACATTTTATTTATTAAAATAAAATTATGTAATTTTTACGTTTTATCAATAAAGATTAATATTTTATTAATTATATGGTACTTATTATAAATATGATTAGATAGTACTTAGACTTATTTTTCTATTAAGATTGTTTATGGAGTTTTGTCTTAAATATTTTTTTTCGATAATACAGAATACAAACATGGAGATTATGGAAGATGGAAATTTAGTGGATCGAGTGAGAATATTACTACAAAGGGATATGAAATATTATCAGGTAAATTTTTTGTTTTTTTTTCTTTTATTTATTATTAACTAGCAAAATTAAACGAGCGCAAGCGCGCCAAATTGAATATTTAATTGTTTGTTATAAAGAAATTAAAGATTAATATTATCAATAATAATTTAATTTATTAGAATATTATTACATATTAAATGATAATAATGAAAATTATACAGGCCTCGGATTATACGACTTTTTCCGACTTTTTTCAAAAATACGACTTTTATCGACTTATTTTAATAAAATGCGACATTTTTTTTTACATTTAAAAAAAAAGGAAATAAAATACATTTTTTTAGTATAAAATGTAGATCTTCTTCAGATCATCTTCAATTCAATTATTTAAAAAATTTTGAACTAAAATGATTCTTCACTAAATTAATTATTTTTAATAATTTTAATGAAATACATCACAAATTTAATTATATCAACATTATTTTTTAATTAAAATTTTTATGAAATTTAACAATTGTTTATAATTTAAAAAAAAATTATCACAATAAAATTGAATTATTTTTTGAAAAATTTCAATTCAAAATAAACTAAAATTCAATTACTACCCGAAATTTTAATTCAAAATCAATTAAAAATCCAAATAATTGTCCAAAATTTTCAATTTAAAATTTAATTATTTACCAAGTTTTCAATTTAAAATGAAATAAAATTGAATTATTTTCTAAAATTTCTATTCAAAATTTTATTATCCAAATATTCAATCAAAAATGAACTTAAATTAAATTATTGTCAAAAATTTCAAGTATAATTCAATTATTTCCCAAAATTTTCAATTCAAAATCAATTATTCTCCATAATTTTCATTCAAAATCAACTAAAATTCAATTATTTTCTAAAACTTAAATTAAAATTCAATTATTTTCAAAATTTTCAATCCAAAATCAAGTAAAATTCAATTATTTTCCAAAGTTTCAATTGAAATTCAGTTAAATTTGCAATTTAAAATCAACTAAAATTCAATTATTTTCAAAATTTTCGATTTAAAATCAATTATTTTCCAAAATTTCAATTCACAAATAACTAAAATTCAATTATTTTCCAAAATTTCAATTGAAAATCAACTAAAATTCAATTATTTTTCAAAAATTTCAATTGAAATTCAATTATTTTCCAAAATTTGCATTTTAAAATCAACTAAAATTCAATTATTTTCAAAATTTTCGATTTAAAATCAATTATTTTCCAAAATTTCAATTCACAAATAACTAAAATTCAATTATTTTCCAAAATTTCAATTGAAAATCAACTAAAATTCAATTATTTTTCAAAAATTTCAATTGAAATTCAATTATTTTCCAAAATTTGCATTTTAAAATCAACTAAAATTCAATTATTTTCAAAATTTTCGATTTAAAATCAATTATTTTCCAAAATTTCAATTCACAAATAACTAAAATTCAATTATTTTCCAAAATTTCAATTGAAAATCAACTAAAATTCAATTATTTTTCAAAAATTTCAATTGAAATTCAATTATTTTCCAAAATTTGCATTTTAAAATCAACTAAAATTCAATTATTTTCAAAATTTTCAATTCAAAATCAAGTAAAATTCAATTATTTTCCAAAGTTTCAATTTAATATTAATTGAAATTCAATTATTTTCTAAAATTTCTATTCAAAATTAATTATCCAAATTTTCAATCAAAAATGAACTTAAATTAAATTATTATCAAAAAATTTCAATTTAAAATTTAATTATTTCTCAAAATTTTCAATTCAAAATGAACTGAAATTCAATTATTTTCCAAATTTTCAATTTAAAATCAAATAAATTTTAATTATTTTTCGAATTTTCAATTCAAAATCATCTAAAATTCAATTATACTCAAAAATTTGAATTCAAAATTAATTATTATCAATATTTTCAATTCAAAATCAACAAAAATTGAATTATTATTCAAAATTTCAATCAAAATTCAATTATTTTCAAAAATTTGATTTTAAAAGCTTCTAAAATTTTCCATCGAAAATTTTTTTGAAATTTAATTATTTCAATTGTAACTCTGAGGAAATTCAATTATTTTTAACTATTTTAATAATATTCTTTGAAATTTCAACTATCTGAAACCATTTTTCAATTAAAAATGATTTCAAATTATTGTATTTTGTCCGCATTTTCTAATAAATTTTTAGTGAAATCATTTAAAATTTTAATTACAAAACACTTAAAGTTTCAAATTAATTTCAAAAATCTCAATTTTAAATCTTTGAAAATTCAATTAAATTTAAAAAATGTTTTCCAAAATTTATTTGATAAATTATTTTTAGTTCTGTAAAATTTAATAATTGTTTGAAAATTAACTATATATCTTTTGAAATTTAATTATTTCTAAAAATTTCAACTTCAACCCTTCGAAAAAGATTATTATTAAAAAAAAATTTTTTTATTTAAAAATCTGTAAAATATTTTTGTTAAAATTAAAAACAAATCCACTTTTTTTTGGAATATAAATCGATTGAAACGACTTTTTGTGTCTTTAAGTTGATTCGAGGCCTGTATTTTTATAATTAATATTTAATAGATAATCGTTGGTCCCTGGTACCTTAAAAATTAATTTTTAAAAATAAATTTTTTTCTAATTACTATCTTGTACGAAATTTCCTGGCGCATCTTTTTTCTCATCATAAATTTTTTCTATTTGTATACAATTTTTCAATCAATATACAACTTTAAAAAAAATTTCGTTGGTATGTGTACTTCAGCTTCGTGAATTGAATTTTCGAATTTGGAATTTTAAAGAAACTTATTCCGAAATTTGGAAACACAATTATACAACTTTGGCAAAAATGAGAAAAAGAATTGTCAAAATTTGACACCTCATAAGATTACTATTCAAAAAAACTAGTGAAATCAGAAAAGGCCAACTTCAAGTTAGGACAGAAGGACAGACCAAGCATTTTATTATTATATAATTAGTATTAAGATTAAAATTTATTATTATTGTTACAGGAAATGCAAACAGTTCTTCGTGAAACAGTTTGTGTTCGAGTTAGTGGTGGAAAATTGGATTTCCCTAGGCACGCTTCTTTTGCCGCTATAAAAATTGTCACTTGGTGGGAGGCTGAATTTAGTGTTGCTTTCAAGGGCCCATCCGGTCTAAGTTCAAATCATCAAGAAAATGATTTAATTATTGATGGTGATGATGATGATGAAGAAGAAGAAGAAGAAGAAGAAGAAGAAGAAGCTGTTATTAAAACCATACAGCCATCGGAATTAATATTATTGGTCATTGATACTTCAGAGCAATTAATAGGTTTTTATAATATATAAAATTTTAAAATAATAACAAAATTTAAAATAATAATTTAAAAAAAAAATTTTCATTTATTTTTCAAATTTAATTTTTTTTTTTCAGAACATTTGCATACGCTCATACAGGAATCGTTAGATCATGCTGATTTGACGGTATTGACAGCAACTTTGGGAGCAGCTGCCTTAGTTCGAAATTGTCTTTGGTGTTATAATCAACGTGCAAAAGGAAAAGTTTCAATTGATTCAAGGTTTTTGATTCTCTTTTATAATATAAAAAATTTCATTCAAAAATTTAATTTTTTATATTAATTTTATTCTATTAAATAGTGAAAAATTATACAAATGTTACAAATCCTTTCAAGAAATGTCAGAAGCAGTTGCTGAAAGATTACTCGATTTGCATTGTCGTTTAATATCTCTTTATGTTTTGAACGAAGCTGATTCACTTAATTGGGAATGTGAAAGATCATTTTTCGAAAAGGAACGTTCATCCTATGTCATTCAAATGTGGTGGCTTTATATGCAAGGTTAATTTTTTTTTTTTTTTAATAAATAAAATTTCATTTTTTAAATATTATAAATTAAAATTTTGAAAATTGTTTAATTTTGTGATTTTCATTTTTTTTTTTTTTAAATAATAATTTACAGGTACTAAAGCGGATTTATGGAACACTGTGTCGCCAAAAATGGCACAAAGAATATTTTCTGGAATGTTAAATGAATCTCTAACAATTCTTACATCTCGCTTTGTTCACGTAGGTTCGATTTATTTAAATTTGATAATGAAAAATTAATCACTCATCTAATTTAAAAGAGATGTTTTTAAATAATTTTTATAAATAGGAAAAAAAAAACTTTTTTTTTGCACGTTTTTGAACTTTTATTGATAAATCTATATTTAAATTTAGCAAACGATGAATAAAAGAGAAGCATTTTTCTGGTTTCTTAGTAATTTTTAACGTTTGGAAAATATTATTGGCTTCAGTTGTTCATTCAATAAAATAATCTATTTTATTCAATATTTTTTATTTATTATTATTAAAAAGAAAAAATGTATTAAATAAAATTTATTTTGATAGTAGAAATAATTTTTATTAAAAAATTAAAATTTTTTTTACAAAATAGAAAAATATATTTTTTGTATATTAAGCGATTTTTGTTTGTCCTTTTTTTTTTTGATGTAGTTTATTTTAAATAATTTCCTACTAAAATATTAATATCACGTATTATAAAAGGGTCGTCCCAGTTTAGCAAGATCGGAACAATTTTGGGCAGATGCTTTCAATGTGCTTTGTTGCACTGCTTATTTAACATTAAGCGCTTGTTTGGATGGAAAGGAAATGATTGGTTCGCAGAAAATAAAATTATCAATTCTAATGAGGGATATTCATTCGAAATGTTATGAACTTTTAGTTTGTCTCTTATTAAGAGGAACACCACTTAAAATACTTTATCAGGTATATATTTATTTTAAAATGAAAAATAGAAAATTAATTAAATTTATTTTATTTATAAATATTTCACTTTATACAATTGACGTAGAGAGATTTTTTTTTCCATAAAACACCTCAATTTGCATCAGGGTAAAAACGAATTAAAAAAAAAATATATACATTTAATTGATTTATTTTCAACGATAATTGCACCAAGTGAAATAATTGTCAATCAAGAGAAAATTGCGCAACAAATAACAAACGTAATCCTTTAACATTTTATACGATTTATAAATAATTAAAGGATCAACTTATTTGGTGTTTGAAATACATGTGTTTGATAAAATTTTAATCTATATAGTTAGTGAATTGGATTTATATTTTTAGTTTTTAGCTAATATCAAAATTTTATATAAAATTAATATATTTGTGCCTCGAGGATGAAATGGCGTTGCATACTTTTAGAAATAATTAATTTATTTATTATCATTGAAGAAATTATTGTTTCCACTTCATTATAATATTCTCTTGTCGAATATATATATATATATATATAAAACAATTTATTATATATTTTATTAATTAATTTCTCTTTATTAAAGTGCATAAATTAATATATATTTGTATTTCGGTCAAGTGTGACGATTTTAATTGTCAATAATAATTGAAATTATTGACTAATATTATAAATACATAAAGCAAAATATTAACTACATTTATTAAGTGAGATCAATTGAAAAGAAAATTGTTTTTTTTATTTATGTTAATAGAAATAATGTTTTAAAAAAAAAATTTTTAAATAGAATTATTTTTTTTTAGGTTTTTCGAAATGGACTGGAGAATTTGATAATTTCACAACCACGTAGTGGACCATCACCTTGGCTGATTATGTCCGCTTCTGACTTACTCGGATCAACACAAGGCAGTTATGAAAAAAATTTTTCCAAAAGTCAAGCAATTATTTTGGAAATTAATGTATTAAAATCACAGCCACAGCCAAATTGGCCGCAAACAGTTAAAGTACGTTAAAATTTTTTTTTTTTTTATTATATTATTCAATAATTAATTAAAAATAAACATTTTTATCGATTTTCTCAAATTATATAATAAATTATTAATCAATTTTTTTTCTTTAATTACAATTAAAAAATAACTACAAAATTATATAATATTCTTTTTTCTATTTTCAATTTTTTTTACGTAATAAATATCATTCGTATTTCAACAAAAATAAAATAAGAGAGTCGTATCTTTTATTGAAATGATAAGATTTTCAGCTATTTCAAAAGGGAATAAAGAAGAATCAAAACACTTTTTTTTTTTTTGTAAATAAGAAGAATGCAACCCATTCAAAGGAATTCGAGAAAAGTGTAGGTATACAAAGGAGATATGAAGAGTGCAAGAGAATGTATTACATCAAAGGAAATTTGTTTTCAAAGTTGCATTTCTTAAAATGAATTTAATTTAAATTTACCAATCCATTAGAAAATAGAAATGAAAATTATTTAAATAAAGAAAAGTAAAAGTTTAATTTCAAAAAGAAAATTAATATAATAATTTGTATAATAATTTTATTTTATTATTGACAGGTATTTTTGATGAATGACTACGTAGTATCAAAACTTTTACTTCGATCATTGGTGAGACAATGTATTGGTAAATGTGAAGATATACAATTATCAAAATCAAAAGAGGGAAAAAAATTGGATAATACTTGTGGTGGTTTTTTATGTGCCGGAAATTCATGTCGTTTAATATTAAATATAACAGCAAATTCCGCTCTATTTAGTCTTATTTTTATTTTAATCAATACTGTCAATGATCCATTGAAAGTTATTGTTCCTGCATTGAAACTTGATCCATCATGGTCCAATTATCTTGACAGACAACAAGTAAAAATTTTTTTTTTATTTTAATTTATTGATAATTTAAATCAAATAATTGAAAAGACAAGACAATAAAAAATAATATTGATATTTTTATTGATTAATAATAATAATTGAATTGTTGTTTTTTTTTTAGATGTGGAATCAATCACGACCACCTTGGTTGAATGCTCTCTTGTTTCCTTTGCATTCAATGATGACGCCTATCGTAGAAACGCTTCTTGACGCCGTTAAAGTATGTTTTAAATTTTTGTTTCAAATTTCAAATATTTATATTTTATCTCAATTTTTTTCAATCTTTAAAAATATTACAAAATTTTAATTTAATTTTCAATTAAATTGACTATAAATTGTTTTCAACAATATTTTCATATTTTTCTGATAACTGACGATATTGAATTTTTAATCTAATATATACTCGGGAGAATATTGTCTTGACTTTGGAAAAAAAAATTCTTTTAAATTAAATTTTTTTTAAGTATTTCTTTTTCAAATTTATTTTGTAAAGACTCATTCACTTGTTCTTATGGAAGTCAATATTTTCTTAACTTGAAAACCATTTTTTTTTATTAGTGTTGAAACGAATTATTTCTTAAAGGAATTATCTTTGTATTTTAATTATATTTTTATTAATTAATTTATTTTTATTACTATTCTAATTAAATCTAGATTGCTTAAAGTTTTTTTTTTCTTTTTAAATTGAATTATCACACTAACTAAAAATTGTAAATTTTCTCTGAAGTTAAAATAAATCCATTTAATTTGATGAATGGGAAAACGAATATTTATTTTTCGAAGAAAATATCTTGAAATTCCGTCAAAATATAGGAAAATAAATGATTTGATAATGCATTTCGTGTATTCGTTTTCGTTTTAAATTTATGACTATCATCGATTTCGATAGTATGCTATATATATATATCGAAATAATATGTGGAAAAAATGGAATGATATTTATTTGGATTCATTTACAATTTCAGACAGGAGCGAGCATTTATCAAGCAATGTCATTAGCATTGGCATGTTTGATGGAATTGCACATTTCCATACCCATTGGAATATTGCGAACGGCCATTGCAATGAATGAAAATATCCCAGCTCATTGTCGACCAATAGGTGGTTCAGTATTACTGCAAATAATGTGCGCCGCACTATATACAGCTTTACTACAAATATCAACATCAATAAAATCAAAAATCCCACGAAATCCAATGAATCTTAAAAAGGAGCCCGGATCCTTTGATCCAAACGATAAATCTTCATCGTCACTTGCCTTGGCTGAGGCACTTTGCAGTATTGACGAGGACAATAAACACACTGTTCAAATTGACGATTTTTTAAGAATCGTTAAAAAAAGGTAATTTTTTATATATTTTAAATAAAAAAAAAATCATTTCAATTTTCAGTATTTATTAACAATTTTCGAATTTTTGACACAAAGATTGTTGTAGAATTTTTTTTTAAATTTTGTTCTGATTTTTTTTAATTTTTACAGTATAGATTCAAGGAAACAAATGGAAAATATTGAGATTGAGGATATGTCATCTTATATAGAAGTTTTAACCGATGAATTATTATTTAAAAGCGAAGGACGACATTCCCTAAAGGTTCATTTCTTTTTTTCTCACACACGTACTTAACTTAAATTTTTTTTTTTTTTTTATTAAATTTTAATTCTTCAGATCGCACACGAATATTTGATTCGTGCTTCAAATTTCATTTTGGATGCTTTAAAAAGTTGGGACGTTGATAAATCGGAAATTATCATTCCAGCTGATGTACCAATTAAAATGAAAACTCTCAATTACATTATGTTTCACATTGGTGATAAACCATTTGATCAGGTGGTTTGAAAGAAAAATTAAAATTATACACATTTCAAAAATTTATTTTAAATAGAGATTTAAAAAAAAAATTTTAATCTCTTTGAAATAGTTTTGTAATAGAATAGAAAAAAAATGATTAAAAATGAAAAAAAATTATTTTTTAGCTTTTGATCGGTTACGAGGATCAAAATTGGGAGAGGATGTTTTCTATTCCCCTGTCAATTTCACCAGAACGAATTCGCGGACAGTTACTCGTCAGACCGGATTTGAGAAATATCGATCGACTCACATCCGATGAGCAGGAAGTTGCTAATTTTCTGAAGCAACTCTGCACCACCGGAAGATCTGCGAGGTTCAGATAAATCAAAAAAGGTGATGACATCGTCCGCAAATAATTAAAACTCCTTTTTCATAATATAACATTCTCAGGTAAATATCTTATTTATATGTATATATATATATATTGAAAACTAAAGAAAAAAATACATTTTATCAAGATAATTCAGTGCTGTGAATTAATTAATCACATAAGAAACATTATTTTATATATAATACATTTAATACACATGTTTTTTTTTCGAAAATTACGACGACAATTCAAATATTGAATTAGAAGATAAATATAATAATAAGTTAATAATTTTAACTTCAGTCTTTTTTTAATTTACGAAAGAAGAATTGTTCACAAAAATTTTTTAATATGGTATTTTTTTGCAAATGAAATATTACTTTTATTATATCTTCTAATTACAAATAAAATGAATTGTCTTTTTTTTTTTAAATTTAAAACTTCACTTTCATATTTATAGTCTAGAGTTTATTGCCAACATTCAGACTTTGGGGATCTTTCAATTTCTGAATGTTGACTCTCATTTTAAAAAGTGTAAAAGTGCAAGAGAAAGTGTGGTAGACATGATAAATTGCTTTTCTTTTTTTTTTTTTGCTCACAACAATAATAATATTTGGCACATTTATATATTGAATTTAAAAGGGATTTTTTCTGTGTCTTCTAATATTTTTGCAAAGCAATATTAAAATAATTTATTTATTTTTTTATCTATATGTAGGCGACTAATTTTTAATTTCTCATAAATTGCAAAAACAATAAATTCTACTATATAGTTTTAATACAGTTTTTTTTTTAAATTATTTTTTAAATTAGGCCACTTGCCTCTGTTTTTTTTTTCTTGTGCAACGTTTATATTTACTTACAGATATAATTATTTATTAAAAGATTGTGGAATTATTTAGCGAGTGATTAAAAGTTCTATATATTTATCATATATAATTAAACGTAATTAGTTTTTTTTTCCATTCGAAAATAATTTTTCCACATCTCTATAATCGAGGAATTCTCGTATAATAATATAACAACTTTTGATTCTTTTTTTTTTTTTGTTTAACTTAAAACACAGTTAAAAATAAATTTTCGCATAAAATTTATGAAAATAAAATTTTATTGAAAGAGAAATAGAATTTTCAACCTATTTTCTAATATCTTTTAATTTCACGAAAAAAAGGAATTATAAATTAGATAAAATAATTATATAATCCAGTATAAAAATTATGTGAAAAAGATTACTTTTCATTTTCAAGTCTATTGATTGTCTCACTAAATCATTGTCTTAATAATAATATTAATTGTCTTTATTACATAATTTATATTGTTATATAATTTATCCCCTTTTTTTTGGAAATCAAGAAACATTAAAAGAAAAAAAATTTAATTTTATCATTATTTTTGGGAAAATATATATTTTTTTTTATTAGAATATGATTGACGATTTTTTTTTCGAAAATCCAGATATAATTTACAGTATTTTTATGCCGTTTATTATCAATCGAATTATTAATTATTATTAATAATTGAATAATAACAATTTGTGATTTATAATTATAAATTTAAATTAATGTAAATATTAAATTTTTTTTTTCTTTAATTTTGAAAAAGTCAAATTATATTTTTCAAACGTGAGAGAAACGTATTTATTTGAAAAAAATGAAATTGTTTTCAATAATTTTTTTTTTTTGTTTGACAAATGCCAAAATAGCTTTCGATGATATGAATTGAGTAAAAGTTTTAAAGGAATTAAAATAAAATGATGCTTACACAAAGTACGCAACGAAAGGAAGGTTTTAGCTGAGTATGAAAACTAATTAAACTGCCATTTAATTAGTTCTCTTGAAATGACCCTGGATTTGATCTTGGAAGCGCTCCCGTCTGAAACAAAATAAAAATAAATAATTAAACAAAAAAACAATACAACTTCAAGTCAATATAAACATATATATATATATTGAATAAAACTTTTCTAGTGAAATTTTTTTTTTTTTTTTACAATTATCGTCACTTTTTCAAATAATTGCAAAAGTAAATTTTTATAATTTTATAATTTATATAATTATAATTAAAATTAATATTATTAATTAATGTTCAATCAAGTAATTACAAATGAAATTAGTGAAAATGTTTTTTTTTTTTAAAAAGTAAAGCCACAAGTTTCTTTAGTAAATTTGAAACTTCAGGAGCATTCACGCAATTAAAGTAGAAATTCGAGTAGTGATTGAAGCTCACATCTATAATGAGAAATTTAACTCTCCTTAAAATTAAAAGTAAATAAAAGGAGGATTATAAAATAATAATTTGGATTATAAAAATTTGGATTAAAAAAAACACGTCAAAAATCAAATCTATAAAAATGCTGAGCTTTGATCAATAAATAAATTTTAAAAAAAGAAATAAAAGAAAAAAAAAGAAATTTCTCACTGGAATAGGAGGAAGAGCACGTCCAAATCGAAGACGCAAAGATGGTGATCGTTGCGATTTTCGAATCATTAAATGTTCCATTGGTATCCCATATTCATTGTCCCATACTTTACGTTCCAATAAGCGTCTATATAATTCCGGAAGAATATTTTCTGGTATTCTTTCGGCTGTTTCATCTGTAATTAATAGTAAAAAGAAAAAAAAAAAAATTTAATAAAAATTATTTTGTAAATTGAAAGCTTTTTTTCTCGTTCACAATAATTATACAATTATTGGGGAAAAAAAAAATGTCAAAAAAGCATAAAATGGAACAAGAAAATGAAATTCAATATAAAATGAAAAAAAATATATATACATATAAAGGGATCCTTTGGGGGAAGACACGATGAAATGAGAAGGGAAAATTGAAAAAATAAAATAATAATATGTTAATGAGCGGTTGTCGCCGGTAAAAAAAAGTCAAGTCAGCAAAATGAGAATACAAGAAACTAATTTGCTATAATCTAAATTGAATTTTTCACATGGAGAAGGACTCCAATGATTTGAAAAAAATATTATCTACTAAAAAAGACAAAAAAATAAAAAACGCAAAAAATTTTTTTTTAGGAAATTATTTCATTATTATTTTTTATTTCATTAAATTATTTCAATTATTTTAAATTATTTACTTAATAGAAAACCTTTTAGATAAAAACAGAAATTTCTTTCACGTAAGGGGGGAAAAAAAATTAATTATCTAAAAAAAATAATTTTTTTTTTCAATTTGAAAAAAATTTCCAATTATTATTTTTTTTTTAAACTTACCTGCATAATCCGGATATGTTTCAGTTGCTGCTATAATACAAATAACTGCTAGGAGGCAAGTAAGAATCCCCATAAATCGATTATTGAACGTGTTCATTATTTCTGAAATTGTATTTTTTTTTTTTAAATTTAATTAATAATTAGTTTATGTAATATTAATAAAAGAACATTTTTTTTCTTTAAAGAAACAATTTTTTCAAATTAAAAAAAAAAAATTATAAAAACTATTTTGAAATTTATTATATAATATTATAATGTAAAATGAAATTTGTTCTTTGAAATATTTTGCGTTTATCTCGGCATATATATGTATATGTAAACGTAAGCTTTTTGCATTAAAGTTTGTAATATCGCAGCAAGATGAACTTTAGAAAACGATTTAATTTTATATTTTAAAGTTTAGGATTAAATGTTACCACTTTCAACTCAAGTGCAAAACTATATACTCTCTAATTGACCAATTTTCTCTTTCAACAAGATTTTCCCCTTTATAATATATATAATATAAATGAAATTCCACAATAAATGGCCCACACACCCTATACGGTCTTAATCTCTCACGATATAAAATAATTCATTGTAAAATTTCAAATTAAATTTATAATTTCCAAGTCTTATATTGTAATTTTATATTAAAAATTAATATTTTTATGAAATTATAAATATTAATTTAAAATACAACTTTTTTTTTGATTGTAAAATAAAAAATTGTTTTAATATTTTAATTAAAAGAAAAATAAATTTTTGAATTAAAGAAAACATTTTTGATATATAAACTAAAAAAAAATTTTAAATACAACTTTTTTTTTTGTTGTTTGTAAAATAAAAAATTTAATATTTTAATTAAAAGGAAAATAAATTTTTGAATTAAAGAAAACATTTTTGATATATAAACTAAAAAAAAAATATAAATACAATATAAAAATTATTTCAGTGTCAAAAAAAAATTTTAATTAAAAAGGAACAAATTTTGAAGATTATAAAAAAATAAATTGAATTTTAAACCAATGAGTCGTGCTTCAAGTATCTCGTTAATAATATTCTTTTTTGCTTTTGAGAAAAGGGAATATTTTTCTAAAGAATGTATAAAGAGAAGATAATGACATCCTTTAAGGTATCAAGTCTTATGAGAAAAAAAAAAGAAAAAAAAAAAAACGATATTCTCATCTGATGAGTATAGAAGCACTAAATGTGGCTTTTTTTTGTCGTCATTCCCCTCCCTCTATTTTTATCCCTTATTGCGTCCCTCCATGTATTTTAATATCTTTTGTACAAATTTCTTTACTATTTTTAATTATTCCTTTATATTTCTAATTTTATTTTGACACATTTTTTTCTAAAATTACATTTTTTTTTTTTAATAAATTCTTAATTAATTTTAAATTTACTATCAATTTTTTGTAAATATTAAATAAATTTCTTTTTTTTTCATATAAAAAAAATATTTTTGCAATTGCGAACACGAATTATGTTGAAAAAAAATTTTCATATTTTTTAAAGTTGAAATTGTGCTTTCATATATATATATTTTTTTTTTTTAAATCAAATTTTAGTCTAATGCTTTATGTCAAGCGTTGGCATCTCAAGACTTTTATTAAAACATGAAACATTTGACACGCGTGGAATTTGTTTCTTTATGAAATTTTTCTCATATGTAAAATTTATTATTTATTTTTCTGTTTGCATTAAAAAATTTTTTTTTAATTAAAAAAAGAAAAGAAAAAAAAAATTTTTTAAATATACAAAAAAATTGTTTTCTAAATTTTCAAAAAAAATTACAAAGTCAAATATATAAAAAACGCTGCATAAGATCAATTTAAAATATTGCTTTGTAAGATGTTATACAATATTGAACAACAGCTGCGTACCATCGATAAAAAATTTATGATTTCAGACACGAAAACTTTGATAACTTTTTTATTAGGATAAAAATAAATTTTTTTTTCGGGTGTGTGGTAACAAAATTAAAAGAAAAGTTTAGTAAAAGTGAAATTTATTATAAATTTTTAATTTAATTAAAAAAAAAATTAATATATTTTTTTTTTAATTAAAAAATTTTGTTTATTTAAAAAATATTAATTGAGTAGAGAAATTTCTTTGAGTGTGTTAAATTTTAATTAGAATATGCTTTAATGAACATGACTTTAATTACACTAATTATTTTGTAAGCAAGAATTCAAGCATGCGAGAAATATAATTTAAATTATTTACATATATTTTTCGATATTTTATCATTATAATATTAATTTATTCTCATTTTTTTTTTTTTTGAAAATGAATTTTTTTGAAATCAAAAATATTTCGAATAGTTTTAAGAAAACACACAAAAAAGAGGAATGAAAATTTTAAATTAATTTTCTGTTCGAGAATATTAAGCGATTTTTAAATTCAGGTTAATCAACATAATAGAAATAATTTTCTAAATGGCTTAAAGTTCGTGACCCGTTTTAGAAAAAAAAAATAAATTGAAGAAAAAAAGAATTATCAGCAATAATTGTAATTAAAATTAAAAAATTAAAAAATCGAAAAATTAAAAAATTAAAAAATTAAAAAATTAAAAAATTAAAAAATTAAAAAATTAAAAATTAAAATTACTAAAAATTATTAAGAACGTCCGACTATAACAAAATTTTACTACTGTTATTACAATTACATTGGCTGACTTAATCAATTCTTCACTACTGATTTTATATTAAGAATACAGAATAATTTGATATTATGACTAAATTCTTACTTTACTACTAAAAATTTTAAAATTTTAATATTTGCAAATAGTATAAATTTATTGACAATTTATTAAAAAACAATTATTTTATTTTCGAATAATTTATTTTTTTTTTTTTTATTTATTGTTAAATTAATTTTTTTTCCTCTTTCTTTAACGTTGTCCTCCCCTAAAATTTCATGCAAATTAAAGAATTAAACTGCTTATATAATATAGTGGCAAAAAAATCAATGGCGCGTGAAAGGGTTAAAATCTCAGGCAGAAATATTAAAAAAAAAAATTTTACGATCGTCAAAGAGGATTTTTATAGAAACAGTTATTGACCATCAAAGTCTATATTTTTGTATGTCAAATATTTTTTAGAATAAGTGTATACTTGAAAAATAAAAAAAAATTTCTTCTGTATATTGAAAAAAAAAAAATATTTTTCACTACAACAAAAAAAAAAATTTCAAATAATAAAAAGGAAAAAAAAAACGAAATATAAATATCGGAATTTTTTTTTTTTTTTTAATGACAATTGTAAAAATCTGGTTTGCTTTTAAAAAAAGGCATATAAAAATCTTTCTAAAACTCAAATTTAATGTTTAACAATAAATAGAAAAGCTAAGAAAAATTCTGAGAAGAATGAAAAAATTTTTATATTGAAAAAGAAGTCCTTTAAAGTTAAGATATAGGTAACAGAAATGTTTTTTGTATTCGGAGAAAGTTTTCTAAAAAAAAAAATTTTTTTCTAAAGGCAAATAAAGAATATTTAAATTAAAATTTTTTTTCTGCAAATTTTGTATATTTTTTATTTATTAATAATAATTAATGTATAAAAAAGCTAGTTAATTGTTGCAATCGAATGGAAAAGGGGCTTTTAATTAATAGAGGCGATGATCACTTATTTGCTGCAATTCTGTGTCATGTGTAAATATGGAACTATCAATCAGAGAGCGTGAATCAATTCCATAATTGAAATTTCAAATATTAATAAATCAATTTTCTCCTATTGGATTCAAACCGCAATTGAACTTTAATGTCAAAATGCGATCGTCCATTAATTATTGTAAGCTATATATTTTAAAAATGGAATTTGAATTTTTAAACTAAAAATAAATCAAATAATTTTTGCAGAATATTTTATAAAAAAGAAATATAAAATTATTTTATTTTGCATTTTTTTTTTTTTTTTTTTATTGAATTGATTTTATATTCAAGACAAGATTTTAAAATTGATTTTCGATAACTTTATAATTTATTGTCTTGAAAGGAATTTCAATGAAATTTTTTTTTTTTTTTTTTCTTGAAAAAATATTGTCAGAATAAAAAAATTCTCATCACGCGCTATTTTATATTAATGAACTTTAAAGTCTCTTGAGTGAAAATTATAAATTTAATGAAAATATGTAAAAGTGAATATTTTTTAGAAAAAAATATTTTTTTTTTTTTGAGGATTGGTAAGAAATTAAGTTAAATATAGTTAAAAGCTGCTTTCAACTAAAGAAAAAGAAAAAAAACTTTATCTCCCCTTTATCTACTTTTACTAAATTAAGTTTTGAATTGTCTAACAAAACATTTCCGGAAACTTTGATTCTGTGACTAGGGAAAATTAATCTTTTGAATTGTCACTCTCTTTTCGGTTTTTTAATTATATGTTAAAGAGTCCATTCACCTGTATTTAAATAAATTGAATTTATAATTGACTCTTCTTTTGGTATTGTATTAATATAAATTAAAAAAATTTTTTTATTAATTTCTAAATTTTATTAATTTTTATTCTTTTTTTTATCTTTTTAAAATTTTTTTTTTTTATTTTTTTGTAAACTGCATGTGAAATTTTAAAATAAATAAATTTATTTCAATTCACATCACGAATAATATAATTTTTGATACTTTAAACTTTGTATGATGATCCGCATATACAGTGCTCATCGTTATTCAAGAAGTATAGAAATAGTGGAATGCAAATTTTTTTACATTGTGGATATATTCTATAAATGTACATCAAATATATCATAAAATGCTTTATATTTATCTTTTTAAAACTATTTAAACAAAAAAAAAAAATTTTTTTTTATTAACTTGCTTTTAAAAGATTTTAATCTAACTTTTGTTTTAGATTTAATATCACGAGTTAAAAAAACACCTCTTTTTTTTAGAGATATATAAATAAATATTTTTATTTGCCGTTAAAATAAAATAGACATTATCATGAAAATTTACATTTTTATTTTTTCAAATAAATCATTAACATAATTTTATGATTTCAGTGGGAAAAAAAATTTTTTTTAAAAATTTATCTTCCATTCATCTAGTCATAATGCTTTTATTTTTTTAAATCAAAACTAAACATAATTCTAAATTATTCAAAAATTTTAAATAAAAAGCAAATCTAAAAATATAATCATTGAACTGAATAAAATATTATTTTTAACTTGCGTTATTAAATGCTATATGTGAAATCAAAATTTTAATTTTCATAGAGCCATAAAGTGGGCAAAAAATTTAATTATCATTTGAGTGGCATTAATACTAATTAGGTTGTTAAAATTTTTTTTTACAATTATATTATTTTTTTATTTATTTATATTTTGTTTAACAAGAATTTCTGATATTTAAAGAAATATTTAAATAGATGAAAAATTAATATAAAAATTTTCATATATAAAATGTTTTCTAAAAAGAAAATAAAAAATTTATATTAAAAATATGAAAATAATTTTTTCACTCATATAAAATTTTAGTGTGCGAATATTTTTTTGATATTTTAATTCTTAATGTTTAACATTCATATTTTATTTTAGAGTACTCTAATGTTTTTTAAAGCTTAATTATTTTTAATTGAAAACTTTTTATTATATTTTTCATAATATACACATAAAAAGCTATCAGCTATTAATTAAGAGGGTATAAAGTAGAAATTCCTCAATAATTAAATTATTGAAATATTTTCATTGTATGCGTGAACCAATTTTATCATTTGTGTGTTTAATGAAATTTATAAAAAATACAATAAAAAGTAAATAATAGAAAATAAAATATTAGCGAGAAAAAATGTATTTTTATTCTTTTAGAAGAACAATTTTATAATTTAATATTAGTTTTTTTTTTTTTATTCACATAATTTTTTTTTTTATAATTCTAAAATTGAATGGTAAAAAAAAATAGAGAAAAAGTTTTCGAATTTTTTTTTTTTTTTAAATTGAATGTTAATAAACTTTGAAAAATTATTATTTTAATAATAATCAAAGTACTTGAATTAAATGTGAAATAGGAAAGCTGGAAGCAGTTTGGGAATATATATGCCCTTTTGGGAGAAGTTTACGTAAATCACCTTCTGGCTACAAGCTCAATTACGTTACGTCAATTAATTCCTGACTTAGTAGTTCTCGCAATATCATTACGATTACAAACTTTGTATATTATTTGAAAAATTTCTATATAGTTGAAAACTTTTCAAAAGTTATTATATGTATTTCTATTAATTCGCTTTATGAAATTATATTGAAACTACTACGTCTTGAAAATTATTATATTTAATATTATATAATAAGTTATATAATAATAATAATAATAGTAAAAAAATAATAATATAAATTTTAATAATAAATTTATAATTAATAAATAAAATTTATAATTTTATTTAAATTTGATTTATAATAATGTTTTTTTTTTAAATTTATTTAATTTTTCGGAATTTTTTTTTTTAGGGACAACAATGAAATTTTTTTTTTATTTTATTCTTACCAAAATTTTTCCCCTTTGATTATAAAAGAAGAAGAAGAAGATCACTAATGAATAATTATCAACTAAATATTTCAAAATTAAATTTTTTTTTATTTTCAAATTTTATTTTTAATACGCAAATGTTTATTCAGTTGTAATGAAAGTATAAATTTAATAATTTATGAAAAACATCATAAATTATAAAATAGATAAATTATATACAAAAAATTATTATTTAATTGATAATTTAAAATTATTCTTTTTTTTCAAAATTTATTATAATTTATTTACCATGGAAAAATTAGTGAAATATATTGTCAAATTTTTTTATAGTATATATTGGAAAACAATTTTTAAATATATAGAGAGAAGGGAAAAATGATAATGGAATTTATCAAATTTTTTTTTTTTTTGGCAAATGAATAATTCAAGAATTTTTTCTCATTTTCTTTTCATAAATAATACATCTTGAAATGTACAAAAAAAAATAAAAAACAGAAAAACGATTAGCTATAAACAAAAACGTTTTCCTTTTTTTATAAGCAATATGACGCATCAAAAAATCATTTTTTGCTCATAAAAGAAAAAAAAGCCCCAAGTGGCGAATATTTGTTTTTTTTATAATTTCGAAAAAAAAATCTTTTATTTGGGGAAAAATGGGAGATTTATAAATTTTGCAATTCATTTCTTAATGTGTTAAAAAAATTTTTAATAATATATAGAAAATAATGAACATATTTTTAAATTATGGCAAATTACAAAATTTTAATTGAGAAAATTGTATTGTATTAGAAAAATTAAATTTGATAATCCAACAAAAACAGATGGGAAAAAAAATTTCTCATTTATTTAATTATTTTTACTATTTTTAATTTCTTTAATATCGACACTTTGTGATATAAAATTTTTATTCAAGAATATTTATTTTCAGTGATTAAAAATTTTTCCTCAAAGAAAAAAAGATTTTTTTTTTTTTTGTTGTAGAAAATAAAAAATATGAAATTTGATATTGCAGAAAAGAGAAAAATGCATTTTAGTAAACAAAAAAAAATTTTGTAAATTTAAATTGAAAAAAAGATACGGTTTCGTGTTTGCAATTAAAAAAAAAATATATTTAAGTTTAAAAAATAAAATTAATTATTTTAAATAAATAAGAAAATTTTTTTTTTGCAAAAAAAATTTTTGTGTATAAAATTTTACAAAAAAATATTTTTAAGAAAAAAAAATAATTTACGATTTTGAAAAAATTTTTAAAATACTAAAAATGTTAAAAAATAATTTTTTTGACTGCGAAAAAAATATGAAATTACTTACCGGCTGATAAAAGTTGTGGATGATTTTTTTTTTTGTAGAAAATTTTTTTTTTTTTTTTTTGGATTAATTAGACAAATATTGCGGGAATATTGCACCGGAAGAAGCGTTCAAGTTACTAGCGTGGTAATGATGCAAAGTGCGGCATCGGCTAACGTCGCTTCATATATATATATGAAGGGACGTGCGAGGTGAGGATTTTAACGGGGGTGGGTTTTGTGATAGAGGGTGAGTGTACAGGTGGCTGTTTTTGAAGCACGCGCAAGCGTATCCTTTTTCCCTCTCCTTCTTTTTTTATCTCCCTCTCTTTTTCGATTAACACGTTTTCATGATGATATAGACATATACAAAAACCCTTTTTTTTTTTTTTTTTTTTATTTTTTTTTTCATTTATCCCACACACAGATCCAATTGTCAATAAACATTACAAAAAAGAACAACTTTTCTGAATGGTTCTTTTATATTAAAAATTCAATTAATTCCAATACAAAAGAAAATAGATAATAAATAAATTAAAAAATTTTTATTTATGAAAAAAAAATTTAACAAAAAAATTAAAATAAAAATTTTATCAAAAAAAAAAATGTTGAAAAATCAATTTTTTCTCACACTTTTTTTTTTGATTAGAAAAAAAGGAAAACTCGTCTATTTGATAAAAAATATGTTTATTTGAATTCCAGTAAAATAAATTTTGTTAGATAGTTGAAAAAACAATTTTTAAATAAGAAAATTTTAATTTTTTTTTTCCAATTGTCAATAAACATTACAAAAAAGAACAACTTTTCTGAACGGTTCTTTTACATTAAAATTCAATTAATCCCAATACAAAAGAAAATAGATAATAAATAAATTAAAAAATTTTTATTTATGAAAAAAAAATTAACAAAAAAATTAAAATAAAAATTTTATCAAAAAAATTTTGAAAAATCAATCAAAAAACTCGTCTATTTGATAAAAATATGTTTATTTGAATTCCAGTGAAATAAATTTTGTTAGATAGTTGAAAAAAAAATTTTCAAATAAGAAAATTTTAATTTTTTTTTTTTCTTAAATAGTACCTTAGAGTCAAAACTAAGATACAAATTAAATGGAAAATTAAAAATTAACTTTTTTTTTTATTTTCCTTTTTTTTAATAAAACTTTGTTTTGAAAAATTTAAAACGACTTCTTTCGAATAAGAAAAAAATAACTTTAAACTCGATTTAAGCAACTCTTATCAAAACACCTTCCTGACACTGAGGGACAAGCAGTTTTTAAAACTCCCTTCTTCATATACATTAAAACTTTATAGTATATATAAATTCTATACTTTTTTTTCCAACTTTCGTTTACCCAAAGAGATCAGATATATATTATTTATTTATTTTTCACTTTGAGTTAGTCAATTTTTTTTTCAACTCTCTTTCTAAAAATCGTTAAATAAAAAAAAAAATTTTTTTTTGAAAAAAAATTCTTTTTTGAAAAAAAATTATTTTTTTGAAAAAAAATCTCTTTGATTTCAAGAAAATAATTTTTGATAACTAACAGAAAAAATATTAATATATATATAGAGAGCTATACTAATAAATTTAATGATGAATAAAAAAATGATTTATTTTACATTTACGTAAAATATGTATAAAAATTTACAACCCATCTTTAAGAAGTCGACGATCAAAGGTGTAATATAAAGATTGACATAATCTTTATGCGCGTTGACGTAAGAAAAAGCTTCATATTTTCCGCTCTATATTGATCCCTTATAAAAAAAAAATAAAAATAAAATAGAATTGTACCAGAAAAAAAAATTGATATGATTGGAAGAAAAGATAAAAAAATTGTGCCAGGAAGAGAGACTTTATTAAAACATTATTTATATAAACAGATTATTTAAAAAGTTATATTAATTTTTCCCATAAGTAAAATTTATAAATAAAAAATAATAATAATTATTATTTTTCATAAATTTAAAAAATAATTATGCAAAAAAAATGTATTAATATTTATATTTGAATAAGAAAACAAAATTTTAGTTATATTTATTTTATTTCAACTGAATTTTTCTTAAATTATATAAAATACAGAATACATACAGAATTTAATATTAATGAACCAATAATTTTCATGTTTCTATATTTTTTTCTCGTTGTTATATTTGTATTTCTATATATATATATATATATATATATATATATAATATGGTGTAATATTTATTCTGAAAGTAAACGATTATTTAAGTATATGAATTGGGGGAAAAAAAAGAGACGTATATAATATTTTAGTAAAGAGGCGAAAAATTACGGTCATTAAAGAATCAAGGGAAATGTTATTTATTAAAGTCTTTTTTAAGAGTATTTTTTATTCATAGCTGGTGAAAAAAAGAAAAACAAAAAAAAAATTCGAATTTATTTCAAAAGTTGAGCAATTTAATAAAATAAAATTTTTTAATTTTTTTTGAAAAAAAAGCCATTATTCTTAAAACACATTTGAGACGCATGAAAATTCCACCCAAAAAAACAAATAGAATTTTTGTGATTAAAAATTATTGAATTTGGCAGAATTTAAAAAAAAGTGAATTTTTAAATGAGTCAATGAAATAAAAAATAATTTTCTAAAAAAATTTAGCTTGAATTTCTGTTAAATGACCTATTAAATAATTAAATGTTAAAATTCTGTTAAATTAGATCGAATAAAAATTTTTTTTAAATATAAATTTTCTTATATAGAAATTCTGTTAATTGGAAAAATTCAAGTAATACAAATACTCTATTTAAGTGAATATTAAGACAAATAGAAATTCGACAAAAAGAACAATATATAAAATTTTCTTTTTATTTATTTTTATATTAATAAATATTATATCAAGTTATAAAAATATATTATTATTTTGAAAAAAGTTTCTTTTGGAAAAAAAATATACATAATATTGATATGATATTTTAATATTAATATTTTTGTATTTATTTATTAATTATTTTTTTATATTTAATATTTAATATTTTTTAATAAGTGATTTTTTTTCTTTTTCAGAAATAGAAGAGGAACTCGAAATATTTTTGGAAAATTGAAATACAAATAGACAATTTATTTGGAAGGGCTCTTATGTCATCCCTTAATCGAGTGTTGTTTTTTAATTAAAACTCGACCTGATGGGTTTGTAAGATAAAAGTGTTTCATGTAAGAAAAAGAAATCAAATTAAGTGCTATAATATAATATTCTAAGCACGACTTTTGAATAATCATATATATTTTATCAAGATACTGCGCAAGTGATCTAGTTTTACTTTTTTTTTTTATAAAAATTTATAAATTGCATTAAAGTTTTGATTTTAAGAATTCAAGGGAAAGTTATATTTATCAAAAGTTCGAGAAATATTTTCTTAAAGTATAATTTTTTTTTTTTTATTAAATATTATAATAACTTCTCTTATAGTAAAAAAAAAAATTTGTTTTTTAATTGCAAACAATATTTTTTATTAAAAAAAAAAAACTTTTAAAATAATTTTATAAGAGAATTAGTATTTTTTTAAATTAACCAAATAATATAAATTTAAATCTAATTATATTTATATTTAAAAAAAAATAATAATTTATGATATTCCATAATATATTTCACAATGAATTGAGTGAAAAAGTTATTCTTGTCCTTTTCACTTAAAAAAGTGAATAAGGAAAGTTGAAGTGTCGACGTTGGCGGGCTTTCGATCATATTTGCAGGAACGTATAAAATTACATGTTGGTAAGATATGTCCACTTGGGAAAGTGCTTACGTTGCTAATGTCAAAATAAACAAATTCTCGAGAGTAATGGGTGTTACCATTAATTTACCCACCAACAATATGAAATTTTCCATCGCTAATAAATTCATTAGCTAAATTATATTTATAATATTAACGCAATCAAACATTTAAAAAAAAATATATATTTCCTCTATTTTATTTTTAATTCATTTTACTTTAATTAAATTATTTATTTGTTTTTTCATTTTAATATTAAAATACTATAATTTATTTTCTTAGTATCAAAAATATATTGTAAATAAAATTGAATAAATTAATTAATTAAAATTCGATATGGCGTAAAAATTGGCTTTTGTGTGAAAAAAAAAATTAATTAGCTTTCTTAACAATAAAAAAAAAAATTATTTTTATAATGTTTAAATTTTTTTTCCTCGTGCCGAATATGACACGTGTTTATTCAAGCTTCAATTTACTTCTGCTCACTTCATTTAAATCGGATCCACGTGATTTTATATTGAATAGAATTACCTGATGTTCACATTTCTTTGTACCTTATTTTACGTAAAAGTTTCTCAACCTTATAAAAACATGATTTGTTTTAACGAAAAATTTCATATAAATGCGACGCAATATAAACAAAAAAAAAATCATTAAAACTTTTTTATTTATGAACAAACATGAGATTTCAAAAATATAATTAAACTGGAAAAAAATTATTTGATTATCAAAAATTAAATATTTACTTGAACCAAATAAATTGTTATTTGAATTAAATTTTTTAATCAATTTTCTGTATTTGAAATAAATACCAATCACAAATAATAATACAATTTAATTTACTTTCTCTACTTAAAATTAGTTATTTCGTTCTCAAATAGATTAGGAAGTTTTTTTTTTGAATTCCTTATCACTTTTTATCTATTTTATTATATATTTGAGATTTGACCAAAATGCGGAAGCGGAAATAAATATAATTTTGAAAAATAATTATTAAAAAAAAATTTTATATTAAGAATTTGCAAAATTAAATTAATTAATTAATTTAAATTTCAATTATTATTGAAATTTGAAAAAAAATAATTAGAAATTAAAATTTTTTTTTTTTATAAATTATTAATATTGAATACTTGTATAACTTTGAATGAAAATGTATAAATAATTTAAAAAAAAAAAACTGACGCTCTTTAGGTCGAAGGTAAAGTTTACAGTTTGTGTATTGAGTAGAATACTGATGTGCTTATTGAAATGGGATCGTTGAAAAAACTAATTTTATCGCTTCTAGAAAACTTTACATCTCTTCAATCAGAAACGATAAGTTTCAGCTTCATTTATAAACTACTATTATGTGTTATCTATTTTCTATACCAATAGAATTTTGTATTTGCATTCAAAATGCTTACTTTTTTTCATTTTTTTGTAATAAACTTTTTTAAAATAAAATTAATTTTGAATTTAAAAAAAAAAATTTTTTTCTTGTCATCTTTGATAAAAATCATAAAAAATTTATATAGAATTGCACGAACATGATCTTTGTTTCAAAAAAGCTAATACTATACCCTTGATATCTCTGCATATCAAAATCTTGTGAATCAAATTCGCTGTTTCTTTTACGTTTATGATATCCCGTGGGAGGAAAATGGTGTCAGCAACCTCGAGGAATGCATTTACAATCTCTAACTCATCCTCAATTTTCAATAATCATTGACGTACGTACATGAAATTCTATATCCATTTTATAAAAAAAAAAATGTACAATTATTGTTTATATATTTCTTTATTTTAATTTATAATTCTCAAATAATTTATTTTATGAAAAAATTCAGTTGGATCTTTAAAAAATTGTTATTGTATCATCAAAATTTGAATATCAAATTGTATGAATGACTGTAAATATCCAATTTCAATGACATTCATTTAAAACTGAAATTGTAGAGAATAATATATAATCATTGAATTGTAAGTAATTTATTGATTTCCAGGTTCTACGCATCTATGTATTTAACCCCTTTTTTTTGTCAAATAGATAAGATTAAAATTCAGAGTGTTTGGATTTGATTACAAACGCTCGTTTGTGCGTAATTCAATTTCTTTTAATTTTGTAACACACATTCTTTTTTAAATCCAAAAAAAAAAAATATTATAAAACATAACATTGATTTGCTGTCATTCGTAAATTCAAATTTCTTCTCCTTCGAAAGATCAATTGCACCCTCCCAATGGGGAAAACTTGACCTTTGAACTTCTGGATTTTATTTTTGACTTCTCGTATACTTTTTATAGAAATATTACGCGTGCATTTTTTTTTATTCCTTTGTATGATTAAACAGAAAAAGAAATAAGGATTTTAAAATAAATAGTTTTTTTTTAATTTTGAATTAATTTATTTTCAATTCTCTTGAATATAACATTGAGTCTGATGATAATAATAATAATGAATTAAAATTTATTTGTGTGCAGTATACAATTTAAAATATCTAATAATTTATAATACTGCATATCTAAGGTATTATAGATGAAACAGCAAAGAGCAGTTCACGGATTGAATTAAATAACAAATAATATTGACATTAACTTTAAATACATATGCACACTGTTAAACATTTATTATGGCTGCTGATCATGTTTTTTTTTTCTCTACTTTCAATTCTTGTCCTCTAGAATCGATTCAGTCGACACTCCTAAAAATAAAAAGAAAAACAATTAAATAAAATACAAATCTTTATAAATGCAAAAAAAAAAAAAAAAAAAATATGTTAGACATACATTAAAGAAAAAATTTTTATTTTAATTTCTTAATATAAATAAAATATTTCCAAAATTATATTACTTGATATATTCGCGAGGGTGTAACTCAATTTTTATTTCTCAGGAAAATTCTTCTGCTCTTGAAAAAGTTTCTCGTTCTTTCAAAATTTATTACTTTGGCTCAAGTTGATAAAGCATTATTCTTTTTCAATTATTTTATTAAAAATTTTTGCATTAAGAAAATTTTTGTTAATAATAATAATTATTATTAAAAAAAACTATCAGTTGAATCTGTATCGTTAAAATTATAAATTCCATGATCTTCATTTAATATTGGATCTACATACACAATGCGAAGAGTATTCGTAAAACCGGATCCCTGCTTCCATCCAGTGACAACAACAACGGAATTTCCAGTTTGTACGAAACCGCGACTTTTTCCAAATTCGAGACCAAATTGAACACGCGCATCAACGTCTTTTAGCCAATCAGACAATGGTGTATCTAAAAATTAAAAGAATGACAAATTTATTTTTCTTGAAGCACAGATGACTCTAATTAAAAAAAAAAAAAATTACCTGCATAATGAAGTGGCAAAATTCCACGATAAAGATGTGCCTGTCTTGCAACTTGTGGATATCTAGTTACAGCAATAATTGGACAACGTGGTCGATATTTAGAAATAAGATGCGCTGATCGTCCAGATGTTGTAATAACAATAATGGCACTTGCTAAACATTTGTGAGCAGCTTCAACAGATGCAATTGCTGCCGAATGAGTTGCATCAATTGGAGGAAGAACTTTACTTGTTAAATCACTGCAAAGTTGATTATGCCAAATTGCAGCCTCAGCTTCCTTGCAAATATTTGCCATTGTACGCACACATTCCAAAGGATATTCACCTTTTGCAGTTTCTCCTAGAAATTACCAAATTATTTTACATTAGATTTTTTTGGAAAAAAATTCAAATAATAAAACAAATATATATATACCCGAAAGCATAACACAATCGGCTCCATCGAGAATTGCATTAGCAACATCAGATGTTTCGGCTCTAGTTGCTCTTGGTTTTTTAACCATTGATTCAAGCATTTGAGTTGCACAGATAACTGGTTTTCCCACTTTATTACATCTGCTTATCATACATTTTTGTGCCAAAAATACCTTCTCTGGGGGAATTTCAATTCCAAGATCACCACGAGCAACCATAATACCATCAGATGCTTCAATAATCTCATCGAGATTTGTCATTCCCTGTTGATTTTCAATTTTCGATATTATTTTAATATTCTTTCCCTTATCGCCGAGAATTCCACGAATTTCAGTGAGCGCCGCTGCATTACGAATGAATGAGGCAAAAATCATGTCCACCTCTTGTTCAACGCCAAATGTTAAATCAGATTTATCCTTTTCGGAAACAGCGGGCAAATCAACTGGTACACCAGGCAAATTTACACCCTTACGTGAACCAAGTGTTCCACCATTTTCCACAGTTGTTAAAACTTCATTAGCAGCTGTAATGTAAAAATAAAATATTTGAAAATTTCGTTTTCTTTTTTTTACAAATTCATAATAAAAATTCCTACCAACTTCCTTGACAATCAATGATATTAATCCATCGTCAACAAAAACACGATTTCCTGATTTTAAAACTTTTGAAATATTATCATAATCAACGTAAACAATTTTATTATTTCCCTTTTCAAGATACGCCTTGTCCGTGGAAAGTTTAAAATCTTGTCCCTTGACTAGTTCAACTTCAGCACTGCCACCCTGAAAAAAATGTGATTTAATTTTACATAAAATTATATAATAATAAAATGCTTGGTCTGTCCTTATGTCCTAACTTGAAGTTGGTCTTTTCTGATTTCACGTGTTTTTTTGGATAGTAATCTTATGACGTGTCAAATTTTGACAATTCTTTTTCTCATTTTTGCCAAAGTTATATAATTGTGTTTCCAAATTTCGGAATAAGTTTCTTTAAAATTCCAAATTCGAAAATTCAATTCACGTATAGCTGAAGTACACAACGTTTACCAACGAAATTTTTTTTAAAAAAGTATATTGATTCAAAAATTGTATACAAATACAAAAAATTTATGATGAGAAAAAAGATGTGCCAGGAAATTTCGTACAAGATAGTAATTTGAAAAAAATTTATTTTTAAAAATTAATTTTTAAGGTACCAGGGGCCAACGAATACCTATTAAATATTAATTATAAAAACACAGGCCTCGAATCAACTTAAGGACACAAAAAAGTCGTTTTAGTCGATTTATATTCAAAAAAAAAGTGTATTTGTTTTTTATTTTAACAAAAATATTTTACAGATTTTTAAATAAAAAATTTTTTTTTTTAATAATAATCCTTTTCGAAGGGTTAAAGTTGAAATTTTTAGAAATAATTAAATTTCAAAAGATATTGTTAATTTTCAAACAATTATTAAATTTTACAGAACTAAAAATAATTTATCAAACAATTTTTGGAAAACATTTTTTAAATTTAATTGAATTTTCAAAGATTTAAAATTGAAATTTTTGAAATTAATTGAAACTTTAAGTGTTTTGTAATTAAAATTTCAGATTATTTCACTAAAAATTTATTAGAAAATGCGGACAAAATACAATAATTTTGAAAATCATTTTTAATTGAAAAATGGTTTCAGATAGTTGAATTTTCAAAGAATATTATTAAAATAGTTAAAAATAATTAAATTTCCTTAGAGTTATAATTAAAATTATTAAATTTCAAAAAAAAAATAAATTTCGATGGAAAATTTTAGAAATAATTAAATTTTAGATGCTTTTAAATTCAAATTATTGAAAATTCAATTAATTTTGAATTCAAATTTTTGAGAATAATGAAATTTAATTTTGATTTTAAATTTGGAAAATAATTGAATTTCAGTTCATTCTGAATTGAAAATTTTTGGTAAATAATTGAATTTTAATTGAAATTTTGGATAATAATTTAATTTAAGTTCATTTTTGATTGAAAATTTGGATAATTAATTTTGAATAGAAATTTTAGAAAATAATTAAAATTTTATTTCATTTTAAATTGAAAACTTGGTAGATAATTAAATTTTAAATTTGAAAATTTTTGATAATTGAGGCTCCCAATTCAAGAACCGGTCGTGCACACTGTTTTAGCCATAGCGAGCGACCGATTCTTGAATTTGAAGCCTCAATTATTGGATTTTTAATTGATTTTTAATTAAAATTTCGAGTAATAATGTTTATTTTGAATTGAAATTGTTAAAAAATAATTCAATTTTATTGTGATATTTTTTTAAAATTATAAACAATTGTTAAATTTCATAAAAATTTTAATTGAAAAAATAATTTTGATATAATTGAATTTGTGATGTATTTCATTAAAATTATTAAAAATAATTAATTTAGTGAAGAATCATTTTAGTTCAAAATTTGTTAAATAATTGAATTGAAGAAGATCTGAAGAAGATCTACATTTTATACCAAAAAAAAAATGTATTTTATTTACATTTTTTTTCAAATGTAAAAAAAAAATGTCGCATTTTATTAAAATAAGTCGATAAAAGTCGGAAAAAGTCGTGTAATCCTGTAAACATATAATTTTCATTATTATCATTTAATATGTAAGAATATTCTAATAAATTAAATTATTATTGATAATATTAATCTTTAATTTCTTTATAACAAATAATTAAATAATCAATTTGGCGCGCATGCGCGCGTTTAATTTTGCTAGTTAAATATTAATTTAATTAAATAAAATATATATATATATATAAAATACTAACTCCCTCAAGAAGACCGGTACGAATTTCAGGACCCTTGGTATCGAGGGCAATTGCCACGGGTATATTGAGACCATTTTTTGTTGAAAGATTTTTTTGTGCAGCTCTAACATTTGCTATTGTTTCAGCATGATATTCATGCGATCCATGGGAAAAATTCATTCGGGCAATATTCATTCCAGTTTCAATCATTTGCTCCAATTTTTCCACTGATCTTGAAGCTGGTCCAATTGTACAAATAATACCTGATAAACGAACAAATGATGTTTGTGTACTAATATCGAGTGCGCACATATGATCCAAATGACTTTGTGCCACTAAACCCGTTGCCACTGGTTTTCCAGACATCTGCGATCAAAAAAAAAAATAATAATAATATTAAAACTAATAATTAGAAATATTAATAGTAATTATTATTTTCAATTCAATGAAATTATTAATTAAAAATGAAAATTATTGCGTCTTTTTCAAATTAAATGAAAATCTTTAATTATTATTATTATTATTTATTAAAAATATGAAAATTAAGCAATTATTAAAGATTTTTTGAAATTTTCACATTTTTTGTTTTTGCTTATAAAAAATTACAATTAACGACTTCGGCAACAAAATTAATATTTGACTTTTGTATATATATGAATCGCGTCTGCGATGCTACTATACTATCAAAATGATCTTGTTATCTAAATAAAAACATAAACAATTAATTCTAGGTCAGAGTCATCATCGATTGATAACTAATTATTATTATTATTTAATATTTGATTTTCGATAAAAAAGATTATTATGTAAAATTATTAAAATAAAGGAAATATTTTTTTGGCAAATTAAAATGATAAACTTTAGTTGAAATACGTCATTGAAGATTAAAAATTTTTGTTGAATTAATTTAATTTTTTTTTTTATAAATAAAATATAAATTTTTTTTTTAAATTTTTCTTTTTTAATTTTTTTTTGCAACGTTGACTAGCTATTGATCGACCCAACAAAACATGGAAGAGTCATATTATAAGTTATGCAACAAAAAAAAAAAACCGAAAATATTACAATAATCTCGTGGTTTAAAAAAAAAAAGATTTTAAACAAATTGAAATGTTTAAATAAAAAAATTATATTAAAAATTTCGTTAAATTTATAATAATAATTTTGTACGATATAAAAAAATACCATAGATTTTATCAGGCCTCGGATCGACTTTAAGGCACAAAAAAAGTCGTTTTAGTCGATTTATATTCCAAAAATAGTCGAAAAATGTTAATTAAATTCATTTTATTAATTCCGTAATGAGAATAATTCTATAAAAATATTATCAAGAAAATTTATTTCCAATATTTCACAATTGAACTAATTGTAAGACAAATTTTCAAAATTTTATTTAAGTAGAACAAATTTCCAAAAAAATTCTTGAAGTTACATTTTTATAATTTTTTCAAGTTTGATTTAAGCAATTTATTCGAATTAAAAATTTTGTCATAGTTTTTAATTTTGATGGTTAAAATAATTTCAGGCAAAAACTTAATCAAGTTTTACAGATTTTTTATTAAAAACTTTTTTTTTAAATAATAATAATTTTGGAAGAGTTAAAGTTGAAATTTTTAGAAATGATTGAATTTCAAGAGATTTGGATAATTTTCAGACAATAATTAAATTTTACAAAGCTTTTTGCTTTGTAATTTATAGTTGAATAGTTGCATTTTCGAAGAATATTAATATTAATATTAATCATTAAAAATAATTTGATTTCACGAGAGTTATAATTGAAATTATTAAATTTCAAAAAATTTTAGATGGAAATTTTTAGAAATAATTAAATTTTAGAAGCTTTTAAATTGAAATTTTTGAAAATAATTAAATTTCAATTGATTTTGAATTGAAATTTTGGAAAATAATTGAATTTTAGTTGATTTTGAATTGAAATTTTTGAAAGTAAATGAATTTTAGTTGATTTTAAATTGGTAATTTTGAAAATAATGTAATTTCAATCGAAATATTGGAAAATAATTGAATTTCTATTGAAATTTTTGAAAATAACTGATGAATTTATTAGAAATTACACACAAAAATTAAACATTCAAATTTTTTTCATTGCAAAATGCTTTCAGATAATTGAATTTTCGAAGAATATTATAAAAAATTGTTAAAAATAATTAAAATTTTTGCAAATAATTTAATTTCAAGTGATTTTGAATTAAACATTGTTTGTTATTTTATTTGCTAATTTTTTTAAAATTATAAACAATTATTAAATTTAATAAAAATTTTAATTCAAAAATAGTTAAAGATAATTGAATTTGTGAAGAATTTGATTAAAATTAGTAAAAATAATTAATTTAGTGAAGAATTTTAGTTAAAAATTTGCTAAATAATTGAAATAAAGAAGATCTAAAGAAGATTTGCATTTTATCCTAAAAAAAAACGTATTTTGTTATAAAATTTAAAAAAAAAAATTTTTAAAAAGTCGAAAAAGTCGCATTTTATTAAAATAAGTCGACAAAAGTCGTATTTTTGAAAAAAAAGTCGGTAAAAGTCGAAAAAGTCGTGTAATCCGAGGCCTGTTTTATATATTTGTTCATCATAAAAGTTAATAATGATAATATTATGTGATTTAAAGATATTATAAACATTTTTCAAGATTATTATCTTTACTTAAACCAATGATCTCATTTTTTTTTTTTTTCTGTACGTTTTATTTTCAGAAAATTTTATTTACATTATAAATATATAAATTAAATATTGTGACGTTAAATAAATATTTAATAATAATAATAATAAAACAAATTATGAAACATAAAAAAAAAATTAAGGGAATTATTAAGAAAACTTTCTAAAATGAGTCATTTTTAAAATAAGAATTTTTTAAAAGCTTTTATCATGATTAAGGTAAACAAAACTGGAAAGAAATTAGTGTTATCAGATTTGCGCGACACACAAATATGTATGGGAGAATTGTGAATCAATAAGAAAAAAAAGGGTTTTTGAAACAAAAGAAGCGTTAAACTGCAGAAAAATAATCAACATTTTGTAAAAATTTTTTTTTTTTCTTTTTTTCTATTTGATACCTTATCGTCGTTGGTTATCCACACCATTTTTGCAGGCTGTGTAAATAAAGGGGAAACAGGAATTATTAGTGAATTGTTATTAAATTTTAATAAAACTCGAGTAATAGTCACGTGTCCCAATAATAATTGTCGATATAATTTATTATTGTTTCGCGAAATTGAAATGAAAATTTTAACCACATTGAACACCTTAGAATATAGTCGCATCAGACGTTATATAGTTAAATATATGCCCAGTTGAAACTAGTAGTGTAATTTTTTTTTTTCAAATTCTCCATTTATTTTTACACCTAAAAATAATTTTCATTCCATTTCCCTATTGTTTCTATATTGAAAAGTTCATATATAGACTTTTAACAAAAATATTTTTGACATTTCATAAACAATATCCCACTTACAAAAATTAATGAAATTTATTATATTTATAAATTAAGATGGAATTTCTCTACAATGTATAATAAATTTTACAAACAAATGTATGTTAAATTTAAATATCTTATTATATACTTAGCGCATGAGCAGATTAATATTGTCAAAATGCTCACACGTTTAGTAACATCATCGATTTCAATCTTATTGATAATCAGTTAAGTAAATATTTTTATAAAAAAGAATATTACAATTTTAGTTTATTTTTATGTGTTTATAGTGTTGGATTTGTTAAATTATGTTCAAATATAGAACACGTGTGATTTATAAGTTTAGAATCTTAACCTCAAAATACGTTTGAGGTTATGCCGAAAGACCTTTATCGATAGGTAACAATGAAGATATCTATTTTATCATAAAAATAACGAGATTTTTTTTGAAAAAAAGGGACATTTATAACGAAAATTAAATTTTCACCCACATCTGCGTTTTTTAAATTATTAACTTATAGTGACTCAAAATATGATTATAAAACTTATTTGAATACACAATGTTAAAATTTTTTTCGATATTCTCCACTTATATTTACACAATTCACATTGAATTATAGATACTTTGTTTATAATTATAAATTATTGTTATAAAAAAAAAATTGATTATTTTAAAGTTCAGAAAATATAATTTCAAAGCCTTTATATTTGCACTGTCATTTTTGAGGTATTTGGGACTATTCCCCTGAAATCACGGAATGAAAAATTTCTTGCTCGAATTTTATTCACTGCAATAACCTTGAATCATTGTAATGGCAACAACTACACATATACTAAAAATTCAAGGTCTGGCATGCGCAACGATTATACAATCAAAAATATGCCCTTTGACAATATAAACATGTGTCAAATTTATGTCATATAAATATAATTTTTAATTTTCTTATTTCAATTTCATTTGAAAATCACATTCCTGAACTTTTATAATACATTATTATATTACAAATAGAAATTCACCGGGAAAATATTATAACCTATATTTGCTGAAAAAATTTCTATTAATTGAAAATAAAAAAGGTTTATTACTGCTAATTTTGCAAATACCTTATTGAATTTAGTTGTCAATATGAGGATTGAAAGAAATTCAAATTTTTTTTTTAAGTTATACTGTTAACAGGCCAATTGCTTGTAACAGACTGACGTTTGAGGACACAAAAGGTCACCACTACTATGACTACACCGTCATATATTACTTCCTTATTTCCTGTGTCGACTAACTTAACTTTAACTTTAAACTCCTATGATAATTCACAGGAGGAAAATAGCCTTAGGTCTGTTCACAGGGAACATAATGCAAAGCAAGGCGACCTATCTGGCCACGGCAATGATAGAAAGTTATATACTGATTGGTTAATCAATAATTTGAAGGGAAAAAGACTAAGAGGTTATATATTACATATATAAAGCAAAAGCGCGATAAATAAATTTAAATTTAAAATTAAATTAAAGATAAAAGTAAGTTATATAGAAATATTATTAGAATTAAGAAAATCAATAATTAACAAAAGGATATGAGGAAGAGGATTCTTTAAAATAAGTTCAAATGAATATGGAGGGTAAATTTTGTATTTAACAAGGTTTTTTAGAAAATCAGATCTATAAGTTGAATATTGAGGACACTCCCAAAGAACATGATTAATATCATGTGATTCATTACCACATGATAAACAAGAAGCTGAATTAATAAAATTTTTCCTTGCTAGACTAGCTGGCAAATTATAATGATTAGATCGAAGTCTTGAAATAGTAACTATTGTTTTTCTATTATATTTAGTCTTCCAAAACCAAGGTTTTAAAGTAGAGTCCGAGAAAAAATTTTGAAAATAATAAAGGCCCTTATTATTAACATTAGAATGATTTAACCAATAATTACAAACTAAATTATAAGATTCAGAAAAAATTGAAGGCCACAAATCAGAAAAAGATAAAGGAATATTTTGAAAAATACCTTCTTGAGTAGCTGATCGTGCTAAGGTATCCGCTATTTCATTACCGGGGATACCCAAATGACCGGGACACCAAACTAAAGTTATATTAAGATTATTTTCTTTAGCATTCCAAAGAAGATTACGTAATTTAAAAATTAAAAATGAAGTAGAAGGACGAGGAGAAGATAAGCAAGCTTGTAAACCACTTTTAGAATCGGAGAAGATGATTGAATGGGGAATAGAATTATCTAATATAATCTGAATCGTTTCGCAAATGGCTAAAATTTCAGCCGAGAATATAGAACAATGATGAGAAATTTTAAACATAAGATTTAAATCCCAATGTGGAGAATAAATAGAAAAGCCAACAGAAGATTCAGGAAATTTTGAACCATCAGTATAAAAATGAATAGAATTATTATATTTTTTTGAAGAGGAAATATTAAGAAAATCTGAGATCGGAGCTTTACTATTCTTAACAATAAAACCAAATTGTAAATCAACAGAGGGTTTAAAAAATTGTAATTCAAATGGACAAAGATAATTTAAAGGAGTAAATGAATTAAACATTAAATTTTGAAAACCATGAAGTTTATAAAAAGAACGTAAAAGAAGAAAACCTTTATCTAGGTTATAATAAGTATTATTAAATTTGGTTAAATAAAAAAGGCGTAACAATAAAGACATGATAGGATGAGAAAAAACATTAAGAGAACGAAGAAAGAAACGATCAGAAACTAATTGAAATCTAGAAATAAGAGGAAATTCCTTTAATTCAGCCTGCATTACAACAATAGGTGTAGAAATACGATAACCCAAAATAAGTCTTAAAAATTTATTGTGTAATTTTTCAAGTTTATTAAATAATTTGTCTTCTTTAAAAATAGAAATGGCATGACAACCATATTCAAATATACTTCTAGCCAAAGAATGAAAAAGTATACTAAGGATTTTTGGATGAGATCCCCACCATGTCCCACATAAACATTTCAGAATATTCAAAACCCCGTAACCTCTTTTAAGTAAATCATTAAAATGAGCATTCCAAGATAAAGAACAATTAAAAGTAATCCCAAGAAATTTAGTTTCTGCAGAAGGATAAATATGATTATTTTGTAAAATTAAAAAAGTATTATCCGGAAGTTTATTAATAGAGATTGGAAAAATTAAAAATTTAGATTTAGAAGGTGAAAGAGATAAACCTCGATTTTTAAGAGAATCATTTAAATTAATTAAATTTTGTTGTAAAATTTGAATAGCAATTATTAAAATTTTATTAGATACATATAAAACTAAATCATCAGCATATTCTAAAATTTTGCAATTAAGACATTTATGTAATCTACGAGTATAAATAATATATAAAATTGGACTTAAGATACAACCTTGTGGAAGGCCTTTATTCAAAATGTGAGGACCTTCATTTTTATCGTTAATTTTAAAGAAAATTTTGCGATTAGAAATTAAATTATAAATAAATTTACAAACATTAATAGAAATACCTAATTCAAGTAAATCATTAATTAAAACATTTGGAAGAACATTGTCATAAGCAGCAGCTATATCAAGAAAAATGCAAGCTGTATAATCTTTTTCAGCAAGAGATAAATGTAATTGAGAAGATAAAATAGCTAAACTGTCTGCACATGATTTATTTTTTCGAAAACCATATTGGAATGGAGAAAGAATAGAATTATTTTCCAGCCAATAAGTCAAACGATTAGATATAAGATTTTCCATAATTTTTAAAAAACAAGAAGCCAAGGCTATTGGACGAAATTTACGTTTAGTAGTTTTTGGAAGAAGAAAAATAAGAAATTCTTTCCAAGAATCAGGAAAAGTTCTATAAAAATAAATATTATTAAAAAGATGTAGAAGAAAAAGTAAAACATGTTTAGGAAATTTTTTAATTACTTCAAAACTAATCTTATCAAGACCTGGAGATGATTTAACTTTTACTTTTTTAAGAACTAACTCTAATTCTTCAAATGAAAAGGGAGAATCAAAAAAGGAAGAATGAGAATTATCACTTATAGAGTTTAAAGAAGAGTTTAAAAGATGATCATTAGAAGTAATATATGTTGGAAGAGAAATATTTGGAGCATTATCAAAATTATTGGACATCTCTAAAAAATCTCGAATATAAATATGCATATCTTCAACAACATCTAAATTTGCAGGACAAGAAGTAATAGAAGGTGAATTAAGCATTCTATGTCTAAAGCCTTTTATTTTTTTCCAAATAATAGAAAAAGGAGTATTTAAAGATAATGATTCACAAAAAGATCTAAAACTTTCTTTTTTAATTAATTTAAATCTATTCTTAGTAAAAGCTTCAAATTTTTGATGATCAATAAAATTTTCATAAGAAGAGTTATTTCTATATTTCTTTAATTTAGCTAAACGTATACGAGAAAGTTTATCACATTCTGCATTCCACCATGGAGGAGAATAAGGATAAAATTTTTTCCTAGAAGGTTTCCGATCTAAATTAGGGTCAGCAAAATGAAGAGCTGAATCAACATTGGAAATAAAGGTATTATAAGCATTGAGAACATCATCTGAAGAATTAAACATTGGAAAAGAATCTTCATCATAATAAGAACCCAAACATGTTGAAAACTTTCTCCAATTTATTCTTTTAAGACAATATTTATGAGAAATAAAATTAAAGAAGACAAAATGAATGCCAATTTTAATAGAAATAGGAAAATGATCACTACTCAATTTATCTTCTAAAACATCCCAGGTAGAAATAAGTTTTAAATTATTTGAGATTATCGAAAGATCAATAGCAGATATAGAACCAAAAGGATATGAAATTAAGGTAGGTTTACCATTATTAAGAATTGAGAGGTCATAATCAGGAAAAGCTGAGATAAAAGAATCACCTATATTACAAGATCTATCACATCCCCATAATAAATTATGACAATTAAAATCACCTCCTATAAAAAGAGTAGAAAATTGTGATAAAGAGATAAAAAATTCATCAAAAATAGAAAACCAATCTAAATTTGAATTTTGATAATTTGGAATTCGATATACATTTACAATAATAAATTCACCAAGATGAGTCTGTAAAGAAATGGCTTGAGTATTAAAAACATCATCAAGATTAAAAACAGAATTAATTATTTTGAAAGGAATATCATTTTTAATTGCAATAAGAAGACCACCACCAGAACGACCGATGCGATCTTTACGATAAATATTAAAAGAGGGAATAGAAAAGGAAACTTTAGGTTTAAGCCAAGTTTCACATAACAAAATTATGTCATAATTTTGAGATATACGCTCTAAAAATCCTTTTTTAGGAAAAATACTATGACAATTCCATTGAAAAATGTTCAAAAAAGAATTATTATTAGAATTCATAATAAAGAAAATTAATTAGTGGAAAAATTGAGAGGAGAATTGATAGATTGAGGATTTAAAAAAGAATTTGAAAGTTGAGAAAGAATATCTGTCAGAGGAGAAATTTGTTTAAGAAATTGTGTAAGTTGAGAAATTAAATGAGTTAAAGTTTGTAAATTATCAGGAAGAAAAGAGGGAGTAACATTTCTATTGAGAGATGAAATAGATGCTGATACAGGAATAGGAATTTGAGACAAGTTAGAACTATGAGTTGATTGTGAAGAATTCAAATTAGAAGGAATAAAAGAGGATACTTGATTAGTAAGAAATTGATTCTTATGATTTACAGAATTATTTTGAAGAATTTTAGATGACTTTGATTTATTAGATTTCAACAAAGTTGGATTAAGAACAGGAGATGAAATAGAAGAATTAGTGCCCATAGCTGAATCAAGGTCGACTTCACCTAATTCAGGAAAATTAGAATAATTAAAGCGAGGAACGGAAACTGACTTTATGTTAAAAAGAGGAGTATCTTTAGAATTTAAAAGAGATGAAAAGTCAAAGGAAAAATTTCCAGAAGTAGCACGTTTTTTCTCGGAATAATAAATTTTCTTAGCTAATCCAATAGAAATGTTTCTATAAGCAGCTAATTTCATTATATTATTTTGATCCTCTCGGCTTGGACATAATTTATCTGTACTAAGATGAGGTCCAGAACAATTTAAACAAACTGGTGGTTTTCCAGAATTAGGACAAGTAGAACCTTCCTCATGACGTGAATTGCCACACGATAAGCATCGAGGATTTTTACATATGCTTGAAACATGACCAAACCTAAAACAAGAATAACACATTTTAGGTTGTTGAATATAAGGATGAATAACTGACCTTGAACCATAAAGATAAAGAAAATTTGGTAATTCTTGACCTTCAAATTTAATTTGAACAGTTGAACCTGGGAACAATTCACCTTTGTCATTTTTAATTAAAAATCTACGCGCTTCAAGAATTTTAACGTTTAAATCATTTGTAGAATCTTTGATAATATCATCCATTTCAATATCTTTAGGAACAAATCGAACAATTCCTTCTCTTGAAATATTAAAATTTGAAATAAAAGCAGATAAATTGACAGATGAAAGAATTTCATTATTATCCACAATTTTGTTAGCACTTTCACGATCTATGCAAGTTACCATAACTCGTGAGAGACCTGTTTTTTCAATATTTTTAATAGAACATCTAAAATTTTTATGTAAAATTTTACCACATTTGAGAGGATGTAAAGCTGAATTATCTTTAGTTTCAACAATTACTTGAAAAGGACCTTTATTATTAGAATTATATTTGTTTTTTAATAATTTATCAAAAGAGGGAAGAGATTTTTCTTTAGAATTATCTGATTTCTTTGCAAAATCATTATTATTATTATTATTTAAATGTGAAGATTTACGTTTATTAGACTTCGAAATAACTTGATTTTGAAAGCCAGAATTAGATAAAATTTGATTTTCTTTATTTAAATTTTCCAAAGATTGATCAATCATGATTGAATCGAGAGGGTCCTCATGAAAATCAGGATCATGATCAAAATGAGATGGATCATCGGTAGCTGACATAATAGTCAGCGGCCCTTAGGCCTCTAATAAATGAAAAGAAAAAACTTACCTTTATCAAAAATCAAAAACGAAATAATAAATATAAAATAAAGAAATAACCTCTTAGAAATAAGTAAAAGGATTAAAAAGGAAAACACCAATCAATTAAATTTCGAAATATTCAAAACGTTAGAAAACGTATAACACTCGTAAAAGATGCGCAGTAGGTCTACACTTGACGACAATCAGAACGAGAATCCTGTGTCGACTAAAATGTTTGTTAGTAAAAAAATTTCTTTTTCTACTGCCCGCTGCGCCCTCTTTACACGATCGATAACTACAAAATTATATCGAACAACTCGAATAATTAATCGAAAATTTGAATTTGAAAAAGAAGTTGATATAAATGTTTATAGAGGGTGTTTTAATGAATTGTAAAATTAGCACATCCTAACCATTGATATTTAGTTCCTCTTTTGTAAGTTCATTTATACATGATTTATAATTTAAAGGCTATTATTTAATAGTTATTAAGTTTTCTCACGAGTTTTCTATACCAATTAATTTGTAACAATAATTTTAGGTTATGTTTTTGTCAAATGGAAATTTTTTTTCATGTTGGTAGTAATATAAATTTTATTTTTGAGGTTAGAAAGTTGAAAGATTGTTATATATGTGCAAAAAAAAATTGTTTAATAATAATTCTTTGATGCAAGAAATGATTAATTAAAAATTTTTCTTTTTTTTTAGAACATGCATTTATTATCAAATCTTTTTTTGTACATAAAAAAAAAAGTTTTTGTAAAGTTTTGAAGAAAATATTTTTTAATTTTACAATTTTATATTTAAAAAAAAAGAAAAAAAAATGAAGGAAATAAATTTTTTTCTTTTGTTAATTTATCTACAAGTGGGACAAATTATTTCTCAGGATGACAATAATTTTTTAGGTATGTTTATATTTATTGAAAAATTTGAATTTTTGAATTTCATTTTTTTTCGTATGTAAAATTTATTTTTCAGAACCATCAGATTTAGTTATAGTAATTATAAGCCAATCGAATCCTTATCATAAAGCACACGCTGAATTATTGCAAAAAAATATTAATGATCAAGCAGAATCTATGGAAAAGGTATTTTTTTTGGTTTATTTGTCTATTTATTAAACAGAAAAATTGTATTAAATAGAAATTTTTTTTATTCAATTTTTTTTAGAATTCTCCAGTTATAATTCTCACGCACGAATTAAAAATTAAAGGATCATGGACATATTTACCATTGTTTTCCCATTTGTCATTTAATTATCCAAATAAGAAATGGTTTTTATTCTGTTTAGAAAATACTGTAATTAATTTAATTGAACTTATTCGAGTTCTCTCGGAACATAAATCAAAAGTGAGTATTATATCGAATTTAGAATAAAAATTTAGAAATAAAATGGAAAAAAACTAAATATACTTTTCAGAATATGTGGCTTTCTTATGGACTTACAGATCATGATTTAACTATAATTCATCATTTTGCAAAATTAAAAGCTCCTTTTAAATATCCAAATGAAGCTTCCGGATTTGCTATGACAAAACAATTGTTATACAGGTACACGTATTTTTTGTATTAATTTTCTTTTTTTTTTCTTTAATATTTGTATTAAAAGTAAGAAAGAAAATGATTTTTTTTTTGAATTTAGTATTGCAACAAATCAGAGAAATAGACAAATGGATTTTTCCATAGATTCATCTCATGAACTTGCTCATTATATCGATGATGAAATTAAAGGACCAAGTTTAACACACTCTGCTAAATTTTGCATCGTTTCGAATAGAAAGTGTGCAACTTTTCCACGACAATTTTATCCTTGTGTAATGTATTTTTCAAATTTTTTATATTAATTATACTGAAATTATTATAAGTTAAGTATTTATACATTATAATAATTTAGGATAAACCAATTTTAAGTGAAAAAATTTATGTGGCTGTGAAAACATGTAAACAATTTCGAAATGATCGTATACCTGTTATTTTGAATACCTGGAGTAAATACGCGAGAAATATTGCATTTTATACAGACGAAGCAGGTATTTAATAATATTTTTTTTTAAATTACATTTTTATAAATTACATTTATATTTTAATATATATATAAATTTTCGTTTTTAAATAATTAATAGTTTTGTATATATAAATTGAAATAGACAATAGTTTACCAAATTCTCATATTGTTCCGAAAACTAACGTTGGACATTGTGCAAAAACTTATGGGATTTTGCAACATGCATATAAAGTAATGAGAAAAAAAAATATCGATTGGCTCTTAATTACTGACGATGACACTATAGTAAGGTATTGATATAAGTATTAATAAAATAAATAAAGATCGAATTAGTTTTAATTATTTAATTAAATTCTTCTAGTTATTTAAAAAAAAAAAATAATATAAATCTATTTTTTGTAGTTTGGCTCGAATTCAAAAATTATTGACCTGTTACAATCCAAAAAATTTGATAGCACTGGGACAGCGATATGGTTTTCGATTAAATGACGATGATGGTTACGATTATTTGACTTCTGGAGCTGGTCTCATTTTATCAAAACCAGTAGTTAAATTAATAATAAATTCAACAGATTGTCAATGTCCGCATCGGGAAACTGCAGACGATATGTTTCTCTTTGGTCAATGCCTTCAGAATCTCAACTTGAATATAATTCACTCATCTGCTTTTCATCAGGTCTGTATTAATTTCTTTTTTCAATTTTCAAATAATTTTTACTTAAAATTTTTATTTAAAAATCTTGAGATCTAAATGTTAAATATTTAAATTATTTTTATTTTCATTGTGAGAAATATGTTGGGGAAAAATATTTTTTTTTTTGTAGGCAAGAGCAGTTGATTATGCAGCAGGATATCTTTCATCTCATGAACCAGTGTCGTTTCACAGTTTTTGGAATATTAATCCCAAAGAAACGTATAAGCAATGGTTTGCCGAAGATGATGAAAATTTTTTTCACTCATCATTAACTCACACTGAGTTATAATATCTGTTATATAATCATATTCACAGCTAACTAAAACGTTCGACTAATTTCAAATGTGAAAAAAATTTCGAAAAAAAAAAATATTAAAAACATTTTCACTAAATATCGAATGCAAAACGGCATTTTTCATTTTCAAAACAACAAAACAATGGATTTTTTTGAAAAAAAGAAGAGATAAAGAACTAATTAAATTATTGAAAAAATAAAAATGATTATTAAAGTTAATAATTGTTAAATTATAAATTAAGAAAAATGTAGTATTTAAAATTAGAATAGGATTTTATTGAAGAATTTACAAAATTGAAGATAAAACAAGTGGTTTTAAGGGGAAAAAAAAGGCAAGTTATAGAAGAATAAAAATTTTTACTCAATAAAAAATTTTTTTTCTAAATATTACAAAAATATAAGAAAAATATTATTTCATATTGGTTTTTTGATTAGAAAACTATTTTACATTCAATTACAGATTAGATTTTAATTCCATCCACCAAGATGGACGTTCGAAATTTTTTGCATCCCCAAAGAAATTCTCTTCCAAATGTTTGTAAATCTGAAAGTAATTTAAAAATTAATAATTTAATTTATAAAATATAAATAATTTGTAATAATTTTTCTTTTAATTTTTCAAGCAATTTACCTCGCCGTCTGACATTCCTAGAGGAGAATTGACAACAAAATCTGGTGGTGCAAGAACGTCAATTAAAGTCACAGCTTCATTGAGTAAATCATTGTTGAGTGAAACAATTCCAGTACGAAGTAAAACGTCAAGTTTCGAATGAACAGTCGCAAATCCACCAGCATAAAAATCGGCCATTCTTTTCTCAAGGCAGGAAGCAGAAAATAATGCACACAATTTTTTCAAAACACAACGTTCCGATTTCACGAAAATTGGATCTTCAATTCGATTCATAAAACTTTTTACCACTGCATGCTAAAAATGTAAGTAAAATTTTGTTCAACTATTTTCAGGGTGGGAAAAAATAAAAAAATTATACCTCGGCATAAATCAATGACAAAGAACGAGCGAAAAACATTTGTGAATTATTTCGAATCTCAAAAGAATTCATTCCTTGTTTTCTTAAATTTTGCGTGTGCTCATAAGTTTTCATAAGATAGTAACATGTCAACCATTTGTGCATGATGAGAAGATCTGTAAATTTTTGAGAAATTTTTTTTGTGATTTTTATTTTTCAAATAGTTATTTTATTTTTGAATTTATTTACTATCAAGTTTAAGAGTTTCCTCAACGGTGGTGGCATGAAATTTTTGTGAAAGAATATAAACTGCTGTTTTTAAAAATCCTGCAGTTTCAAGAGGCGAGGAAATTCCTTTTCCCCTTTTAAAATTGTCCCATTGATTTAAAAGCCAATTACTCGCTTGTTGAATTAAAACTGTATTTTCTCCCTCGTAAGTAGCTGAGGGATCATTTGATGCTCTCATTTCTCCTAATCGAGATGCTATTGTAAAAAAAAGAAATTAAATTTTTTTAAAAATATATTTGTAATTATTAATATTGACTAATAATTAGAAAATTATTTACCTTTTAGATATCCATGTCCTCCGCAGGCTTCTCTGCAATCTTGAATAGCAGTTTGAGAACTCCAAGTGGAAAGTGGTTTTGTTGCTGAAATTAATGCATGCATTTCTGAACTTTCTGCCATTGATAATTTCTTTGAATCTGACATCCTGAGGATATTATATCCAAAAATTGTCCACGCATATAAAGCAGCTATGTGAGGAAATAAACGACCTTGCTGTAAGTAATTAAAAAATTTAATTTTCCTTTCGTATTTTAATTATTATTTTTAACATTAATATACCTGAACTTGATATTCAATTACAGGAATTTCCTCTTTTTCATTTGGACCAAATTGTTTTCTAACAGCACAATATCGAATGGCAATTGTTAAAGCAAGTCTTGAGAACATTGTCGCGTGAAGAGTAATTCCCACTCGTCCAGTAGAAAGAGGTGATAAAAATTTCGCTATAAAAAAAAAAGGAAATTAAATTTTTTTTTATTTTAAAAAAATAATTCAATTCTCACCGAATCGCTTTTCTTGTTTTTTGACATTTGTACTATAAATTCCATCTTTTGATACGTCTGCAATTTTATTGAGTAGATATTCACGTGGAAGAGAATAATTTTTAAACAACAAGAAACCATTGTCCAAACCGTTGAGACCAATTTTTTCCCCCATATCGCCGACAATTATTCCCGATAGAGGCAAACGTGTTTCTGGATCTCGAATTGGAACAATAAATGGATGAAGACCATGATTTATTCGATCGGGAGTAATTAATTGGGCGTAGAGAAGTGCATGTGTTGCTGTTTTTCCTATAACAAAAAAAAATAATAATAAAAAGGTAAGAAAATAAATATAGAAAAATAATTATAATTACCTAATAGTCCAGACCAACATTTTGCTGCTTCGAAATTTGGTGTTTGTAATATGAAATTTCCCGTTGACACATCGTATGTTGCTGATGTTTTTAATCCCTTCAAATTTGATCCATGGGCTATTTCCGTAAAGCACAAACATCCTAGAAACTTAATTTTACAGGGAAATTTGTATTTTATTACATTTTCTTTTTAATCAAATTAAATAAATTGTTTTAAAAATTATATTTTATTAGAGAAAATCTGTAATTAATTTTTATTGAAATGAAAATTATTCCTTACGGTGCCATCGATGAATTTTGAAATGAATTTTCGATGACGTTCTGTTCCCAGATCTCGAATAGCTTCCGGTACAACTTCCTGTGAAAGTCTTCTGATTGGTCCTATGGAAGCGTCATAAAATCTTAGCCATTGGGCCCAAGTTCCAAATTTATCATCCTGAAGAAAGAGAGAAAAAAAAGCGAGAAATAAAGGCAAGAAATGAATATTTTTTTTTTCCTTTTTTTAAAATACCTTGATTTTTGAAAGAGCGAGTACTTGACGATATGCTCTTTTTCTGGTCTCATCGAGAGTTAATGATTCTTTAGAATGTTGAAATTCTGAACTATTTTTTATAAATTTCCACAAATTTTCCTGGAATTAATTTTTAAAAAATTATTTTTTTTGTGTGTGCTTTAGACAGGACAATAATAATTAATGACGGGAACTAAGTAAACAAAAAAAAAAAAATTGAAATGAAAAATTATAGAAAAATATCTACTTGTGATTGCACAAAATCTTCGCCTTCCAAATGTAATTTTAAGGATTTCCAATTGAAACTCGCACGTTTTCGATATTCATCGAGTGGTCCATTCGGTAAGTTATGAATTAATTCCATTTTATTTCTTTTTATTCAATTTTTTATTTCTCAATATTTATGTCTAAACAACTGAAAAATGTGTTTTCAATTTATTTATTATATCTGTTTGGAAAATTTTTTATTATTCACAAAAGTTGGTAAGTTTTAATAATTTAAAAACTAATTTTTATATTCTGAAAATGAAATTTACAAATTTTATCACATTAATATAATCACTGACTACATTCTTCAATGATAAGTACAAATCTTTCGAGATATTTTTAGCATTGAAAAAAAATGATACTAGCAAACAAGTTTATATATTCTCCGCCCTCAGGAGCGTGTCATTTTATTGAAATTTAATACTATTATATACTTTTCAAATTGATTTATATTTATTTTATTAACTTTGTTTATTTATTAATTTTTTTATTTCATATTTAAAAAAATTTATATATTATTAAAAGTTAACAGATGAGAATCGCACAGGGATCAAATCAAAATAGTCACTATAGTTAAGAAGAAAATTAAAAAAAAAAAAAATAATAATAAAATAATACAAATAGTTTAATACAATGTACAATATTTTCAACAGTTTTAAGTCAGTTTTAGTTAGGTTTCACGAAGAAAGTTAATCACATTCGCAATTCGCAAATTCGGGTCATAAAACGCGCAATATTTAAAAAACACTAAAAACATTTTCTTAATTATTTAATTTAAAAACTTATTATTAGAAATTGCGATAATTATTTTTAATTTTCTAACAATAATTATTTAAATTAAGTTTTTTTTTCTAAAAATTAATTGTAAATAAATTTGTTTTCATCCCCAAATGTAATATTTCTCATTAATTTCAATCTAAATTTATTTTTTCTATATAATTAATTCATTTCCATTATTATGCCAAATTTCCATAACGAAAATTAATTAATATAATTAGAAATAATTTTTTTAAAAAAAGGAAGGAAAAAATAATATCAAGTTAAAGAAGAATATAAATTTTTATTGTCTTACAAAATTTTTCTAAATGATTAAAAAATTATATTTAATATTTTACATAAAATTACAGATTACAAAAATACAAGAAAAATAATATTTCATATTGGTTTTTTGCTTAGAAAACTATTTTACATTAAATTACAGATTAGATTTTAATTCCATCCACCAAGATGGACGTTCGAAATTTTTTGCATCCCCGAAGAAATTCTCTTCCAAATGTTTGTAAATCTGAAAGTAATTTAAAAATTAATAATTTAATTTATAAAATATAAATAATTTGTAATAATTTTTTTTTAAATTTTCAAGCAATTTACCTCGCCGTCTGACATTCCTAGAGGAGAATTGACAACAAAATCTGGTGGTGCAAGAACGTCAATTAAAGCCACAGCTTCATTGAGTAAATCATTGTTGAGTGAAACAATTCCAGTACGAAGTAAAACGTCAAGTTTCGAATGAATAGTCGCAAATCCACCAGCATAAAAATCGGCCATTCTTTTCTCAAGGCAGGAAGCAGAAAATAATGCACACAATTTTTTCAAAACACAACGTTCCGATTTCACGAAAATTGGATCTTCAATTCGATTCATAAAACTTTTTACCACTGCATGCTAAAAATGTAAGTAAAATTTTTATTCAACTATTTTCAGGGTGGGAAAAAATAAAAAAATTATACCTCGGCATAAATCAATGACAAAGAACGAGCGAAAAACATTTGTGAATTATTACGAATCTCAAAAGAATTCATTCCTTGTTTTCTTAAATTTTGCGTGTGCTCATAAGTTTTCATAAGATAGTAACATGTCAACCATTTGTGCATGATGAGAAGATCTGTAAATTTTTGAGAAATTTTTTCTGTGATTTTTATTTTTAAAATAGTTATTTTATTTTTGAATTTATTTACTATCAAGTTTAAGAGTTTCCTCAACGGTGGTGGCATGAAATTTTTGTGAAAGAATATAAACTGCTGTTTTTAAAAATCCTGCAGTTCCAAGAGGCGAGGAAATTCCTTTTCCCTTTTTAAAATTGTCCCATTGATTTAAAATCCAATTACTCGCTTGTTGAATTAAAACTGTATTTTCTCCCTCGTAAGTACAACTGGCATCGATTGCTCCTCTCATTTCTCCCAAACGTGATGCTGTTAAAAAATATTTATTATCATTGTAGAATTTTGTTTTGTTATTCAATATACAAATTATTTCTAAATATAAATTATTCATTCACCTTTTCTAAATTTTATTTATTTGTAATTTTTATTTACCTTTTAGATATCCATGACCACCGCATGCTTCTCTACAATCTTGAATAGCATCACGAACTAACCACGAGGAAAATGGTTTTCCCGCTGATGAGAGTGCATGTAATTCCATTCCCTCGGCAACAACAGTTTTTGGATCTTTTGATTTTTTTTCTTCAACTTTTTTGAAAAGATCATAACTAAATACAGTGAGTGCATATAGTGACGCTAAATGTGGAAACAATCGTCCTTGCTGTGAGTAATTAAAACTATTTTTAATTGCATTACTAATAATATATTCAAAAAATTAATTTTCTTTCAAAAATCTTTTAATTTATTTTTCTTGTCTCACCTGAACTTGATATTCAATTACTGGTAATTCCACTTTTTCTGTCGGACCAAATTGCCTTCTTGAGGCACAATATCGAATTGCTATTGTCAAAGCTATTCTCATGTACATTGTATTATTGTAAATAATTCTTATTCTACCATTAGAAAGAGGACTTATAGATGCGCCTAGCAAGAATAAAATAATTTAGTTTTATCATTATCGGCAGAAAAAAAAAAAAAAAAAAAAATTGTAAATCTCACCAAAACGTTGACTTGGATCTTTCAAAACAGTAACATATTTCCCATCTTTCGTCACATCGGTAATTTTATTCAGTAAATAATTACGAGGAAGGGAATAATTTTTAAATAACAAAAAACCATTGTCCAAACCATTGAGACCAATTTTTTCACCCATATCGCCAACAGTTATTCCCGATAGAGGTAAAAGTGTTTCTGTATCTCGAATCGGAACAATAAATGGATGAAGACCATGATTTACTCCATCGGGAGTAATTAATTGAGCATAAAGAAGTGCATGTGTTGCTGTTTTTCCTAATTATAGCAAAAAGAAAAAAAAATTAAACAGAAATTTTCCCCTTTTTTCTTAAATAATTAAAAATATTTTTCTTTTCTACAGATTTACCTAATACACCGGACCAACATTTGGCGGCTTGAAAATTTGGTGTGTGAAGAATAAAATTTTCTGTTTCAACATCATAAGTTGCTGTAGTTTGAAGACCCTTCAAATTTGTTCCATGTGATATTTCCGTGAAACTTAAACATCCACGAAACTGAAAAATTTCATTTAATTACAAGTAAGATTTTTAGATATATTTATTTAAATTTATTTTTTTTATTATTTTAATTATAATTCATTTTTCATTACCGTGCCAGTTGTAAATTTTTCCACCAGTTTTCGATGATTTTCTGTACCTAAATCGATAATTGCATTGGAAATTGTTCCACGACTGAGACCTTTTAACAATGGCAATGAAGTATCATAAAGGCTTAGCAAAAAATGCCATTCAATTGGTTTGTCTTCCTAGTACAAGATTTTTGTTTTTCATTGTATAATTAAAAATTTTTCTCTATTTTTTATACCATATTTATTTTTTTTTATTAAAAAAGAAATTTTTAAATTTTAAAATTAAAATGAGCCTTACAGCAATTTTTGAAATTTCATTGACTTGTCGATAACATCTTCTACGAGTTTCGTCTAAAGTTAACGATCTCGTAGGATGATGGAATTCTGGATTTTTTTCAAGAAACTTCCATAGTTCTTCCTGTGACAATAATTAATTAACAATCGTTAAATTTCAATTTTTAACTAAAAAAAAAAATTTATTTTTATTCTTAAATGTAGGTGTAATTTTTCAAAAAAATTATTTTTAGTTTTTTTTTTTTAATTTCAATTAATTTTTGTAAAAAAATAAAATATGAAAATTACTTGTGATCTGACGAACTTTTCACCTTCAAAATGGATTTTAAACAATTTCCAATTAAAACTCGATCTCTTTCTATATTCCTCTAATGGTCCATTTTTTGGTAAATCTCGTATCGTATCCATTTGAAATTCTATTTTTTTAAAATTAAAATTCTTTGCAAATTTTATTTGCCATTATTGTTAAAAATGTGAAAATTTTAATTATTTTATTTAATGAATAAATATTTTATTAAAATAATAATTAAATTTTTCTTTAAAATTTTCAAAAAATATATATAATTATTTTTTTATTTAATAAAACACGAATTGACAAATTTCTTATCAAACATATTGAATAGTGAGTTAAAATATTTAAAAATGAAACAAATTACAATTGTATAAATAAATAATCTAATAAATGAAAAACTAACCTTACTTGATGTTTTGAAAAACAAGTTTTCTTGTTAAAATCCAAGTTTTTTAAATTCTCACAATCTCGAAATATTGCAAGTTAGGGAAAATTTAATCTTTGGCAAATAATAATTCATTCTTTAATGACTTGCTAAAAAAATTAGATAAAGATACAAATAACAAATGATACGAGTAATATTCCTCTCACTTGGAATCGAGTTGACGCAATAATAAATTTGATAAAGTGGGAGGAGAGACTATGAGAATGGAGGGAAAATTAATTTCACATTAGAGAGAATTTTTTTTCATATTTCTAATCTCTAATTTTATTATGTATTTCTAATATATTTATTTACTGAATTAACATTTAAAAAATCTAATTATCATATAAAATATTTATTTATAATTTGGATTTTTTAATTTCCTTCCACCAAGCGACTCGTTTTAAATTTGAAGCATTTTTCAAAAGAATCTCTTCCAGATGTTTGTAAATCTGCAAAATTTTGAAGATTTTAAAAATTAAATGTTAACAAGTTAAAAAGTATATTCTTTTTTTTTTTATAGACAAAATATACTTCGCCGTCAGACATTCCAAGCGGAGAATTGAGAATAAAATCCGGAGGTGCAAGAACATCGACTAAAGACACAGCTTCATGGACCAAAGATTTGCTAATTTTTATTATTCCCTCACGAAGAAAAGTTTCCAATTGTGAATTAAAATTTGCAAATCCTCCCGCATAAATGTCGCCCAATTTTTTCTCCAATGACCAAGCGGCATATAATGAGCATAATTTTAACAAAATCTCCCTTTCTGATTCATTGAAAATTGAATCGTTTATTTTCTCCAAGAATCTTTGAATCACGATGTGCTATCAATTATTTATTTTGTAAGTACAATTATTTTTATCTTATTAAATAAAGTAGTTTTTTTTTTTTAATTTTCTCTTTTTCATATTTGTAAATAAAATTTTACCTCTGCATAAATTAAAGAAAGAGTTTTTGCAAAAAACATTTGTGAATCATTTCTCGCTGTAAAATTGTTGCCACCATTTTTTCGTAAATTTTCAATTCTTTCGTGAGTTTTTTTCAAGTAATTACAAATTAGCCATTTATAGATTAGCAGTAGATCTGAAATTTTTTTTTCAAAAATATAATATCGTTTTTTTTTGGTTTTACTAAATAATATAATAGATTTTTTTTTATTTTATTAGAAAATTAAAATTAAATTTCTTTACTATTAGGTTCCATTGTTTCTTCAATATTATTGCAATTGAATTTTAAGGATAAAATTTGATTGGCTTTTTCTAAAAATTTTATTGTATTTAATGGTGAAACAATTTCACTGCCCTTTAAAACATTTTCCCATTGATTCAATAGCCAATTGCTTGTCTGTTGAATTAAAACATTATTTTCTCCTTCATAAGTACAAGTGGCATCGATTTCTGATTTCATTTCACCTAATCTGGAAGCTAAGAATTTTTTTTTTTTTTTAATTAAAATATTTTTTCAAACAAAAATCATTAATTTAAAATTTAGAAACATTTCTTTAATTTGCAATTAAAACCTTTTAGATATCCGTAACCACCGCAAGCTTCTCGACAATCTTGAATTCCATCTCGTGATGTCCAAGTGGAAAGAGGCTTTGAAGCTGATGATAGAGCATGAATTTCCATTCCCAATGAATTGAGCTCATCTTGATCACCATCTCCAATTATTTGTGATGTGAAATCTTCACTTATTTTTATCAACCAAAAGGAGAATATCGAGAAAGCGTAAACAGACGCTAAATGAGGTAAGAGTCGTCCTTGCTAAAAGAATAAAAAAAAAAAAAGAATTAGAAATTATTTTTAAATACAAAAATTCAGCTTTATAAAATCATGAAAAGAAAATTTTTTTTTTATCAAATTGAAAAATTTAAATTCACCTGAACTTGATATTCAATTACTGGCCATTCATTAGTTAAAGAAAATCCAAATTGTTTTCTCACTGAACAATATCGAATTGCTATAATTACAGCCACCGCAAGATACATTGTGGAAATTAATGAGATTCCAATTCTTCCGCTTGATAACGATCCTAAAGATGCTCCTGAAATATTTTTTTAATTAATTACTTCATAGATTTAAAAAAAAAAATTAAAAAGATAAAAAAGTTTTTACCTAGACGTTTACTTTCATTTTTTATACGAGCAATATATTTGCCATCAACACTAACGTCTGCGTGACGATTCAATAAATTTATTCTTGGAATTGAATATTGATTGAAAATAATAAATCCATTGTCAACTCCATTGAGACCAATTTTTTCGCCTAAATCCCCAATTATTAGTCCCTTATAGGGCAAAAATGTTTTATGATTTCGAATAGGCACAATAAAAGGATGTAAACCATGATTAATATTATCAGGTGTTATTAGTTGTGCGTAAATTATAGCATGAGTTGCTGTCATTCCTTTACAAAAAAAAAAACAATTATTATTTTAAATCCTTTTTTTTAAATCCTTTATTAATTAAAAAATACTTAATTGTTTAAAATTAATTTATTTTGATTCTCTCTTTTATTCAGTAATTTTTTTTTTTTTTTTCTTAATTTACCCATCATTCCAGCCCAACATTTTGCTGCCTTAAAAGTTGGTGTGTGAATAATAAAACTTTCTGTATTTGGATTATAAGTTGCTGTTGTTTCCATTCCTTTGATATTTGTACCGTGAGCAATTTCCGTTAAAGAAAAAGCGCCAATATACTGAAATCAATTTTTTTTTTTGTTTTTCTTTCAATAAAATTGAAAATTTAAAAAAAAATTTACCTCTCTTGTTTTGATTTTTTCAAAAATTTCTCCATGACGCGCAGTTCCTAAACTCATTAACACCGAGGGCACAACTATTTCTCTGAGACTAAATAAAGTTGCTATTGATGCATCATATTGAAAACATTGAACTGGCCAATAAAGAACATCACTTGGCTGTTAAAAAATTTAATTTAAATTTTTTTTTATTAAAATAAAGAGTAAATTAATTTTATGTTATGTCCAATTTTAAAAAAAAAACTATACTTTACCAAATTTTTAATTAAAATATTCAGTTGATTGATGCATTTTCGTCGTGTTTCATTCAAGGAAAGGGAATTTTTTGATTTTCGAAATTCACGATGTGAACGAATCAAATTCCATAATTTTGCCTAAAATTTTCATTTAATTGGGCAAAAAAAATTTTTTAATTAAAATAATAATTGATGTCTAAATTAAAATTTATTTCTTCTTACCTGAAGTCTCACATTTTCTTCTCCTTCCAGATGAACTTTCAATGATTTCCAATTGAAACTTGCACGTTTTCGATAATCATCCAGAGGCCCAGTTGGTAAGTCCGTCAAAGTTTCCATTATTATTATTATTAAAAACAATTATTTATTAATTTTTTTTTTAAATCGATATTTTAAAACAATATAACCGATTTTGAAACTTTATCGAAATCAATCGTAACTGAATCAAAGTTTTCGTAATCAATGCTCAATATTTAAAATTTGCTTTGGTAATGAAATTCGTTAATTTCAATGAGGTCAACTTTTTGCTCTTCAAGGCATGAGTTTAAAATTCGTATTCTTTAAATTAACCTCTTACAACTTATTCAAAAGAGAAAATAATCAAATTTATTAAAATTACAAATATATTTTTTTTATTCTATTAAAATAAATAATTCATTAAAAAATAAAATTTTTATTTACAAAACAATTTTTAACAATAAGTACAATTTCAATATATATATATATAAATGTATAAAAACAATCGTTAAAAAATATATTTTAAAACTATACTTTGATCTTTTTTTTTTTATAAATTTATAAAAATAATTATAAATTTCTTTATAATTTTGATCTACTTATTTCTTGCCACCACGATGGACGCTCAAGATTTTCTCCATTTTCCATAAACGATTTTTCCAAATGTTTATAAATCTAAAAAAAAAAAGTTCACATTAAATTCATAAATTACAAAGCGATTTAAAAAAAAAAAAATTGATTCGCCTATGATTTTTTTTTTGTAATTTATAATTATTAATTACCTCGCCATCAGACATTCCGAGTGGTGAATTTATAATAAAATCCGGTGGTGCTAAAGTGTCAATTAAAGACACAGCATCCTTGACTAGATCCTTACTCACAGCTATTATTCCATCGCGTAATAAACTATCAATTTTACATTCAGATGATGCATAACCGCCGGCAAATAAATCACCCAATCTTCTTTCAAGAGACCAGGCAGCATAGAGTGAACATAATTTTGACAAAACAAGTCTTTCCTCAATTTCAAATTGACCATTTTTAATTCGATGACAACAATTTTGAATAATTGCATGCTGGAAAAAAAGTAAAAGAAATAATTTAAAAAATTAATAATCTAAAAAAAAATTCAGCAGAAATTGAATTTTTTTATACCTCGGCGTAAATTAGAGTCAAGGTTCGTGCGAAATAAGTTTGAGAATTGTTTCTTGCTTCAAAATTGCCATTTCCATTATTTTTGAGAATTTGAACTTTTTCATGAGTCTTCTTTAAATAGTAACAGGTCAACCATTTAAAAGCCAAAAGAAGATCTGTAAATAATTAAATTTTTATTCGCATTTCTTTTGTTTTTTTTAAATATAAAATAATAAAAAATTTACTATCAAGTTGCATTGTTTGATCGACTGAAGTGCAACGAAATTTCATTAAGAGAATTTCTTGAGCTCCATCGAGAAAATCAGCAGATCCAAGTGGCGATTGAACTCGTTTCCCTTGTAGAATATTTCCCCATTGACTCAATAGCCAATTGCTTGCCTGTTGTATTAAAACATTATTTTCACCTTCATAAGTGCAATTTGCATCATTCTCCGATCTAATATCACCCAATCGAGATACTGAAAAAAAAATAACATTATCTTCTATTATATTAAGTTAACAAATTTCGAAAAACGACACCGACCCCGTGACCTCGACACCGTCCTTGAAAAATCTATTTTCAATTATTTTCAAATAAATCAAAATACTTTGCATATATGCTTTTAGAAAATCTTACAAACTATTTTTATGTAACATCTTTTTTCAATTTTAACCCGAAAAAGGGTTATTTTGCAATTTTTTAAGAATTTTTTGATTTTTTCAATTTTTTATTATTATTTTTTATTATTTATTGTTGTTTTTTCAATTTTTAGTTAGTAACCTATAATATTGTGTCTAATTTTAAGTGTCATTAAAATCAAATGTTTTTAACTTAATAATTTTAACATTTCTTAATTTAAAACGAAACATCTTCTATTATATTAAGTTAACAAATTTCGAAAAACGACACCGACCCCGTGACCTCGACACCGTCCTTAAAAAATCTATTTTCAATTATTTTCAAATAAATTAAAATACTTTGCATATATGCTTTTAGAAAATCTTACAAACTATTTTTATGTAACATCTTTTTTCAATTTTAAGATAAATTTTATACAATATTAATAAGATATTAATTTAAAACATATATAAATTATATATAATATACATAAACTACAATAAGTAAACAACAATAAGTACAATTTTAACCGAGCGAGGAATACATCGCTAGTTTATAATTAATATTATAAGGATATTTTTTCATTTAAATTTACCTTTCAGATAACCATGACCACCGCATGCTTCACGACAATCTTGAATTGCATCGCGTGCTGTCCAGGCGCAAAGTGGTTTTGTCGCTGAGGACAATGCATGAATTTCCATTCCTTTTTCGCTCATCAAATTTTTATCATCCGAGGTAAGCATCTCTATATAAAAATCTCGGGATATTTTCGAAAATTCATGTGAAAATATATTTAATGCAAAAGTTGCCGCTAAATGAGGAAATAGTCGTCCTTGCTGAAATTTTCTCTCTTTATAAAAGAAAAATTTAAAAAAAAAAATTATTCAAAAAGAATAAATTAAATACCTGAACTTGATATTCAATTACGGGCCACTCCTCCTTCGATGTGGGACCAAATTGTTTTCTAACGGCAACATAACGAATTGCAATCACAGTGGCAAGTGTCAAATACATTGTACAAATCATTGTTATTGTCACTCTTCCAGTTGACAATGCACCAAGTGATGCACCTTTAAAAAAAAAAATCAAATATTAAAAACACAAATTTGCTTTGAAAATGAAAATAAAAATATTTTTAATTTTTCTTCTATCTCACCGAAAAGTTTGCTTTGATCTTTAATTCTCGCTACATATTGTCCATTTTCTGTGACATCGGCATTTTTATTTAATAGAGAAAATCGTGGAACTGAATAATTATTAAATAATAAAAATCCATTGTCAACTCCATTTAAAGCGACTTTTTCCCCCATATCACCAACTGTCACACCTGGCATTGGCAAATATGTCTTTGGATCACGAATTTGAATGATAAAAGGATGTAGTCCATGATTTTCATTATCGGGCGTTATTAATTGTGCATAAACAATTGCGTGTGTTGCCGCTTTTCCTTTAAATTCGAAAAAAAATTAATTATCACTTTTAAATTAAAAGAAATTAATTTTCTAACGATAAAAATTCTTCTATTTATTATTATATTATTTATAGTTTCCTTTTATTTTTTTGTATTTTTATTTTTTTTTTAATTATTCTTTTGATTTATATTATTTTACCTAAAGCTCCAGCCCAACATTTAGCGGATTCAAAATTTGGGGAGTGAAAAATGAAATTTTTAGTCTTTTCATCGTATTTGGCGATTGTTTGCATTCCTCTGACATTGGTGCCATGGGCAATTTCAGTTAAAGCAAAGCAACTTGTGTACTGCGAAAAAAAAAGCGAAAACAAATTTTAATCAGTGAAAAATTATTACAAATGACCGAATTCATTTCAAATCAGACAGGCTTGACTTGGTCGGAGCTGAAAATCATTTTCACCTTCAAAATGTTGTTCTTCAATGAATTTTAGACGACACGTATTTTTTTATTTTGCTGAAAAAAATTTTTTCTTTAAGTTATAAGGAGTTCAAATATATAAGTCGAGAACTTCGTTTTTTTTAAAATGAAGAGAAAAAATCTTAAAAGTGATGTAACTTTTTGAGTAATTAAGATTATTCACTTTTTCCTTTTGTGTCTGAAAGAACTTTTATTCTTCTTTCGAAATCCATTGGAAAATTTAAAAAATATTTAAAAAATAATAATTAATAATCTTTACTGTCACAGAGGTTAAAATTGTTAATTTTTTGTGTTCAGTAAAATAGTAGCAAGTATTAATATTAAGAAATTAAAGAATCAGTTATTATTTTTTAAAAAGCAAAATAAGGTATGTTTATATAATTTTTGTATTGTAATGTCACTATTATTATTTTTAAATATGAAAAGGTCTTTTAGGTCTTTTAACGAGGAACAACTTTTATCTGAGACATTTTTTTATATCTAGTGTATTTTTTGAGAAAAATGATGTTTTTCTTTTAAAAAATATAAAAAAAATTTTTTTTCTTGTGCCAGAATCGGGCACAAGTTAAATTCTTGTGGGCAATATTCCTCCCTATGAGCACAATTCCCAAAAAAAATTTTGAGCAAAAAAAAAGGTGGGGTTTTTGAGTAATTTCAAATTAAAGTTTTTTTAGTAAAATGGCCGCCATTTTGTTATTTTTAAATATTTTTTAAATTTTCCAATGGATTTCGAAAGAAGAATAAAAGTCCTTTCAGACACAAAAGGAAAAAGTGAATAATCTTAATTACTCAAAAAGTTACATCACTTTTAAGATTTTTTCTCTTCATTTTAAAAAAAAACGAAGTTCTCGACTTATATATTTGAACTCCTTATAACTTAAAGAAAAAATTTTTTTCAGCAAAATAAAAAAATACGTGTCGTCTAAAATTCATTGAAGAACAACATTTTGAAGGTGAAAATTATTTTCAGCTCCAACCAAGTCAAGCCTGTCTGATTTGAAATGAATTCGGTCTAAATTTTTGTTTCTTTTTTTTTTTGTGTACTCACTTTACCCTGTTGCAAGTTTTCTAAAATTTCCCAATGACGCTCTGAGCCAAGTGATAATATCACTGAAGGTACCATTCCTTGAGTTATTCCCGTTACGACTGGTAAAGAAGCATCGTAATAAAAAAGATAATTAAACCATCCTGGATGATCAATTGGCTAAAAGAATTATTTTTTTTTTTTTTTTGTTAATTTTAACCCCTTTAATATATTAATTTGTTTATTTATTTTTAAATTTATTTATTACCAAAATATCATTTTTAACTAATGAATTGAGTTGTTTATAACATCTTCTTCGAGCTTCGTCTAAATTTACTGCTTTAACGGGCCTTTGAAATTCGGGTGTGATTTCAATAAATTTCCACAATTTTTGCTGTAAATAGAAAAAAAAAAATTTTTTTTTCAATTTCAATAGTCTTCAAATCAAACCTATAATTAATTCGTTAATTGAAATTTATAAATGTTTTTTTAATTATATTTTACCTGATATTTTACTAAATCTTCTCCTAATAAATTAACTTTCAATGATTTCCAATTAAATGTTGCTCGTTTACGATAAATTTCAAGTGGTCCTTTTGGCAAATCTCGAAGTAAATCCATTGTTTTTAATAAATTCTTTGTACACGACCTGAAGAAAAAAGAAATACTTAAAAATAATCTTCAACTAGATTATAAAATATATAATTTATAGTTTCTACATTTTGTTTCTATATAAATAATTAAAAATCCAATTCTCTTTTGATTCACATAAATTATTAGGTGGCATTTTTTTTTTTTTAAATGCAAATCAAATTCACGAGGTAATTGAATTTGTTTTCCAATACACGAACAAGCATTTGATAGACAAATGATTATTGAATTATTAAATTCGTTCAAATTACGAAATTTTTCATCACCAAGAAAAAAAAAAAGTATTTTCTTTTAAACACAAATTACTGTTTATTTCACAATATATTACTAAATACGGTATTAAAAAATTATTTTTTCTATTTTAGTTTTTTTTTAAATATTATTTTATAAAGAAAAATGATAATTGTTTTAATTTTAATTCTAAATATATGCATTAGTGATCAAAGGTATTGGGAAATATTTTCTTCTTGAATTATGAGTAAAAGAAAAAAAAATTAAAATTATTGGTTTTAAATAAAATTAATTAAATCATTTATTTTTACAGTGATTTCAAATTTGATCAAATTTGTCCAAGAAAAGCAAATCAACAATTACAGGAGTTAATTGAAAGGATAATTGAAGAAATCAAAGAACCAATTCAATGTATTGTTTACATTGGCGATTTTTACTATCGAGAAGTAATAAAATTTTTTGAATTAAAAATTTCACATCAATTTCCTATTTATCAGGTGAGTTTTCTTTTTTGGAACTTTTAAATAATTGATCAGATAATCAAAAAAAAAATTGACCTCTCGTAGTAATGATTAAGTAAATTAATTATTATTTTATTCAATATTGTAGTTGAAAATACGGGATAGTCAAAAAATGTCACCACCTCGAAATCGAGTTGTTTCAATTTTAAAGAGCAGTCGAAAATCATCTTGCAATTTGTATCTTATTTTAATGTCTAATGGAATGCAACTTTCAAAATTACTTCAATTCGCTGAGGAGTAAGAAAAAAAAGAAATTCCTTTCCTACTTTTTTTCTTTTTTTTTTTGATTTTAAAATACTTTTTCGTTATTTTCGTAAAAAAATTGATTTTCTAAAAAATAATTTATTTGTAAAAATAGAAGAATTAAAATGGGGATTAAAAATTTTTTTAATAAATAATTTTGTTTATTTTAAAAAATTGAATTGTAATTAAAAAATTTTTTTTCAGAAATCGTCTCATTGACACGCGTGGAATGTTTATAATGATGAACGATTTTCGATTATTACAACCGCAAATGCAATATCTTTGGAATCGAATAATAAATGTGATTTTTATAAGACGATATAATGTATTTAAAAGACGTTCTGGTGAGCAAGTGATTCGTGAATGGTACGATTTAAATACACTTTATTATCCTGTAACTGTAAAAGGACTTGTTGTAACGAAATACATTGATTCTTGGTATCGTGGAAGATTTCGTTACAATATTAATCATTTTCCATTGAAAACACAAAATTTACGGCGCAAACGTTTAAGGTGAATTTCTTTTCAAATTTATCGAAATTTAAATTGATAATAGAATTTAAATTGATTTTTTTTATAGAATTGCTGTATTTCAACATATACCGGCAGTAACGGAAATTGCGATAAACTTTTTCAAAAATCCTTTCAAAAAAACATCACATGCCTTGGGATTGGAATTTGAAGTTTGTTTTTAATATAGCTTATTGAGAATTAAAATTAATTTAATAAAAATTGTATATATATATATTTTTAATTTTTAACAGCTTATGAGAATAATTGCTGAATCAATTAATTTTCGACCATTATTTTATGAGCCAATTAATGTGAAAGATGAAAAATGGGGTAAAATTGGAGAAAATGAAACAACGGGACTTTTAGGTGAAGCTGTCGATAGAAAAGCGGCATTTTATCTTGGTGATTTACATTATACAACGAGACATTTAAATATCGTTGATTTAGCATGGCCTTATAATATTGAATGTTTAACATTTTTAACACCCGAATCGCTAACTGAAAACTCATGGAAATTATTAATTCAACCCTTTGAGTAAGTATATGAAAAAAATTTGTTTTTATTAATTATTATATAATAATAAAATGCTTGGTCTGTCCTTCTGTCCTAACTTGAAGTTGGCCTTTTCTGATTTCACGTGTTTTTTTTTGAATAGTAATCTTATGACGTGTCAAATTTTGACAATTCTTTTTCTCATTTTTGCCAAAGTTGTATAATTGTGTTTCCAAATTTTGGAATAAGTTTCTTTAAAATTCCAAATTCGAAAATTCAATTCACGAAGCTGAAGTACACAACGTTTACCAACGAAATTTTTTTTAAAGTTGTATATTGATTCAAAAATTGTACAAAAAATTTATAATGAGAAAAAAGATGCGTCAGGAAATTTCGTACAAGATAGTAATTAGAAAAAAATTTATTTTTAAAAATTAATTTTTAAGGTACCAGGCGCCAACGAATACCTATTAAATATTAATTATAAAAACATAGGCCTCGAATCAACTTAAAGACACAAAAAAGTCATTTTAGTCGATTTATATACCAAAAAAAAGTGGATTTGTTTTTTATTTTAACAAAAATATTTTACAGATTTTTAAATAAACAAATTTTTTTTTATAATAATCCTTTTCGAAGGGTTAAAGTTGAAATTTTTAGAAATAATTAAATTTCAAAAGATATTGTTAATTTTCAAACAATTATTAAATTTTACAGAACTAAAAATAATTAATCAAAAAAATTTTTGGAAAACATTTTTTAAATTTAATTGAATTTTCAAAGATTTAAAATTGAGATTTTTGAAATTAATTGAAACTTTAAGTGTTTTGTAATTAAAATTTAAGATAATTTCACTAAAAATTTATTAGAAAATGCGAACAAAATACAATAATTTGAAAATAATTTTTAATTGAAAAATGGTTTCAGATAGTTGAATTTTCAAAGAATAACATCATAATGCAATTATTAAAATAGTTAAAAATAATTGAATTTCCTTAGAGTTATAATTGAAATTATTAAATTTGAAAAAAAAAAATTTCGATGGAAAATTTTAGATGCTTTTAAATTCAAATTATTGAAAATTCAATTAATTTTGAATTCAAATTTTTGAGAATAATGAAATTTTATTTGATTTTAAATTTGGAAAATAATTGAATTTCAATTCATTTTGAATTGAAAAATTTTGTGGAAATAATTGAATTTTAATTGAAATTTTGGATAATAATGTAATTTTAATTGAAATTTTGAATAATAATTTAATTTAAGTTCATTTTTGATTGAAAATTTGAATAATTAATTTGAATAGAAATTTTAGAAAATAATTGAATTTTATTTCATTTTAAATTGAAAACTTGGTAAATAATTAAATTTTAAATTGAATATTTTGGATAATTATTGTATTTTTAATTGATTTTGAATTAAAATTTCGGGTAATAAATTGAATTTCAGTTTATTTTGAATTGAAATTTATAAAAAATAATTCAATTTTATTGTGATATTTTTTTTTAAATTATAAACAATTATTAAATTTTACAGAACTAAAAATAATTTATTAAACAATTTTTGGAAAACATTTTTTAAATTTAATTGAATTTTCAAAGATTTAAAATTGAGATTTTTGAAATTAATTGAAACTTTAAGTGTTTTGTAATTAAAATTTAAGATAATTTCACTAAAAATTTATTAGAAAATGCGAACAAAATACAATAATTTGAAAATAATTTTTAATTGAAAAATGGTTTCAGATAGTTGAATTTTCAAAGAATAACATCATAATGCAATTATTAAAATAGTTAAAAATAATTGAATTTCCTTAGAGTTATAATTGAAATTATTAAATTTGAAAAAAAAAAATTTCGATGGAAAATTTTAGATGCTTTTAAATTCAAATTATTGAAAATTCAATTAATTTTGAATTCAAATTTTTGAGAATAATGAAATTTTATTTGATTTTAAATTTGGAAAATAATTGAATTTTAATTCATTTTGAATTGAAAATTTTGGGAAATAATTGAATTTTAATTGAAATTTTAGATAATAATTTAATTTAAGTTCATTTTTGATTGAAAATTTAAATAATTAATTTTAAATAGAAATTTTAGAAAATAATCGAATTTTATTTCATTTTAAATTGAAGACTTGGTAAATAATTAAATTTTAAATTGAAAATTTTTGATAATTATTGGATTTTTAATTGATTTTGAATTAAAATTTCGGGTAATAATGTTTATTTTGAATTGAAATTTTTAAAAAATAATTCAATTTTATTGTGATATTTTTTTTTAAATTATAAACAATTGTTAAATTTCATGAAAATTTTAATTGAAAAATAATTTTGATATAATTGAATTTGTGATGTATTTCATTAAAATTATTAGAAATAATTAATTTAGTGAAGAATCATTTTAGTTCAAAATTTGTTAAATAATTGAATTGAAGAAGATGTGAAGAAGATCTACATTTTATACTAAAAAAAATGTATTTTATTTACATTTTTTTCAAATGTAAAAAAAATGTCGCATTTTATTAAAATAAGTCCGATAAAAGTCGTATTTTTGAAAAAAGTCGGAAAAAGTCGTATAATCCGAGTCCTGTATAATTTTCATTATTATCATTTAATATGTAATAATATTCTAATAAATTAAATTATTATTGATAATATTAATCTTTAATTTTCTTTAGAACAAACAATTAAATACTCAATTTGGCGCGCGTTTAATTTTGCTAGTTATAAATAAAATTTGCTATTTCATGAAATTTGTTTTTTTTTCAGTCTTTATTCATGGATATTGGTGATTCTAACGCTTATAATAGCGGGTATAGTAATATTTCTCTTTGCTCTACTATACGAGAGACGAATAATTTTTTGGAAAATTGGTGACAAAAATATTGAGAAAACAAAGGAATTACTTGGAATTTTTAATAATTTAAAAAATCAAGGGAAAAATGAATTAAAAGATGAATTTATGAATGAAATGGAAGGACTTTATTTATTTAGTGAACCTACAAATAGTATGTTATATACTTATAGTATGTTATTGCAAGTTTCTTTGCCACTGTTACCGCGAGCATTTGCAGTGAGAATATTAATTGGATGGTGGTGGATTTACGCTATTTTAATTACTTGTTCATATCGAGCAAGTTTAACAGCCGCACTTGCAAATCCCACACTTAGGTAAAAATACTACAAAAATTTAATTTTTTTTTTCAAAATTAGGTAAATTTTCTTCTTTTTTTTTTTAGAGTGACAATAGACACAATTGAAGAATTATCGAATAATTTAATAAAAGTTGGCAGTTGGGGCGAGGAGAAGAAAGAATATTTTCTATTGTCTGGCGATGAGAATTTACAAAAAATTGGCAATCGATTTGAGGAGATCTCTAATGAGAATGATGCTGTTAATCGTGTGGCAAAGGGAAAATTTTGTTATTATGAAAATATTTTTGTATTACAACAAGTACGTGTGAGACGGCAAATATTTGAATATGAATTAAAAAGAAATTCAACGGATAATAATGGTAATATTGGAGAGGAAAGAAATTTACATGTCATGGAGGAATGTGTTGTCAATATGCCAGTATCGATAGGATTAGATAAGAATTCACCTTTGAAACCTCGCGTTGATCAATTGGTTAGATTTTTATAAGATTTATTTCAAGAAAATTAGAATTTCGGAAAATTTTTATATTTCCTTTTGTTTTTTGTTTTTCATTTTTTTTAGGTAAAACGAGCCATTGAAGTGGGATTATTACAAAAATGGTTGAAAGACGCAATGGAATGGTCAAAAATAGCGGAGATGAAACAAGAAAATGAAGCTGAGAAAGCAATTGCAAATTTACGAAAATTACAAGGCGCCTTAGTGGCATTGGCAGTTGGATATTTTTTAGGTTTTTTTGCATTATTCGCGGAAATTTTATATTGGAAATACATTGTCATGAGGAATCCATTATTCGATAAGTATCATTTGGATTTATTTTACAAGGATAAATTTTGAAAAAAAATTTTTAATTTGACTAATTAGAAGATTTAGTAATGAATTTAATAAATTTCAATTTATTATATTAATTAATTTGTTCATTTATTTAACTAATTTCAATATTAAATTATTCATTTGAAAAAACTAGTATAGAAGGTTATGATAAAATTACAGAATAATAATAAACTTATTTGAATTTATAATAAATAAGTTTCACATCAAGTCCATAGGTACAAGTCCAATTTAATTTTATTTCATTAAAATAAATTATTTATTTACTTTATGATAACATTTTTCTCTTTTTAAAAATTGTGATGCAAAAAGAAAATTCAATTCTTTGGTGGAAAATATTTTTTTAAATTGAAATTTTAAATACATTTACATTTTTCTAATTTTTACATTTAAATTGATGACAATCTTATTATTTTTAATTAAAATTAAATAAAATGTATAACAATGTTAATTCTTTTTTTTTTTTGAAAAGTTAATTAAAAAAATTTTTCGATATATATACTTTTCAACTTTCTTTATTATTATGTATTCAAATTATAAATTCTTGAAATGAAATTGTACTTTTAAAATTTTGTGACCTACCTCGAACTAATATGGGTAAATTTCAAGTATAAAAAGCAATTGCACAATACTTGTTAGTTTTAAACCTGTAATTTGACACTTTATTGAACAAGTTTTCACACCTTTTGCAATTTTATATATATATTTTTAAATTGATGAAAATTAATGTCACGAACTTTTAATCGCAGGAGAATAATACTGACAAGACTTGTCACTTGAGTCAAAGTTTACAAGTATATCTCATCTATATTACGACACACATACACATTAATCTTGTTTTTCATGCATTTAAATGTGTTTGTGTAATTTAAATAACCTGTTGACATCACTGAGATTTTCTTGTTTGTTTGGTTTTTTTTTTCTACAAAACTTTTTCTATTTTCAAAAAATATTAATACTTCTTTAAAAAAGTTTAATTAAATTTTTTTTTTGACAAAAAAGCACTTTCTTACATTATTTATTTTGAGGTTTTTTCTCAATAATTTGCCAAAAAAAGAAGTGATGTGGCAAAATGATAAACAAGAGAAAACTTAATTTTGATTGGTTATTTCATAATCAAAATGAAAAGGCGGGAAATGATTAATTTTAAAATATTAGAATTTAAAATGTAAGTAAAATATAAAATTAATGTTTCAATTTTTTTTAGTTATGGAAAAAAATGGAATTCATTACTTTTGTAACCAGAAATCTTTTTTTTTAATTATATTTTATAGATTTTTGAGAAATTTTATCGACAGAGTTTTGAATTGATTGGTGCTGACATCTGTGTTCGTTGGTAAAAATATCGACTGGGAAAAAATGCGGGACGACGCAACCTGCATTACACATGTCATTTGAAAGTTTTTCAAATTAAAGGAAGTGGTGCAGCATTTTTAACAATTAATGGAAAAAAATAAGAAAATTCATAATTATTGAAAGAAAGGAATTGAAAAAATTAAACGGATCTTCAATAATATGGGTATGTACACAATGTTAGAAATATTTTTTTGCGATTTCGTCAATTTTTTTTTTTTGACAAATTTTTAGGTTATAGCCGCGAAAAAACCAATGTTTACATTTTCGTATTTTTAATTTTAACATTAAATTACTGATATTATATAGATAATTTGAGTTTTCGTTCATAAAAGAGAAAATTATTTTTAATACAAAATAATCTGTTGCTTTAAAATTCTCAATTTAATTGAATCAATTTTTAATAGAAAATTCCTTAGAACTATTTGAGTTTATTTTTTATATTTTACCAATAAAAATAACCTTTTTTTTCTGAAAATAAATTAGAAATCTAATTTTAATCTAAATGATCAGCTATAAATATTAATGTTTTTATCAAAGAAATTGGAATATCGATTATTTAATATCCCATATAAACATGTATAAACTATGTCAGAGATCCCTTTCTACAATTTAGTTGTAAAAATTTACATTTCTAAAATCGTTACCGTTAATCTAACATCGCTTTCTGTGTATAAGTTTAACATATCAATTTTGAAAGTATATATATTTTTTTTATGATAAAATCTGTCATTTAAACACGAGCGCGCGTATTCTATAATTTTTTCTATTTATCTTTCTGATTACAAATGTGATGATTATTTAAAAAAAATACATATATTTTGTAATTATTAATAACATATTTTCTGAAAATTAATTCAATTAGTTGTATATTGATATTATATAAAATTTCAGCTATAAAGAATAAAATTTTAATACATTCGCTATTTAAATTTCTAGTTGTAAATTTCTCTTAATTTATATTTATATTATTACAATTTGTTAATTCATGAGATCTTTGCTTTTTTTTTCTTCGAAAAAAGTAATGAAAAGCAAATAAGAATTGTTTTTTTTTTTTTTAATCTAAAAATTCAATTTTTTTTTTTGCAGATTAAATGGATTATTAGAGAAATTAATAATTTATTATTTTTATTAAAAAAGAAATATTTTGAAAAAAAAAATACTAAAACAATTTATATTTCAATAAATATGCGGAAATAGTATAAAAGATTTAAAAAAAAAAAATCGTTATTTGAATTTTACATTGTTGCAATTAATTCTTTAACAACCAATGATTCAATAGAGTAGTCAATTTTTTTAACTCCTTTTTTTTTTATCTTTAAATGTGAGTCACGATTGATCGTTTATATTGATTAGGATTTAGTTCCTGTTTTGGTATCGACAAATTAGCCGGGTAGGTTAGACATGGATATTTTAACTTCGGAATTTCTTCACGAGAATTCACACACTTAATTTAAAAATTTAATCCCGCGAGACAATTTTTCTGGGCGTTCCAGGAAATTCTTTTCAAAATTTAGATCCGGTTTCAAAGAATGAACCTATTGTCATTCACTATAAAAAAAAAATATATATATATACACTATAAGAATAAATCAATCTCCTTTTTTACGACCTTGAAAATGATTCATGCGATGCGAAGAGTTTCATCGTTCAATTTCCACATCCTTGTCTCAACAATTATTCACTTTCGAATTGAAATTATATATTTTAATAGACAAACTTTAGTTTAGACATTTCAATGTCATTAAAAATATTTCAATTCAACTATTTAGATAAGAAATCGATTTTTATCGATTTAATTCTTTCTCAGGATGCTGTTATTGATATTTGCAAATTATATTTTTCTTTTTTAAATTTAATTATATAATTATATTATTTATTTTTTTTGTATAATTATAATTTTTGTTGATTGAAGGAAATTAATTTTTTTTATTCATTTTTTGTTAAATAAAATTTATTTCGACTTAAAAGAAAAAAAAATTTATTTTTTTTTTTAATTAATTACTATTAATATGAAAACAATGGAAGTAATGTTTATCTCTTAATAACTTTGTTTTAGTCAAAACATTGTGTAATTAACATATATGCACTTCCATTATTCATTTCCTTCAATGAATAATTTTTCATAATTTTGAAATAAGATAATTTCATCTAATTAACGAAATATTTCTCTATCTTAAGCCTTGTAAATTTCTAATTATGAAATTCTTACAAAAAAAGTGTTTCACACACATAAATTTATATATAAATAAAAAAAAATCTTCTGTATATATAACCGTGAATTTTTTCCTCGAACTCTCTTTAATTAATTAAAAAGATTCTAAAAATAGAAAAAAAAAAAAGTCATTAGGATTTGCCAATGGTTGTGCATTTTTTTGTGCAAGAGAGGATTATTTTTTTGAATCATTAAAAATTTTTTTGTTGCATTAGGCTCTCTTTTTCTTTTTTTTTTTATCCTGGGAAAAGAAATATTTTTTTTTTTAAGAAAAATATTACCAACATCTTTGTAATTCTATTGAACGAAATTATATAATATCCTTATAATTTGTTTCTTCTAATTTGAATTTATTTTTGTAAATAATTCTTATATATATGAAAAAAATTAATTTCTCCAGATAAAAAAATATTTTAAAGTGAAAAGAACATTCGCTAACGTTATAATATTTTCTTCAAATAACAAATATTATTCCATCACATTAACGGTTTTCATGTGGGGAAAAAAGTTCACAAATTTTTTTTTTTCGGTCAAAAGATGATTTTTGATTCACTTCTTTTTTTTTAAAGAAAGGTTTTAATTTTTTTTTTTAATTATAAAATAATAAAACTGAAAATAAATATATTTTTGAAAAATACAATAATTGTAGATTATTATATTGTCTTTTTTTAATTATTATAAATTAGTATTTATCTAATACGAACAATGGGTATAATTAAAAATAAATATTTAAAATTAATTGGAACTGATGAAGCGCTAAATCAATGTTAGACAGTCGGGGGAATTTTTTTTTTTTTTTTTTTTTATTGTTTGTGAAATTTTCGTTGATTGGATATTAACTTTTTTTTCTTTTTTAATTTCAGTAAGCGAGTTTCCATTAGCCTTGAATGACAATAAACAATTAGTACGAAAGGTTGATGACGAGAATCAGTGTCAAACATTGGAGGCTAATCTAGATAATTACGTGACGTGTTATTAATATACAATATTTTTATAAAATATATAAAAAAATATTGTATATAATAAGTGCGGTAAAAGTTTTGTGGAATTTTTTTTTTTTTTTTTCGCAAGCCGCAAAAATGGTTTCGTTTTTTCTGCTGATCAACCGTATCATTGTCAATATCAATTGAGACCTTATTTTCTCGAAACTTTTTTTTTCCCTTCACTTGCATTGACATTGATTTGACCTTGAATATAAATTGACCTTCATTGGGAAGGACTTTTGATAGTCCGAAAGTTCCGCTCGCGATTTTGTTTAATTCAAAAACGTGTTATCTATCAATCAATCATTTATTTTTTTTAAAGAGTCTTATTTATTTATTTTTTTTTTTATTTAAATTTTTGTTTCTATTTTTAAATTTAAAGAAGACATTTTACCCTTAGGGCCTCTTAAATTATAATGATTACAATACTTTTTTTTTAGTAATTTATTTTTTAAATGAAATATCATACAAGATTAAATAAAAAAAAATTAGTTATGAAAGTTTGTTGGTTTATTAAAATTTATCTATTTCTTGATTTTTATGAAAATAATTTTAAAAATACAAACTTCCATAAAGAAATAATTTTTTTTTTTTTTTTTTATTATGTATTTCTCCGTTTCACTTATTGTATACATTATGAGGGGAAGTAAATAAATGAGTGCTCGAATTTGTATTAAACTAAAATAAAGTCTTTTATTAAATTGAAGGTTATCGTCGAGGCTTGGGTAATGCGCATACGCAAAAAGTATGTGTTTACAAATAGAAAACCCAAGCCGTACTGATTTTTCCAAGGGTAGCAAAAACCCTGGAAGGTACAAAAACAATTTTGATTCTGGTGGGAGGCGGTGAGATGTTTTTCGAAAAGAATGTAAACGATTTTTACATAGGTAACTGTTTACCTAGATGAGGTAAATTGTCGTCCGGGCGATAATCCGGGTACCGCAATTTTGTATACGTACGGTACCTCTGACGCGCCGTAATAAAACTATAACTCTAATCTTAAAAACATCTGCCAAAGAGTAATAAAAGTGAAAGCGTTTTTGGGAAAACTAAATTACAATATTTTCTTAAAATAAATATTTGAAAATCTTAGAAAACAACATTTCACTACGCCACAGTACCCCCTCACCAGTGGTAACGATATTATAAAATTTTCTAAGTTTACAGAAAATTTTAATTATTTAAAGTCATTCGTGCATACATATAAACTTAAATCCTAAAGAAGAATATATATGCTGTCTATAATATTACAAAAAAGAAAATATATATATACTCACACATAAAACAATCCGTCGTTAAAATTTATACATATTTAATTAAATCCTGCCTGAAATCTATTAGGAAATTTAACTGTTCTACCTGAACGTGTTTGACGATGATTATTGTTTACATTATTATCGTTTTCTTTATTCGCTTCGTTTCTATTGTCTACATTTATCTGTATGTTCGTTTCTACAGTAATTTGTTCTTCGTCGTCGTCCTGATTATTGACATTTATATCATTATTGTCCGAAACTAAAAATGCAGGTTTAAGTCGATCGATGGAAACTCTGACATGTTTATTATTAATTTCGATTACAAAAGTTTTATCATTGCGCTCAATGACTTTGTAAGGACCATCGTAAGGTGGCTGAGAGAGACCTCTTACAGCGTCGTGACGTAGAAATACATATTCTGTTGTTTTTAATTCTTTAAAAATAAATGTTTTCTTTGTACCATGTCGAACTACCGGACTCGGTTTTACATTTTCGATTGATCGCTTTAAGCGCTTTACAAATTGAGAAGTTGGCTCTGAATTATTTGGTACAAAGAATTCTCCAGGTAGGCGTATACCTGTACCATATAACATTTCTGCTGCCGTTGAATTTAAATCGTCTTTCATAGACGTCCTAATACCTAACAAAACAATTGGTAAAATTTCGACCCAATTATCTGAATTGTGACATTTAATCGCGGTTTTTAATTGTC